CTTTTTCTCCTAACCACTTCCGTCCTTGTCAAAATCAATTCCATATATTCCCTGCTTCCAAAGTTGATCACAAGAAAATCTGCCACAATTCACAAAAAAAACTCATGCAACTTGCCCATCTTATTGTATATGAGCTTAAGGTTAATTAAATTTCTGGCTCTTAACAAGTGGCCAGAGAGTTAAATAGCGACACAATAGTGGAATAGCAACTGTTATTTCACGATAGCACCTTCGATTGCCACTGTTATTTCAGAAAAAACGTTTGCGATTTGAAACACAATGTGGTGAATTGCGATCGCAACAAAACGTCGTAACGGGTAGTAACAAAAATAACAATTTGCTATTGCCGTTATTCTCATTTTTTGTCTATATTTTTTATTTTAAAAAAAATCAATTAAATCAATTCAATTCGTCTAAATTCATCCTCAATTAAGATCAAGTGTCGAAGAACAATCAGTTTAAAAGTAAAAGTAAATTAAAATTACTTTTTTTAATTGATCTGTAACTAGAAGGCTGAAAGGTTGTGGGCTGTGAGTCGAGTGTGTGTTGAAATTGGTGGTGAAGGAAGGAGGTAGAGACTGGAGAGTCAATTAGGAGAGGTCGAGAGGGAAAAATTTTACTGATTTACTAATTTTGGGGTTTGGGTCTTTGTGAGAAAGACGAGAAGAAAAAGAGTGAAGAAGAAAGGTGAGACCCTGGAGGAATGGAGGCTGGAGTGTATGGGTACCGAACACTAGATTGAAGGCTGAAGCAGAAGGGTTTGGGGGGTAGGGGCGGATGAGTAGGTGAAAGCCGAAAGGAAATGAAGACTTCCGAAAAAAAAACAAAAAAGAAATTTGGAGGGATATGGCAGGTGAGTGGGTTTGATAAATTGATGGGCATTAATGCTAACTGGAGCGTATGTTTGAGGGGTTGAATGGGGGAAGGGAAATAGAAAATTTTGTAATTTTGTTATAATATTGAATATGATTTTCTTTCAAGCAAAAATTTGGTACAAAATAAAATATAAATATATTATCATAATCTTCAAAAAATTGTGAATGATTTTAAAAAAAAAAAAATTATAAAGTGTCATAACTTATTTTAAAAATCATAAAATAAAAATTATTATTATAATTATTATATTTTATAATGAATTATATAAAACTAAAAAAAATTTATAACCACAATAATTATAATAATTTTTATTTTTGGTAATTACGATAAACACAGTACGATAAAAAATATGACACTAATCACAATTTAAATTTCTATGAGTGGCTTTCTCGATTCTCTCATAGAATTTCACATTTACCCTCCTTCAAAATTAATTTTTAAAGATGCTTTGAAGAACAAAGGCTTGCCTTCAGAGAAAAATGAATATTGTATAGTTGATTGACAGATTCAATTATACGACTCAATCAAATTTTTTGTTCTCTTTCTACATCAAATGGTAGTTTTTTTGTACTTTCCCTTCACGAGAATTTATAAAACCATTTTTCAAAGTTTATTTAATATTTGATAATTGGCCTTATTTTCATCGTCAAATTAGGACCTAATATAATTTTTTCTTTTACTTTTTATATAACCGATCCTAGAGTTATGGGCATAATTTTCTTCTTGTAACAGGTGATATGTGATGTTATTTCCGTGAAAGAAAAGTGATCAGATTCTTATTCTAGGACCTAAATGAATGATAGAGATTTATATTCTAATCTTAATTTAACTATTAAACTTCTAAATTAAAAGTGAATTATGGGATAAAAAATGAGTAGAACAAGCAGCATAATTTGGGGTGAAAGCTGCAGTTCTCAAGGACTTTCTCATCTGTTGCGAGCATTGAAAATACATATTTATAATCTTGTAATCAAGAATAGAAGCATCTCCATGGATGGAAAACGTATCATCACGATGGATGAGTTCAAGCTATGGTTAAACAAGTTTGATGCAGATAAAGATGGCAGGATCAGCAAAGAATAACTCCGGAATGCTATTTACGAAACAGGGGGACGATTTGCCCGATGGAAGTGCGGGCGTGGGATACGATCAGCAGATGCCGATGGTAATGGCTTTATTGATGAAAATGAGATAAACAACCTCGTTGAGTTTGCAGACAAATATTTGGGTGTCAGAAGTCTTTATTTGTAGTAACATTATGCCAAGGAAAAGAGGTGTTTAGTGTTACTTCTTCCCTTCTCTGATCCTGTCTGTGTGATATGAGCCTGCCTTGGGCAATAATAGATGACCAGCTTTGAAGTTTGAACAAAATTATGTACCTCTACGGATTAATGATTTTCATTTTATGCTTGTGGGTTTGCAATTTAATAAATTTTAGACAAACATGTCAAGCTTGTTTTTGAGATGGTGTTGATGTGAATTTGGGGGGAATCAGGTGATCAAGTGAATATTTTCATGTGATTCTAATGATCTTTTTCTTTATTTTCATAGAGTTGAATCAGGGTTTGAATCAATTTAAGCTGGGTTAACAGAACTACAATGATTGAAACTCTTCTATTTTCGTTTGATTCTTCACAGAATCAGAAATCAGCCCGAACCCTTAACCTTCCATTCTGATGTCCGATACCCTACACTCATTAATTCCAAGAAATAAAGCCGTCAGGGATCCAACTGTTAAATGAGTTGGCAGATGTCCTTTTTTAATGACCCTTTCCAAGGATATCAGCTCGACAAGTTTTGTAAAATCGTTGCCTAACCAAGTGCGTCAGCCTACGAACAGAATTTTATATCGTCTCACTTGTCGTAATCGGTTCCTTGGATTTGGACAGCATCAAAAGTTTATTACTTCTTAATTGTAAACATTCCTCGTAGGTTTTTTTTTTTTTTGGTTGGCTCTATGGCCGTTTATTTATGTTTACTTAAGAGGGGATCAAAGAATATTAGGCAATAACGATTCTGTCTATACTTTTTAAGGCTCTTTGTTTTGTTTTAAATACGCGCCTGCACGTTTTAATTGTGTTAAAGCCAATTGCCATATTGTATTTGCAAAGCACGGAAGCACGAGGGAAAGAGGGGGACGGTGATGATATAAATATGAGAAGCGCCTTCAAACACACTTCTAAACTGGGAAGCTTAGCTAGCGAAGAAAAGTGTGCAAGGAGCAGACTTCCAGGGCTTTGATTATCAGAAACGGCGATTAAAACTCGGAGCTACTCCGTTGATGGCAAGCGTGAGATGACGATGGATGAGTTCAAAATATGGATAAAGATATTTGATGAAGATAAAGATGGTAGGATAAGCAAAGACGAGCTTGCAGACGCTATAAGAGTCTCAGGAGGATGGTTTGCTAGGAGGAAGAGCAACAATGTTATCCGATCTGTGGATGCTAATGGCAATGGCTTTATTGATGACAATGAGATCAAAAACCTTGCACGGTTCGCGGAGAAGCACTTAAACGTGAGAATATTGTTTAGGTAAAGTGTTACTTTGAGTCACATCCTTTTATTCCTTCTTGTTTGATATGTTCATCCATCCGTTGAATTGAACGAGTTGATAATCATCTTATACAAGCAATCTCCTTTGAACTAATGGGAAGATTAATTTTGTTATATCAATAAATAAATAAATAAATAAATAAATAATTAACACTACCCTTGTTCCCTCTGAGAGTTTTAATGAATGTTTGAACGTTTTTAACTGTCTGTAGAATCACATGAATTCACTATACAAAATTACAAATCGAACTACTCTTGAAGCCAAATACAACGGAGATGAACCAGCCTTTTTATTTCTACGCAAATTAAATTACTTTGGACAACTGAGAGTCAGCCAGCCCTGCACTTTCAAGAGCATGGTGGAAGTCCAGCCAACAGCCATGGTCACGTATAACCTGTAATTTGTCAGCGCAATCTTGTTATAAAATGTTTGAAAAATATACACACTCTGAAACTTTAATGGCGAAAGCTACTTGGATCTCAGAAAGTGCAGGCAAAGAGCTCGAAGGTCTCTGCCTCAACTGCTGCATGTCTAACATTAACTGCTGCTCTATGGGGTTAAAGTAAACTGCGACTCAATTTCCAAGCAGGTCCTAGTGTAACATGTCAACACATAAGCTCCGAACCCGCGTGACTCCGAAACCCTGGCATCCATTCATCCGACGAGCTGGATCAGCCTGATCGTCATGATTCACATCCTTATGAGATATTGTCTACTCTGGCCCCCTGACCTCATAATTTTGTCTTACAAAAAGGACCTCACAATGAAGAGGTAGTGTGAACCCTTTTATATCTCAGTGACCCTTCTATTATGTTCGATGTGGGATTCAGGACTCTTCCTTACGTCTCTGACATTCTTTCCCACCCAATCTCGTGACGCTCTCGTCACAGAGGCTAGCCACCTTGCCTACCTCCCTCGAGGCGCTTGACGTAGATCGAACGGTTTAAGGCTGGCTCTGGTTTTGTCCTACAAAAAGGACCTCACAAGGAAGAGATGGTATGAACCTTTTTATACCCCAGCGACCCTTCTATTATGTTCGATGTGAGATTCAGGACTCTTCTTTAGGTCCGTGATATTCTCCCCCACCCAATCTCGTGACGGCCTCGTCACGGAGGCTGGCCACCTTGCCTACCTCCCTTGAGAGGCTTGGCGTAGATCGAACGGTTTAGGGTTGGCTCTGATTTTGTCCTACAAAAAGGACCTCACAAGAAAGAGGTGGTGTGAACCCTTATACCCCAGTGATCCTTCTATTATGTTTGATGTGGGATTCAGGACTCTTCCTTAAGTCCGTGACATTCTCCCCCACTCAATCTCGTGACGCCCTCTGGAGGCTGATCACCCTGCCTACCTCTCTCGAGATGCTTGGCGTAGATCGAACAGTTTAGGGCTGGCTCTGATACCACTTGTAACGGGTCGAGACTTAAGCTCCGACACGTCTCAGATCAGCCTACCTGCCATGGTTTACGGCCTTGTGAGGTATTGTCCGCTCTGCCCCCATGGCCTCACGGTTTTGTCCTACAAAAGACGCCTCACAAGGAAGAGGTGGTGTGAACCCTTTTATACCCCAATGACCCTCCTATTATGTTCGATGTGAAATTTAGGATTCTTCCTTAGGTCCGTGACACTAGAATGTAGCCGACAATTCATTTTCGATAACTACACAACAGTCCATCCCGAGGTTTTTAACAAATATGCAAAACCGACAATAAAAGAAGATACCTGAACTGCTCCAGAAGGATTGCAGACATCATCCATCTATCTCAGTATCCGAATGCTCAAGCAATATATTCTAGCTGACAACTTCATATATCAATCAGAGGGGGAGGCAGTTTCCAGAAATTCCATGAATTAAAATCCTCCTGTAATCAATAGAATAAAGAAGCAGAGCAAACAAAGTTGAGACACCCCAAAAAGAATTGAATTGAACTTGAAAATTTAGACATAGTATATTTTCAGGGGAAGGTGAGACCTGGCATGACACCTAAGTGAAGGATAGAAGTCTAGAAGAAAGAAGAGAACAATTGTGTCTCTTTCCATAAAACAAATATAGCAAAAACTCAGCCTAGTTGCCTTCACAACCATGTTTTCAAGCAGAAATATCCAGAAGAGGCCCCAGTAATACTAAGCCTGAAGTCATAGTCTATGGTTTTGGAAACAAACTCCACATTGTGAGTCATAAATGGAAAGGAAAAGGTAACAAAACCTGCTCAAAGGAGGTCGTTGGTGGAAACATGCCATGAACAAGAGCATGAAGCGAACTATAAGATTTTGTGTCAATACGGCGGTTCACAGCAACCTCACCCTGTAAACTTGAACCCATTAGAGGAGAAGTTTGGTGCAGTAACAAAACAAGCATTTTGGTCGCCTTTCTGTAAGCATGAAAGCCCTAGATTACCTTTGGATTAATAATGAAGATTTTCCCTTTTGGGATTCCGACCTTCACATAGCTGATTTCATCAGTGTCTCTATTCCCAAAACCAGCATAGAATGGATTGCAATCAGATGGAAACAATGCCTTGATCTCCTATAAGTCAAAAGATATTAAAAAAAATAGTGCATTAAAATGTTCCTAATTTTAGATATATCTGATACTTATGATCTACCTATATATATTGGAAAGCTTTTAAATCTCTAAGTGTAATGCATAGTATCTACAAAGCCATAAAGAATTTTTAAGCTAAGAGTTGTGATGCACAATATTAAGAAAGACTGAAATCACGAGGAATGATGTGTTTTGAGCTAAAAACTAATTCTAGAGTTGTAATAACATAAATTTGCTTTATAACTCAAAAGTGCAATAAAGTAAGGCATCCCTCAAAACACAGTAAATTCCTCTCAGACTTGCATGCAACCCATTCAACCTATTTGATTCTTTTTTTTTTTTGGGGTATTTAAGCTGATTTGATTCACAACCCATTGGGATATAAATAAAAACTTCAAATGCAATAAATAATCATAATTTTTAACAGCAAAAATATCATATCATAGAAGTTAATCATATCATAAGTAGGTATGTCAGAGCAGAGAACTAACCTCTAAGCAGGAAATCTTAAACTCATGAGGAGCTCTTCTAATAACTGAGAAATATATAGGATGTTTCAGTCCAAATAATATGGTTTAGAGATATCTTTTGGGGGTGGGGAAGAAAGAGACAGATAAGAACAGATACATAGAAAACTCTAACACGCATGAAGAGTTAAAAGCATACACTCCAAATCAAAAACAATAACATATTAACTACTTAACCTTCAATTTGAATTTCAAATTGGTCATGCATAGGAAGATTTTAATTTCCTACATAAAAGGCATGTAAGAGTAAAGAGAAACAAAGTAAAATAGAACAAACTTTCATACTTATTGCAGCTCAAAGCATCATACAACTAAACTTTGATTTTTCATTCTGCAATTGCATGTCTCATGCATCGATTTCCAAAGGTACTATGGCTTCTCATCTTAGTTATTGAAGAAATGTCATAAATCTCTCAAGGAGTTAAACATAATGGGGATTTACAGCCTCAAGATAATGCACCATGTCTCATGGAATTTCATACAAGCGAAAGGAGGCATTTGCCTTATACCGCAAAAGGTTGGCAATTTAGATACTCATATGCCACTTTTTTTTAATTTAACAAACTAGAATAACATAACTGATGTCCTAATTAGACTACGGAATGCATAAATCATGCGACAAAACCAAAAGGATAAATAGAAGCAAATTAAAATGTTATATGTTTCATAACAAAAGCAAGCCCAGAACAACAGTCACATATCTCACACATGAGAAGCAACCCTAGAAACTGTTTTATTAAGTCTAGGAAATGCAACAAGTTACCTTCTCTATATAGGGATGGAAAAAGCCCATCAGGGGAAATAACAATTGGCCCATCAGGTAAAGCTTTACCATCCTACAGATATTAAGATATGCTAGTTAAACAGTTTCACCTTTTTATGAACAATGGTATGCTAAACAAAGAAAAAGGATAATACCAAACATGAACTTTTTTCATTTCTGGATTCTCACTTTTCAGTTCAATTTAAGAAAAGCATTAAACTAGCATAGATTACCTGCTTAAGGTTGACTAAAAATTGTCTAGTGGTATAGGCCTGGGAAATCGCACGCGCACTAAGAAAAAGCAACTGATACCCATTTTCCTGCAATATAGGAGAAGAATTTTGATCTATTGAAGTTATTAACAGTGTTATTCATATTCATGCATTAGAGTCCACATAAAATCTAGAAAGTTTTTTTTTTTTTTCCTACAATCCGAAAAAAGACAATGATTGCATGCAAGGGCCTCCACTAAGACTGTACATGCTTGACAAAACAAAGGTTTTTTTGGTTGTGCAATAATGAATTAAAGTATCATGAGCTGAAAAATTAACCTGTAAGATGAAAAGTAACCTACCTTAATAGCTGAAAATAAATGTGCAACACCTGTTTGTGACCAGTCTATCCCAACCAAAGGCATGAACTGTCCTAGAACATCTGATCTGTAACAATAACATAAAAATTAGGGAAGCCAGAAATGACCAAAAGAAACCTTGGTCTGCAGCAATTAAGAACTTAAGAAAGAACCAGTTTATAAAAGAAACCTACTGTAAAAATTCAAGGTTATGTAATGCTAGCTGTCTCCAATACCTTGTGGGCCAAGAGTAGAACTATGAAAAACAAGCAAAATTCATTTTGAGAAAAGACATCCATGAATTTTGAGCCAAAGATTAAGATTGACAAAACAAAATATACTCAGGTTATCCAAAAGCTAATGCTAAAGCTACATATAATATAAATAAAAAGGATGGACTGAAAGAAAGAACTATAGAGAAACACCAGTAGCCATCAAGCTCAAACTCCTAGCAAGTACATTTCAATTTTGAAGTGACCGATTGCCAGAAGTATGGACAGCCTGAAATCTAAACCATGGCCACTTTCTTGGGCTATCAAAAGCTAGCATTCTGCAAAAGGTTTTTCTTATGCACCTGTTGTATCTTACAACCAAATCATCAAATCCTTCTTATCTGTTTCACCCTGGCCAACAGATTAGTGTCCATATCTATGTTTTCTTCTTTCTATTGCATATGTGTGTTTCTCAAGCAATTAACCCAAAACTCAGCCCATAGATGGTATGACTCAATTTGGATGGAGATTCCCCACCTAAATCAACTGTGACCAAGCTTTACCACCTAGGCTAAGCAACATCTCAAATAGCCAGTAAACTTTAATTACTAATTTAATGTTATACCCATTATAATATGAAGCACATATTGAACTATCATTCGCAACATGTGGCTGTTATCTACAGCTGACATTTAATTGCAAGAAAGAGAAGTTAATGATGCAGACATGAACTTTAACCATTGCTCAATCTAAAACATGAAGTAGCATACAGGGTGTTCTGGATCAGAAAATCTCAGAAACATACTTACCTTGTAATTGTCCCATCAACATCTGAGATTACTATACGAGTGTTCCATTTCCACAAATAGATTCTGGCATCAACCTGTTGAGTACATGATTTTGAGTGAGCACGTCCAGACTACAAGTGATAAATCAGAAATGATCTTAACAAAAAAAAACTAAATAAGAATTTATTAAGACTATGCGACTTCAAGCAAGAATTCAGCAAAAAGGACCTGCTGTTTCCCTAGCATAGCGGTAGAAAATGTGAAGGTTATATGATTCATCCCATCCTTTAGATTCAACAATGCCAGCTGTTCAGAGGTTGGAGTGATTTCCCTGATCATCTTCTTCGCCTGCTTGGGTTTAAGCATTTTTTTATCATCATCACTTGCAATGGTACTGTCTGCAGCAGTCTCAGCATCCAAACCTCTGCTATCAGCTGGAGCCAGCTGCACAGCCTTCCTTGATCTTGATCTTTTCAAAGAAAAAGGCCAAAGCGTCCAGCTTCTGCTACTGGAGACTATGGCTTTTGATGGATCCCCTTCACTGGATTTTTCTGTTCTGTCAACAGGTATCATGCCTTTGGGTTCAAATATTTCTTCACTTCCAAATGCAACCATCCCTAAAAGAATAGAGGCTGCTGCATCCCATGGAAAGTAACGACCACCAATTCGAACAACAAGCCTATCATTCTTCACAACAGCAGGACCTAAAGTACTACATTTCTGGCTATCCAGTTTTTCAGCATCAAATGCTTGACAGGCAGCTTCAGCCCCCATCCCTTTATATAGCAAGTGTTTGCAAAGAGATATCTCTGCACAAAGCATGATGCATGTCACTTTCCACAATTTACAGCCTAAAGAGCAGTTGCACCAGAAAGACAGAATATTTCTTCTGCTTTTAGCTAAAATCAAAACAAATAGTATGTTTGTAATTTAGCACAATTCTATGAGTTTAACCATCATTTTAAAAAAGTTATTTTCTTGAATTATTTTCTACTGTCCTTCTGCAAAATACAACTTAGAAATATATTTCAATTCAGGGCATTCCACAAAAGGTGAGAAAGTAGCGTAAAGCGTAAACTTAAGAAGTGTAAGTAATAAATAATAACCAAGTTTTCTTATTTATCAACAGAAAAAAAAAAAGATAACCAAGTTCCCTTACCGACAGCAGGATTGTAAAGAGCATTTTTCAGCTTCCCTGAAGTCTCATTCTCCTCACTGCTAGACCTTTTTTGTGCTAATGGTTGTTCCTCATCTGCATCTGACCTTATGCAGCTGGAATCATCTTTCCTGATTGATGTCCACTTCATGGTTTCAGAATTAGAGTCCAGAGAATAGCTTAGAGGACGATGGTTGTTTGCATCAAACTTGGCAACAGGAGACTGCATATTAGGAAGTGATTCCACCTGCCACCCATATTTTTGACCAGCTACTCTATGTTTTCTAGAAATACTAATAGGATTAGAGACTATCCTTGACTTTTCGACAGAGATTTCCAGATCAGTTGATGGATTCTCCTCAACAAACTTCTTAGGATTTAAATATGACTCATTAATCATATTACATAAACCATTTACTTCTTCAGTTTCTGTACAAATTGAGGGGTGAAGATCTTCATTTACAGAGTCTTGCTCATGTAGTTTGAATTCCTCAAGGTCACTGAAAATGAATTGTTCATCCTCTGAACTCTCTGATGGAGGAACACTTTTCTTTGGGTCACTATCAACATAAAAGTTTTGAGAATCATCAACAGACTCCAAAGAAGGATGGAGACCATCCTTGGTGTTCTTCTCACCTTCAACTTGATTACCTAAATCACTGATGGTCGAAGTGGTGTGAATGCTATGCGACTTCCTTTCTTCCAAACCAATTACAGGGTCAACATGGACCATTTCAGAATAGGATTCTGACACAGTTAATTGCCCTTCAGAATCTAATTCCATGTCCTCAGCTTGCTTGAGAACTGTAACCTGATGAAAACCATCCAATACATTAGTTCAGCAAGATTTTTCAATTATCAAGAGAATATTATGCAAAGAAAAAACTTAGGTTCAATTTCAATTCTGACATAGTTCAAAGCAGTTTTCTTGCCTTCAAAGAGTAACGCATTATTAAATAAGTTGCCAAAATATGCACATCCTTAAAACATATTTTGTTTAAATGTCTCTTGCGACTATATAAAATATTTTGGATGAGAGTTCACCTCTGGAGCACACACTTTCCCATCTCCTACATCAGAAAGGCGCAGCATTTGATGAGTTTGCTCACTTGAACCATCAAATTTTATTACTAAGCTCTCTGATGTTTTGCAGTAAAGAAAAGATTGAAGACTGTCTGAAGCATTCTCGTTAGAGGAAATCCCACAGCCTGGTAGAATAACATTGCTTTCATTATCAGCCAGTTCTTCATCAAACTGCTTCTTAATACATGCTTCAAGCTTAAATTCACTTTGCAGATCAGGACCACTCATCCCTGAGACAGCACTGATCTCATTTTCATCATGATCAGAATTCCCAACACTTTGATCATCAATAGTTCCTGATATATTGGCTATTACTTTGTATTTTTCTTCCATAAAACCTTCACCTAATAAGGAGGTTTCATCAATTTGTTGCTTGGTGCTTACACAAGACACTTGTATGCTAGCTTCCTTAACAGAATACTCTAAGTTCTCAAGGCCAGAATGAGAACAGCTGACCTTTTGCTTGTTGCAGAAGTCAGTTTTCTCTGGTAATGTCTGTTGATCAATACTATTTTCCTCCTTATCATGTGCAGAAAAGTGAAACTGGTTTTCGTCATCATTAATCCTTTCCTCCTTATCATGTAGAGAAGAGTGAAGTTGGTTTTCTTCATCATTAATTTTTTGCTTGTTGCAGAGGTCAGTTTTCTCTGGTAATGTCTGGTGATCAATACTATTTTCCTCCTTATTATGTGCAGAAGAGTGAAACTGGTTTTCTTCATCACTAATCTTTTCCTCCTGATCATGTAGAGAAGAGTGAAATTGGTTTTCTTCATCATTAATCTGTATCTCCTCTGCAGAACCTTTATTGTCCAATATATCGTTTGTCGAAGAAAATTGGGAAGCATTATTATTTGATCTATTAGAGGTGAGATTGGTAGACCACTTCACCTCCAAAAGGTCAGCAGCAATCTCAGCACGCTCCAATGAATCTGCCCTCATCACACCATCACCCTCCCGGTAACCATCCTCCTTTGTTGACCTCTGTCCAAAAACAAGCCCAAATATCCGTGACCGTCCAGAACTAGTCCTAGCCACAATCTTCCCATTGCTCACATCAACTTGGCCCTCTGAGTTTGACTTATAAGCATCATAGTTACTAATCTTCACTGGCCTCCTATTACCAGTCGATGGCTCATCTGTCTCATCACCAGAAGAAAAAGGAAATGATACAGCATGGGAGTCCCCTTCTTCAACAAATACCTCCCTGAGAAAGTATGCTTCCCCTTTATGATCAAGAAACATGTGGAAATTCGCTTCAATGCCATTAACACTGATGCTGACCACCTTTTCCCTTGTCTTTAAAACCCCTTGAAATTTACCAAACCTAACATACCAAGGCGATGATTTGAAGCTCCCATCAGGTTGTTCCACTACTATTATATCCACAGCACCACCAAAAGGATGAAAAGGAGCAGAAACCGTATACACACCGCGGGAGATATAGCTACCTAGCCTCCCCACCGCGTACATAGTCTTGCCTCCGAATTTATAAGACCAACCCAGATCTCAAATACATAAAAAGTTAACCATAATTCAGAATCCTTATGGATAGCCTTTGACAAGTGCGATTCTGAAATTCTCACTCGAAAAAACTAAAGCTTTAAATTCTGCAAATACCCAGATTATAAAATCTCAAATCTCAATACATAATTAAAGACCCAATCAATCAAAAGAGAACAAAAAATGATTTTTTTTTTTTTACTGAAAAAACAATAACGCACCAATTAGAAAGAGACAAAACCTCTTATAAATGAACAAAGTAAAAGATGGACAAAACGTATAAATTAGGGTATTGTCCAATTCCCAGTAATTCAAAAACAACAAACAGACAAACAAGAAAAGCATTAATCAAACCGCTACAATGAGAATGGCAGTTGAGAGAAATAAAGAATTTCTTTGTTTTTAACGTATCGGAATGTCGCCAGAAAACAAGAGAATTTATGTCTCTCAAAAACTAACAAAAGAATAAGAAGAAAAAAGGAAACAGACCTGGGAATGGAAAGAGAAAGGCTTTAAGCTTGAGAGAGAGCCAAGAGAGACCAGCAGTTCCGCGATCCCAACAAAGAGAGACGGAGAGAGAAAAGAGAACAAGAGATGACATGTCAGCAAGTGGTTTGAGTTCGGTGCAAATAGTTACACTATTTTCTGTCTCTCTTGTGGACCAAAAAAAGTCATATAACATACAAAACATAAAACATGACATAAAACCATGACTGGGTTATTTTGCTTTTTCTTTTCTTCAAATAGAAACAGAAAATACGATAAAACAAAAGAAATTCGAGCTTGGTTGGAGTAGATATGGAAATCGGATTTGGCAGTTAGGAGCAAACCCCCTACAAGCTATTGTTTTACAAGCATGGCCATGGATATTATAATATTGGAATAAAAAAAAGAGTGAATTGTAAACTCTTGTAAAGTAAAAATAACAATCTAAATGAAACATGAAAACAAAAAAAAAAAAAAGCAAAAATTTGGAAATAAATATTGATTATGATTCAATAGTACCTAAAAAGTTTTAGTCTATACGGGGTGTATCTCACTGGTTGTTGGGACCTTTAATTTTATTTCACTTGATAATAACAAATTTGTCTGCTCCTTGTACCTTTGCTATTAATGAAAATGGACGTTACAAATATCCTAACACATCAGCTGTAGTTGTCGTGTCTCTTGCTCTTGGCTTTGGTTTTGGATCTTATGGTATTGGCATGACGAAGTGATGCTTCTTACTAGATTAAGTAAAGATAAATAAATTTGATCATTTAAAATATAAGATAAATATAATTAAATAAGAATAGATAAATTTGATAATTAAAATATAGTATGAATATAATACGAAAATAAGATATAAAAAAAATACAGTTTATAATTTAACAATAATTATATATAGATTTAATGTAACAAAAAAAATTATATTTAATATTTTAAAAAATTATAATACGTAATTTTTATTATAAAATATGATACGAATATACGAATTTTAATATTTTATATTATATAAATACACGAATCAACAAATTTAATGATAAGAATGGGCCAAATTTGCTATTTTTAAATAAATTATTAATAGTTGTTGTAACTTGTTTTATATGTGAACATATATTTTTAACTATGTATTATTGATATATTTAAAATTATAATTATAAACTATAAATAAGTGAGAAATTAGTGATTTTTAATTGATAATTGATTTAAGAATAAAGATTTATATATTTTAATTGTAAATTTAAACTACTAATTATAAAATAAAATTTTCATTAAGAAAAAGTTATAGGCATAAGTGCTACTGTTTGAACATTGAACTATTGATTCACAAAGTTAAGCACGACTAATTATAATTAAAACAATATCTGAAAACAACACAACTATATTACCCAACCGAAACATTAATCTAACCTAAAAAAGAAGCTCTTCAAATCACCAAAACAAACTATTAAAAAAAAAAATCAACAAGACCAAATTAACATAATTATTCCACATTTTATTCGTTTAATTTAATGTTTGATTTTTACTAAACTTAATGATGAAAGAATCATTTAGAAAATAAAGCAATAAACAAACTATAATTTGTAAAATAAAAAAAAATTAACTAATGTGTTTACTTTTTGAATAAATAGTAACATTTTCTGAAAATATTTTATCTATTCTTACTTTTATATATATTATAGTTATATAAAAAGATTATAGATTATAAATTATAGATATAGAAAAATATGATAAAATGTTGGGCTGTCATGGTCATGCAAATTATAGAAAGGAAACAAATACATATGACATGGTAATATGATAGGAAAAATATTAGATATATATATTATTTAAAATTTTATATAATTAAGTTTAATTATATATAAATTAAGCCCAACCAAGCTAGTTTGTTGTAGTTGGGTCCCGGGAGAAGTCGAACAAAAGCCCAACTATCAATGTAGCTGTGAGCCTAAGATAGCATGGGTCAGCCTAGCTAGCCCGAATACAAACGCTCAAAAAATTTATGGAACTTTCGCCATTGGTGGATACATGTACTTTGAGCATCTAAAGTCCGAAACAGAGTGAGATTAATTATTTGAGCAAATTGATGTTTTTCCTAAGATGGTAGGTAGACGAGGCCTTTCCTTTCATGTCAGCATTGTGAACCACAGATGGAGCTTTGGATTGTTGTGGCCTCATGGGTTTTTTTGTATCTGGTGCTTCAACTCATCAGTTTTCTAATCTGTGGTTGACAGCTTCTTGTTATTATCTGATGAATTGGCCTTGCAAAATTATTAGACGTTTAATCAAATGATGAAATACATCATACCCTTTCTTTTTTGGAATTTTATACCAACTGCTTTATGTTAGAAAGCTCTCATTTCTTCTGGTGCATTTATCTCTTTCTGAAAACTTCAAGAGAAACTCAAAACACAATGACAAAATTGTTTCTAATCTTCAGAAAGATTAAAACGCTAAATAAAAAGAAATATTTAAGAAAGAATTCGATGGTCAAATGGAAATCTTCCATGAAATTTTCTCTGACACTTGTTTTTCAAGATTTTTGAAGATATGGAATTTTCCTGTTTGTCTAATGAAATAGACAACTCATGATCACAACAATCTCAATGTCTCTTTCCCTTCCCTTATAATTGATGGCAAAATTGTACCGCGCACGATCAGCTGCTCCTTTGTTCTTGTTTCATGTTCATTGAATTTTGTTACAGCAACTTTCTTATGGAGAATCAAAATGAAATAAACAGTCAAGAAAGTATAGAGATGTTGTATTTATTTACTCTATTAATAATATTAATTTTAATTATCATCGAATTAATACACATCCAATTATCACGTCACTAGCACATAAGTAACATCTACACTTTTCGTTTTAAAACAAGCTACCTCTCATAAAAGAGAAACTCGTCTAATTATCTCTATTAACATCTCATCAAGATATCATTTTAAAATAAAAAATGATTGGTCTCTAATTTACTTAAAATTATTAAATATGATATTCGTATGCATAAAATCATTAAATATAAACCACAATTACTCACATGAATTTTTTTTTATCTTCATATAAATTTATTGCCATCTATCAACTATTATGATCTTATCATTATTTTTCTTCTCATATATATATATATATATATAAAATAAAAGGAGTTCAAGATATGATATGAACTAAACATTTTTTCTCTTGAAGCTTCCTCAAATTTTACTGTACATTTTTTTCTTTTTTAAACCCTTAAATACCTTATAGACTTAAGTAGTGGAGTACGTCCCGAAAAATCAATTTTGACATCGTGCTTTCTTGTTACAAGTTCAATCTTTCCCTCATTCAACGACCGGATCATTTCCCTTCACCTAACACCAAAAAATACCATCAACAATAGACAATCTGAATTTGTTCTATTTCTATTTATTTTCTTTTATTGTCTGTTTTCTTCAACTTTGTTTTCAGGAAAAGAAGCTTAATTGCATGGAATAGAAATGCATAGTATAATTATACACTGGCTTTGGCACATCATGATTGATTCTTGAGCCCTTTTCGTGGGGTTTTTTTTTTTTTTTTTTTGAGAAAAGGAATTCCCAGGTAGTCAATTCCATGATTTCAGATAATCATCATGTATCTAAAATCTAAGCCATATAATATTAGACAATAAGTTTAACTTATTTCACCAATGCATGGTCAAAGAAAGTTGGTTAGTTGGAAATAATCGAATATTTGTTTTATAAGATATAAATTCGATTTTTATTGTCAATAATTTTCTTAGATAGATAATCTGTCAATTTAATATAATTTTTTTAAAAACCTACGGTCTCTTCCCTTACTTTCAATTTTTTTCAAAAAAAAAAAAACACCAATGCGTCCATGTGGTAAAGTCATGCTCAAATACTCTTCTCCCCTGGAAGATCAGCTATTTAGCCCCCCTTCTTTGTTTCGGCTTTTATAGACTCTGTAGCTTCGGCGTGGTGATGCTAATTAAAAAAAGTAGGAAAAGCCCTTCCATTTCCATATATCAGGAAATATATCAGAAAGATGACCCTGGAAAAGAGAAAAAGGGAATTCAGTCAATTGCAGCCATCATCACAATCTATCATCGTCCTCATCATTTTCATGGTTTTTAATAGCACTCAAATGAATCATGTCTTTGATATTAAGCTCCAACATTGTTGACATAGCATATGCAAAATGTTGTAGTACTTGGTACTCTTGTGAAATTTTGAAGCTGTCAAGTCAAGAGTGTTCCACAGCTCTTTTGAAACTCCGGTTGATACCATTTCTTTTTATGGCACCTAAGACTAGAAATGGTTTTTGTTCCCTTTTGATTGCCTTTTCTTGTAGGGACTGAAGATTAAAAAGTTACTGCGCCCTTTTTAGCTTTTCTCCCTTCCCCTACTTGCAGCAGAAACTAACTTTGCCTTCTCCTGTGGGCTCTTATAACCACTGTTTGATTCATGGCAAAATGCTAAAGAAAGAAAATTTTCAAGGAAAATGAACCAATGAAAAATGATAAGTTTGGTCTTTGGTGACGATGTATTCATCTTTTTAATTGCTGAAAAAAATTGTGACTCTCGGAACTACTTTTTTGTAAAACTAAGGGGTAGTTGGATATAAAAAAAAAAAGAAAAAAAAATCTCACTGAAATTCTCTACTAAAAAATATTAAGAAATTCAATACATTAATATAAATGCCATCTCATATTTAACATACTGGAATTGAACAACTTTCATTGTTAATTTAATGCAATCATGTGAACAGATTTTTGAATCCTCAAAATCTTTGACATTCAAAATCTTACTTGTCACCAGAGTATGACATACTCTGCAACTAAAGGTAAGAAAATTCAGAACCAGTTTTTCATTTTAACATGTAGAAATTTATTAAAGCAATCTTCATTTTTTTTGTCAAACTAATGTCATAATCCTTTGTACGTACCATTTATACACAGAAAAATATAACTTATAAAAGTTGAATAAATATGAAAAATAATCAAAATTTGGCCTAGCATTCAAGTTTGTCTTCCCCTCTAATGGAATTCTTGCAATGAGCAATTGCAGCTTGAATTGCAGCCTGCAACTCTTCCATGGTGCTGTCACTGGTTGAAGAAGGAAAACCTGTGGTTGCAACAAGAAGACCACTATTTGTAGGAGATGTTCTCATCGAAGCAGGAGCTGAATATTCTCCTCTCCTTCCTCTCAACTCTTGCTTTTTGTTTCTCAAACTTAAATTACCTGAAAATGAATAAGACTGCCTGTGGGGATGGAGATTCTCTCTCCTTCCTCTGAAAAACAACAATGGCCGAACCATCCTCACGTACCTCTTTAACACATGACTTACGTCGAATCTCGTCTTTGTCTTGTGCTTCTCTTTTTCTTCTGTTTCTCTAATGTCGACACGCCCTTTTTGCCATCTAGTTAAACCAAATAAGGAGAAAGACTTGGACTTGTTCCTTCCTATTGCTTCAATGTTGTGGCTTTGATGATGACGGTTGCCAACTCTGTCATGGTTTTTGTTGCTGCTGCTTCTGATATTGCTGTCGCTTTTGCTGCTATAATTGCCGCTAGTTTTATCAGGTTTTGGGTCGTCTAATAACTCTCTTATGGGAAGGGTAAAGCTGTCCAACGAATTAGTAGAGGAACGTGGAGATACTGGGAGGTGAGAAAGGAGGTGGAGAGGGAGCAAGTGACCATGAAAGAAAATGTCATCTGCTGGAGACAAATCAATTGCGATTGAAGGGGGGATTTTGGTTTTGCTATCAGGGACTATATTGGAGGAAGAGTGGAGAGAGATTGTGAAGGAGAATTCATGAGAAGGAGATGAGGATGCTGAAGGAGGTGAAGCAGGGGATATTGATGACTGTTGCTTATCGGCTGACCCTTCTTTTGTTTCATGTTTTAACTTGCCTTCTTGATGCTTCCTGTCTACAACTTTCTCTCTGCTCTTTTGCTGCTGATAAGTTTCCATGATTGTAATTAAGCTCCCTCCAAAGGCTAACAAGATCTGATTCAGTATCTGAAAAAAAATTCTCTTTTTTTCCTACCTTGGGTTGGTTTGTTTATGTATTACCAAAACTTTTTGTGAAAGAATGGGGGGATAAGGAGATTAGGAGGCAGTGGAGAGAGAGAGAGAGAGAGAGAGAGGGAGGGAGGGAGACTGTTGTCAAACTGGAGTTGGGTTTAACGTGTCTTTTGCACAACATGCGACATATATTTGGTTACTTTTTTGCATTATTCTTCAATAGAGAGAAAGGGTGTGGTGGCCATTGGGGCACTATGGAGATGAGATGATACATTTAGCAGTCTGTGTCAAAAGGGTTGGTGGGTCCTTTTCAAATCCAGCACCTTCTGAAACTGCTGATCAAAAGAAATTAGATCACAAACATCCAAATTTGCCCACAACAGGCAGATGGAATGGCTTTATTCTTTGGGTATATGTCTTTCTATGTGACTAGTTCTGCCAATAAGAGGGCCTAGCGGCAAAAAGAAAAAGTGAGTCATGTTCATATACACACGGAAAGATGTGCATTCATTTCAAGAGGCATCTTAGAAAGTTGGGATTGGAATATATAACCAAACACTTATATCCTTTCACTGTTACCGGGAATAACCTATCTTCTCTTTTTGCACGCAAGTTAAATTTTTTTCATTTTAGAGTTAAGACTTCATTTAGTTTATTGTTTTCGTTTGAAACGTTGTTTCAACAATGCTATCTTGGCAAGGAAATTATGTCATTCAAAGAATTGGTCTAAGGCTCTATCTCTGAGCTAAGGATTTATGCCCCGTGGAGTAAAATCTTTTTCAAGTCTTTAATGTTTAAAGTCCAAGTCTACTGCCATTGTTCAACTAATTTGAAATTCACATTCTTTTCCCTTTCTTATATCATATTCATATGTATTTTATACAAATTTTCTCTTTGAATGGACCCGATTTAACACAACATTTTCAAGATTTTAAGCTGATTTTGATCATTATCATTTTGGGTTACCAAAAAATTGAGATGGGACTGGCGTCATAATCCTTCATTGGAAACATTTTCTGCAATCCTTTGAAGAATTTGGATAGACAGACAGTGTGGAAATGATTTCATTGTTTGTTGGGGCAGAGATGACGACCCCACCATTGATGTTTCATCATGAACTCAACAGGAATGACTGAGGCTTTAGCTATGACAGGCAAATTGCAAAAACAAGCAGCGTTGGTGCAAAGGGTTTTATTCATCAGTCAATTTAAGAATATAGACAAGGAAGAAGAACAACCATGCGCAGATAGGTCTACACTTGATCTCGTGACAAGAATTTTGAAGCGTCCGATTAAGATCAGAGGGTGTTGAATGTGGTGAAATCAGAAAGATGGATTGTGCGTGTGAAGGTAGGGGGGTGGGGATTGGAATGGAACACGGACAGTTAGGTGAGATGGTAGACCCACACACACGTGTACAAAGTGGCCTTCCAGCATACTAGTGTCCATGGAAGAATTTTGTTCATTTAGTTAAGGTCAACATCTCAATCATGTCGGCATTATTCTTCGCCACTCAAAATCTTGTTCTATTTCTCTAAAGATAAGAAGGGAAGGGGGAGAAGAAAAACAGGACATAAAACAAAGATTTCACCTTCAAAACCCATATAAGATCCTTTAGGTTGGGAAGCTCTCCCTTTTTCCAGTGGCCACTCAATATCTCAAATACTTTCTCTTCCAAAGACAGAAACAGTCAACAATCTCCTACTCTCTCCCTTCTCCATGCCCTATGGTTTTTATGAATCTTATTATCAAACAAACCTTGCAACCAACGTTAGAAATCATATCATATGATCCATTGGATGTTTTCTCTAACCAAAGCTTTGTTCTGAAAACTCCCTATTCATTTACGTATCTCTGTTTTACTTTCATTTGCTTTTCTGCCTTCTCTTGTTTTTGCTTATAAATTTCGTTGTTGGTTTCTAAATTCTAATGTGAATAACGAGGGAAGAAATTGGAAACTTGCCTTCTTAACGAACTTGAATGGGTGCGGAGAGGGGGCGTGGAAAGCGAGTTCACATGTATCTTGAGTAGAGTCAACATCTTCCAGCCAAGCGGTTGCCTACTCGTCCCCACAGCAATGCTGGTCTCAACTGTGGTACATGAACACATGACGCCACTCCCGTGCTCAACGTATCTATCCTCACACACGGCAAGATCCAGCTACTAGGTATCGGTATCATAAAAGATTAAGATATGTACACAAACTAAGCATGTGTATTTATGGCAAAACAATTAACAGTTAATGATTAACCAACCATAGCTAATTAAAATAAATATATCAAAACAGTGGAGAATGAAATTGAAATTAAAACAGAATTGAACGTTTTGCTTAAAAAATCATGGAATTGCAAATTTTTCCATTCCAAAGATTTCCTTCCCACTTGTCAAAGGAAGGAATAAATATCAATGATACATGAACAAATTTCGTTAAGCAAGCTAATCACGCAAGTTTCTCCTAACTTTGGACAAATGTGTTTGAGCACTCATCAAACTCCCTATATATTATAACATTACACTTAAGTCCACTGCCATTTAAAGTTAGCTCTATGAATTGGAGCGACTGGTATACAATGGGATAAGCACGGAAAAAACAGTTACCTCTGAAGCATGCCACCATGCACTGCCGAGACTGTGAAACCTTCAGCCTATCTTTTCTTTCTCCATTTACACTCAAGGTAAAACACAAGTCTTCTCACTCCTGAAGCCAGAAAACAGAAATCTAAACACACATTTCAACTCTAATCTTCTGACTTGGAGTATAGATCCAAATGGACCAGAATGCTCGATGACCCCCAATAAGAAATTGAAGGAAGTTACTATAGTGAGAATGCACCATCGTCCCCATTTATAACCACCTCCAAAACAATTATTAGTGCCCACAAAATGCAACAGTAAATGGAGAGGTCTAGCTAATCACTTTCACTACTATGTCTATCTGAAAACAGGAAAAACAAGAAAAATAATCAAGGGTCTTTAGTAACATACATTTGCAATGAAGAAAGAGAGAGGGAACGAGGAAGTTCATTCATTACCTCCTGATGGTCTTTTCCCTTCCATGGCTTCCTTTTTCTCCTGGCAACTAGAGCAAAGGAAAGGACCATCCCAAGGACGCAACTTTACTGAATTAGATGAGCCAGCATGAATTGAAATACCCTCTCCAGGTTTCATCTCTAATTGACAGACTGCACACATGAACAGCTTAAACATGTTGCAAAGTGGATATTTTGTATCCAACCTGCATTTAAAAGAAGTGTTCCTCATGAGATAAAACTGCAAACTACTTTACCTTTCCTCATTCTATGCCCCATAGAATGGATAGAAATGACAGATATAAGGGTTTGATACTTGATCGGAAAATCAGAAGTACAAATTTCATAATTCAACAAATAGAGGATCCTAATAAGCACAAACCTTTCCGAAAGCATAGCAGATCCCTCCTCAAATAATTCCTCCACCACATCAGGCTCCATGTATTCTTTATCAACATGGGAAGATGATTCAGAAGGCTTCTTACGAAACATGGCCCTGAACATACCTTTTACTGGCTTCTTTGGTGGTGGCAAAGGAGCTGCCGGTTTCTCTTGTGGTAAGATATCAACAACAATGCAGGTTGTATCATCTCGAAGACCCTTTGCCTGTACTGCTTCCTGCTCATTGGAGACCAAGGAGTCAGAAGACATATAAAGAAAGGCAACTGATCTAATATATTGCAAAGCCAGTAAAGCATAGTGCTCCCAGCAGCAACATTTGAAGAGCATGCTATAGACAAAAGTAATTCAGGAGAGTACTTTCACAATCTGTGCAGCTGCTGCATCTGGTGGCATTCCGCGACAACAATCAAGAGCAACTTCAGCCGATAAAGCATCCCAAACACCATCACTAGAGATAATCATCCTACCACCAGCAGTAGACAACTGCAGAAAATTAAGTAGGTAAAATAAACTATTAATAACAATAACAATCTAAGAAAAGGTTTTCTAATTTTAGAAAAAAACACTAGCATGGTCAAACACCAAAGAAAACTGTTAAGGGAAAAAAGTGAGAGAAAAACTCAAATGTAAAAGAAATTCAAAGTGTTAGTCTAGGGCACATGAGGATATGAAATTAATGGCTCTACCATGTCCTTCAACTATTATGAATTCAGATATTGGTCCCAAGTTCAAGGAAGTCCATTACAGCCAAGGAAATATCCAATTTCTTATCACAGTTGCATAAGGAAAAAAATAAATAAATTAACAACATGGTCTGAAAGGAAATGTACAAAAAGCAATATTTAAGTGCAAAAGTTACATCAAGAAATCAAGACAAACCAACTAACAGATAACAGATATCAAATAGAGTTTGCGGGTAGATTATGAAAGACAAACCTTTACTTGCTTTACATATGGAACAGGAACAATGAACTCCCCAACATCCACATCACCAATGGATCTCGAAAGGCACAAGCCTCCAGGCCAACATCTCAAAGGACCGATCTATAAAATAACTTTATCATTAGGTTACCTGCTTTGATCTGCACAATCAATACAGTTTTTTCCTTGACAGCAGAATAAAGATACTGAAATTCTCCATGGAGAACAAATTATCATCTTTTACAAGCATATCAACATCATGTTTTTTAAATCTGCATCTAAACAAGATAGATACAGAAAAAGTTGTTGCGAATTACAATTGTTACAGCTATAAATGGTACGTTTTACAAAGGGTTCCTCTAGTTCCAGTTCAGTCATCATGGCCAGCATTGAAGACATGATTAGATGCAAATTGGAGGTTATAGTGACATTGTGAAGTTTCAACCAATAGCAGATTTTGCCACAATTGGAGCATCACCCATGAAATTTCTTGTTAATCGTTGTATTTCTGCTTTGTTTGCATTGCACTGCCCTTAGCAGTTGTGTGACATCTATAGCAGGTTTATCATGCTTCTTTGAATAAATGAAATTACAAGCTATAAAAAAAGATTCACATCAATTATCAAATAAGTTTTAATGGCTTTCTGCTCATAGAGTCATGTAATGTCTGGAACTAGCTTCTAGATTGTGTTTTCCAAGTATTTTGGTTGTACATCCGTTCACATCAATATATCTCAAGGGTGTTAAATTTTCACTGCTGGAAAGAAAAAGCTAAGGCCTATGAATCTGGAGAAAATTTGTGAAAGCACTCAAAAACAACAAAATGCATAATTGTATGGAAGAGGAGATACCTCTGTACCACCACCAGTATTTAACCGACCAACCTCACCCCCACATGCAGTGATCCGTTCCCTCCTAATAAGATGAAAAAAAAAAGTCCTCAATCTAAGGGGCAACTTTTAAAATCCAGCAAACACTACAACAACAACAACTTACTCCTCTACATTGCATTCAAGCCTATGATCAGCTGACAAGTAATATATTCCACCTTCAGCTGATTCAAATATACAACGAGAATCACCAACAGAAGCAACTGTTATAACCCATCCTTCTATTATCACAAAGGTTACAGTTGTACCTGACGTTCGTGCTGGAAAGAAAACCATAACACATATATCAAATACTAAACATGTAGGAGAAAACCCAAGAAGAAGTTATCACCAAAAAATTAAAAGAAAAAAAATACAATAACAACAAACTAAGCCTTATACTGGGGTCAGCTGTATAAAAGGCCAAAAAAAGGAATCATGTTAGGTTGTAGTTTTGAATCTTCTAATGCCACTCATTTCTATCAATTAAAAGAGAAAAAAATCTACTTAAAAAAAATCTACAGAAAAAAATTAACTCTTCAGGTCGTAGTTTTAAGAAGATCTTTTTTTTTTAATTAAAAGAAATATCTACTTAAAAATATGTTTTCTCTTCTTTATCCAAATTCCCACCCAATGGGTGGAAGAAATTAGTAGATTATGTATATGTATATGCTCGAGTAAAGTCATCATAAATAAGTAGAGGGGGAAAATAATTAATTGATGAAAGTGCCCGGTGTGTGTCTGTTGGTCTATGCAGTAAAGTATCGAGCTGGACACTGACTGGTAGTGCCAAATTTGATAATATCTAGATCAATTTCAAGATGAAATCTCAAGAACTATATGTTAACTACTGAGAAAATAGTCATAAACTAAAGATATTCCATAACAAGATCATACGAATATTGAACAAGCTGATCTATAGATAAATATCTGCTAATCTGCTACCCTCTGTTCATTGTACAAGGGAAGGCGCTACCGCTCCTGGATAGTATCCATAACAAAACAGCCACCCCACTTACCACCTGAGTAACCACAAATAGTGCAAATCATCTATCACAAAACAATACCCATCAACTTCTAAACCGCAACTCTTCCTACATATAAGCACGTTTTCTCCAATGAGATTCTTAATGATAAATCAGTTAAACTCCATATCCTACATGGACATAACAGAAAGCAAAAGGCAGCATCAAAAAAATGATCAGAGAGAAAATAAAACCGTTGGTTGAGTGAAATATGATACAATCTAACTCCACATGGATACAAGGATATGTGCAACCATAGAAGAATGCATAAATTTGCATAAATAGTAACAACCACTCCAAACGTATGTGCACAATTCTAATAAAATCAAAATTTATATCTAGACAACTACTCCTTTCTTGTCCAAAGGTTATCCTATAAAACGTATGCTATATACAGATATGTTTACATAAAACCAAAACAACGCATACCTCTCTCTTGGAAATCTTTATCTGTTTTAACAAAGCCTGCAACCAAAGCCCTTGGAAGGGCAGCAACCCATTCGTCTCTATTAAGATCTGTTGGAATAGCATTTAGAACATTATTAAGGAGATTCTCCTTAGTGTAAATAGCAGCAGCAGACCCGTTGTGTCCATCAAAGAGCTGCAGCAAAAAGGGTTTAGCAAGACCAACCTATAAACGGAAAAAAGTAAAAAACAATAAAGAACATCAAGGATGCATCAATTTAAAAAAATGACCTTTCCAAGGATTTACAAAAGCAAATATATGATTACAACTATATTTGGGCGAAACCAAACAAATTGTACTAAATCATAACACCAATATACCACATAGACAAAAGTTTGTAAACCTTTATATTCTGGTGATGCAAATTACAGGTTTTGTTGGTGAATTATGCGACTCCCACTTAATATTATATGATTACCACTGATTCAGTTAGCATGAGAGACAGAAAATTCATACCCCGAAAACTGAGAATGTGGTGACTCCATCTCCCATTGCTCTTTGGCATTCTGTTTTAAGCAACGTAAAGTCTTCGCCTTTCTTGCTCTGGCTTGCTTGTCCGTGTACAATCTCTGGATTTTCGATCTTTTCGCTTGCTAATTCTCGTTTCAGTAGAACCGACAGCGGCATGGTTTGATGTTCGCCTCTCGACGACATTGTTCCAAATTTCCAAATCCAAACACCACAACCAGTAACTAAACTCCTCCTAAAATAATGCCTCTAACTCTCCATGAATTACACTAAAAAAAATCCTGAAAGATACACGATGCATATTTCAATAATCAAATCTCATCGCAAAATAATCGAAATAAAAAATTGAATCAATCCATGATCATCTATTTCATATATATTCAAGAGATTAAACGGCAATGGCTAGGGCAGTTACAGCAAAAAAACATAGATATATTGGACAAAAAATTAGAAAATCTAATTTATATAAAATTTCAACGATCAGATTTTACATCAAAACAAAAACTAAATAAAAACATAAAAAAGAATCACCGAGTCAATAAGGCATTATAAATATTCCTACAAATCTGTTAATCACAACAGAAAAAAGCACCAAATCTCGATGTAAAAAAGAAAAATGAAATGAGAAAAGGAAACTTAAAGGAAAAGAGAAAGAGAAAATTACAGTGCGAAGAAAGAGAAGGGAAGGAGGAGGAGGAAGAGAAATCGGTTGATAGCAGCGGAATGGAGATTACGCGGGAAGAGAATGAGAAGAAGACGCGATGAATTAAATTAGTCGTAGCGATCGAGAAATTCGGATCCCGGCGTCCTGCGGAAATTCCATTCTTTTGTTGAATTGAAAAAGTTTTATTTTTTTTAGGAAGAAAGAAAGGAAAACAACAGTGCTCCTTTTACAATGCGGAAACGAAGCAGCTTTCTTTTTTTTTTTTTTTTTTGGCCTTTTAATATCTGACATGGCAAAACGGCGCGCTCGTATTAACTCGGCTGCACCCAAAGAAAAAAAAAACCGTTTTGAAGCCGTTGTGTCTAGTTTTGACCCATCGACCTTTATGCAGCGGGTGATTTTTGGACCGTCCGATTATCGATGAATAAGTATCAAAAATGGACTTTGGCCCCAAAGGGGATATATTCGTGGGCCACACGTTTACCCATTTTCCCTCTTCTAAAATGGAGCCGATCGCTGGCAATTTGATTTTTATTTTTTTATTAAGAGTACTAATTTAATTAAGAGAGGGCTGGCGCCGGTTAAGACGAGTCGTAGACGCATGATAGCGAAAATGATGAACGGACTAAGTCAATTCGTCCATTTTCCAGCTCCCAAGTAACGCATACAAAAATAATTATAACTAAACAAAAATTGCAATTGCGCCGGTTCATGTCACGTAGTTGTGAACTTGGTGTGGGCCAGTCAGAGCTTACAGCCCATGGGCCAACTTAATTTAGGCACCAATTTTTCTCTGTCTTTGCCAACCTAACCCTTTGACCTCCATCTGGACGAAGCGCAAAATTCTCGGCACCAGTTTATCCCTCTAATTAACAATCTAATCATCCCAACCAATCCCACTCGCAGATACCCCTGTGCTTCTAAAACTACGTTGTCGGACTCGGCGTGAGAAAGAAACGAGGATGATACAATATTTCTTTCTTGCTATTGTTTTGGATTGCAGTCCAAGCTGGTAAGGCTGGAATGGAAAGAGAAGGGGGCGAGCTTTCGCTTTTGTTTGCCCACCAATTTGTACATGCAATAAACAACAACACGAGCTAGCTCACCTACAAACACAAAATTTAAAAATAAATAAATAAATGAGATGTGATTGCTTTGCTCCTAAAGTTTTTCCAAAATCTAGGAAAACAAAGAAAAAAAATAGTGATGTGGGAATGCTTTGTATCAGTGAGAAACCTCCCAACAAATATTAATTATGGCTGCCTGAATGTCTAAATATTACAACATATGGAAAACATAACCAGAAATGTTATTAATACTTGTTGGGGCAGGCCTTGGGTATTAAGTAAATCTATGAACAAAAGCAACTACTTTCTCAACCATATGGTTTGACCAACCTTAAAAGGCAAAATCATGGCAGTTCTATTGAACCTGTTTACCTGCAACAAGTGAATCCAATGTTGATTAGTTGTAAAGAAATAAGAGTAGGAGCATAGAATTGGAATGCTTCAAAGGAGATGGCAAAACAATGGAGCATAGAATTGGAATTCACAGCACTGAATGAGTCATCAGCATATTCTTGTTCCAGCTTGACTTACCATCTCTTTGGTAAACAAGTTCAGTTGAAGTTTGAAATGGAAGTTTTAATTAACCCCAGTTTCCGGCCCACGAAAAAGATAATGCAAACCATGTGCTATACTTAAAATGTCAATAGAGTGAGAGACAAGGTGAAGGTCTCATTCCTAAAGACTTTAGAGGCCGTGGCTGGAGTGCTTCAAGTAGGTCCCAATCTAAGAAGAATAACAAAGTATGCAACAAATTGTACATTTTGCAAGTTATATGAAAAAGATGTTGATGCCACAATGGATGTCTTTATCAAAATTCTATTGCAAGTACTCTAATTCGATAACAATTGATAGCAATCATTACCTAACATAGCATTAATAAAGCTCACAAGATTAAGAAATATCAATGATTATCGAACTTTAGCAGGTATTCAACCAAAATGATTACTCAAACTGACTCTTCTGGTATGGCTCCAACATCCAAATTGTTTGAGCTTATAGCCTGTTACTTTGTTCAGAACCTTTCATCCTTACCTAGAAACAAAAAAGAAAAAGTGAGCATGACTCCTTGAAACCATTGAAGCATAACCATATACAATTTCTCTCACTGCAATAATTCCCTGGAGAAGCTCATTCACATAGACAAAAGGTGGGCTTACAAATATAGAACAAAAAAATATGATTCTTTTTATGTTGTTTGAAAGGAACGATGGAACTGGTAATGGGTTATCAAACACAGTACACATCCACAAACATTTTATTGGAGATGACTTTATTTTCAAACCAATATGAAAGCCAACAACAACAGAAAGGGATAGTCTACAGTAAACATAACCATATTTCAAAGAAAAAGAGAAATCAATGAAAAAATATCAGATTAACAAGAATGTTTAAGTTGAATCACCTTAAATTCTGTAGGTCGAACTAACTGAAAACCGATTGCGTCCCCATCTACCAACTCATGAGCAACCGCAAACCCTTCCATCCACCATTAAGTCCTGTTTTTCTAGCCAAATATATGGTTGGATGCTCATGGCCTTCTTTATCTATCTAAGTCATAGCATCATCACGCCTTTGAAAATTTCTCTTGCTGAACTGGACTGGAAGGCCCTGTCCTCGTATTTCACAAAACAGTACGTACGACCATTACTTCGGTGATAAATTAACACAATCCTTAATATGAAAAGGAAAATTCTAAATTATTAAGACCATCTGATGAATGCCATGTGAAACCTAAATTATATGATAAGCTCAAGTCTTGTTCTTTTATTCATTCTAACATAACAAACCAATCAGTTTTTTTTTTTTTTTTTTGTGGTGAAACCTGCAAAGATCATCACTAACAGCAGCTATCATCCATCTCAAATCCTATGTGATAATCACAAACCAAATCAACAAAGCTGACTACTGACCTTAAGTACAGATATAAAAAAAAAACTTTTTCAAAATTCCTATTTCCAATCAATACCACATGATTTCCTCGACTAGCCTAGGACTCTTATTATGTTCCAAAATATAATAGGAGATGAGTTTTAGAACAATGGGATCAGCAATGAGATTATTAAAGTTTACACTCTATTAGCCATTATGGATAACTGAAATAAGAAGTGAAAAATGAAAACACATCTTCCATGATCATGCCTTTAGCCCAATAAGTATTAAAATAACACAAATGAAAGACATAATTCTAGTACTGGACTTAAGAAGCAGTTCATAAGAGAAAAAAGATACTAGCAAACAAATGCAACCTACCAAATTTTGATACATATATAATATATTCTCTAAGCTAAATTATCAACAAGTTAATGTATTTGTTTATATAATTTCGGCATAAAGAACAGGCAAGTTCTACCACAAACATATTGTTTTCAAAATCCAATTTTGCGGGACAAGAACTAAGATCTAACTGAGTCCCAAGTAATGGAATGTAGAGGAGGGGAGAAAGACCAAGCTTCTTTCAAAAACATGAGTCACCATAAATCTATGACGCTGCTATCTAGTTATCATACCTAGAGAGAATTATCAACAACGACAGCAAGAAGCAAATAAGCCATGGATTAATTAATAGACAAACCAGCCAAAATCCACCAGTAACATGTGATTGAAGCATCGACTTCATGAAGACAGGAAAATCAGGCTCTAAACTAGATTCCAGTTTTTCTGCTTTCTCCAAAGCCTCTGCCCTGCCCTCATCCGAAGCATATACCCGGTTAGACAAATCCCTATTCTTAGATATCCTACATTTACCAAAAACATCTTCACATCATTAACTTCAATACTAAACCTTAAAAACCAACTAAAATCAAACATTACAAAAACTCTGAACCAATATTTCTTCTGGGTATCATCACTTTTTTCACAAGAACCTAATAAAAAGGAAAAAACTACAATAAATGCCAATTTTTTTAGCTTTAACTAAAACCATTGAACAGATTTAACGAAACCACACACTTCTTTGTAAGCAGGGGCGGGTTTGTTACTGACACGACCCGATCTCCTAACAACCAATTGTTTTCCGACCGTCCGAGGTTTCACCTGTTTTTTCTGTGATTTGGGGAATAAATAAACTTACCAAGGTAAGCTTCAGACTAATACAAGAGATTCAACAAAACGGAGGGGGTTTAAAGATGGGGTACGAAGAGCTTGAGAAAGCAGTGGAAGATTGAGAGCTTCCATTCTTATCTTCTTTTCTTCGACTCGTTTTCGGTGGCATTCCTCTTACGACTACTCCTTGGCTACCACCATTTTTGTCGAGAATCAAATACAAAAACGTTGGCTAATGGAGACTGGTGCAGTGACTAAAAACTAACCCATTCGACTGTTGGGCTCCCACTCATTTTTATCTTAAATGGTCAATCAAATTCAAAATCAAATTTTGAAATGAATGATTGTTTTGACAATTTCATCCTTTTCTTTTTTCTTCTCACATTTTTATCTATTTATAAGTTATAACAATATTTAACTACCTTCTTCAAGGAATAAAATAACATACACGGACATATCCAAATGAACTCTAGACATTCTACTTCTGCTATAAACACATTACTTAGGAGCATCGAATATTAATGAAGGTTAGATTGACAATTTATGGTTCATTTTTAGCATCTATACACGATATAAACACTTAATTAAACTACTGAAAACTCATCATCTAAACTGTATTAATTTTGATACAAATGAACTTTTAAGTATTTCATCATGATACATTTGATCATTTCGAATTGCAAGGTAAACATTGTAAATCAATGGTACTTATTCATTAACACAACAAAGTAAAACAGTTTCTTATTGAGGCCATCACCAGCTATTGCTCGATACAAGAGTTGTACACAGAATGAACAGCAACAAAACATAGGTTCCTCTCAGCATTTTATCACATACTTCTTCACATCAAGTTTAGTATCCGTTCTTCTAAGCCACCTTTCAAGCTTCTAGGTCTGTAATCCAACTCCACTTAGGCCTTGTCATAAGTTCATGCCCATTGATGTCTTAAAACATGCACAGTCCGCTCAAATTAGAACATAGGGATCTTGTAAAATGGCTATGCAACTATGAATATGAAGAGCAAAGACGAAATATAGGAAAAATATTGAATTTTAACAGATTTGGAGAGCATGGGGATTGAAATATGGATATGTAAACGAAATATGAAGACCAGAACTGGAAGCAATAGAGCAGAGCATACCGGGGGACTAATGAAAGGAAGCTTTCGTGTAATTCGTGCAAAAAGAACAGAAACCCATCCATAAACTTCGATAACTACAAGAGGGATGTTGAAATTAGGCCTAGCAGTTCCAGTGATAATATCAGCTATATCAAAAGCATGCCTGAATGATGCATTATCTCCAGTAAGTAAATATCTTTCCCCAGGTCGACCCTTTTCCGTAGCTGCAATATGACCCTCAACTATATCATCAACATGACTAAAAGAAACCTATCATTTCCATAGCCTATGTAACCAGGTAATCGCCAATTAAACCGTTCAATTATCTGAAAAGTTGACCTTTTACTAAACGACATGTCCAGTACACGTCCAGCACACATGAAAATAGAGGAGTTATCGAGTGAGAAGTGAAATTTGATTTTAGCATACAGGGAAGAATCTAGAAGGGGCGGGCACCCAGGGTTCGACGAGGGCAGCAGCGTGGAAGATGACATCGCAGCCGGAACAGTCATCTTGAAGGGATGGGTAGTCGATGACGTCGCCGTATACGAGTTCTAGTGAGGCGCCATTGGCGGGTGAAGGTTACTGATGCGCCGTACCAAGGCGCAGACCGAGTGACCACGGCTCATCAGAGCATGACACAGCGCTAGTTTCTGGTATCTTTCATATTTTCTCGCTTTCAAGTCGAATATCGCGAGGTTACATTATTTACGTGTATGTTACATAAAACCACAGTTTGATCGTAGATGAGGAACCTACGAGTTTTTGGATTCAGATTTATTAGATATCACGGATTATTGTATGAATATTTTCATTATAACGGTGATGATTCTGACAGACTCCACACGAAGTTAGTGCTTTTCTAGTAAAGTCGCTATACATTTTACGTTAGAACAGAGGTCTATCTGCTCATATCATGGCAGTATCCTCTTATTGTCCAACAAGACAGGAAATTAGAAATCACATATTGCCATCCCTACTTATCACCCCTTTTTTGTTCCTTTGAGTTTCATTGTGCTATGGCCCAGATTGCAAAGCATTCCCTCCACCATCGAACTCTTCAAGCCAGAAAAAGAGAACGGATTCTGCAAATTCACGAACAAGCCTCTGCTAAAAGTAGTCCGCACGGTATGTCATAGTCTGGATCGACGAATGCATTTGATTGGATTGAAATGGGAATTTCGCCGTGGAGATGTATATGGGCGTCTGCTTGAGGAATCTGATGACTTTATATCCCAACCTTCAACGTTCTTGGGAACGCAGACATCAAAAAGGATTTGACCAAGCACCCCATGAAGATTAATGCTTGGTGGGTGAGGCAAATGGATCAAACCTTCTTTGTGTTGATCTTGCACAGACCCAAAATCTCTACCTTCATAATATTCTATTGAACTAGGCAAGAGGAAATCATCACTTTGCACCAGAGGAGTTCCCTGAAAGCTCTGGATTGGGCTTAAGGTTGTCTTGCTGATATTGGAGATTGGCTCAGAGATTTCATCCTGTGCCCCGCCTGATCCCATTCGTTCACCCTCAAGTTGTTGAATTCTTCGGGAATATAAGGCAGCTGCCTTACCAAGAAGCTCGGTCACAGCAGCCTTGTAATCAATTGGATAATGCCGATAATGACCTGTAAAGACCATTAAAATTGACAAAAGTCGAATACGTCAACGCTATTGACTGAATAAGCTTTCAGAATTGGCCATGTTTAATTACAAGAAATTAAAAATACTGCAGCAAACGAAATAATTATATTTTGGGGATTTATTTTATTACTTCTATATATTTTAAGGACTCCATAAATTATATATCTAGATATATTAAAGTTAGTTATCTAAGTCATCTATATTAATTTTGCTACCAAGCAGTACACGGTAGTCTATAAATACCCAGTTATTTTCAAATCAAGGAGCTTTGACTATTTAAAAACTGTTCTAGGCTTTAAATTTCTCTATTCTTTATGTCTTCTCCTTCTCTCTTTAATCATCCTGTTGTCTCATTTTTGTTTTTATGTCAATTTTCTCTACTGCTGCATCAGCTCAGTTTATGTTTAAGAAATAAATATACGACCTTCGTTTATGCATGCAAATAACATGGGCCTACACCAGAAAATGTTTCTTTCAAATGTATAACATAAAAGATGTAATCCTTTTCTTGTTAAAGCATTTTGGTAAAAAGAAAAAAGACACAGCAAATGCCAATGCTATCTGGATTTGTATAAGCAAAAACAAGATGCTTCATAACGTTTACTGAAACAGGAAAAGATGATGGCTACAGCATGTGATGCATGCCTGAAAATGAATGAATGACTAGAAATATTAGTTGTAAGGCCCCCACTGTCCCATCCCTTTTTGTCAGTTTCGATACATTGTCACTGCACTACCAAACCCTGATTAACACTTCATATATGGTAAGACCATATTTTAATAAAGCAACTTCTCGTAAGTCTAGAAACTGACCTAAATGAGGAGAACCATTCCACTTCACAAGTTTTACATCACCCCCAAGTTGTTGTATTCTTTGAGCAAAATTGCAGATAATTTGACAAGGAGCAAGATCATCAGTTTCAGAGCATAATATGAGATATGGGGCCCTCATCCTCTGCAAAAGATTGGTAATGAGTAAACTGTAAATATAAAAAAAAGGAAGTAATAACTTGAATAACAAAATTTATGGTACACTTACAACAGAAGCATATAGAGTCTGCCAATACTCAGCACGATGAGATTCAAACCTGCTAAGGAAGAGAGTATCAAGACCAGATGCAATGCCATTTGCTATCCACGATGCTATTCTCGGTGGATGAGACATTTTAAGAACTGTTGGGTTAACAACAAATCGGGCACCCAAATCACTGGTAAAATCCACTGGACTAGAATCAAAGATATGGCCCGAAAAACACTCCTTCACCAATTGGAGGTCATCCTTCAACAAAAGTAAAAGAAGATTTACTAGACAAGTAGAACTTAAATGTCTGTGAAAATGTTAATAAACCATATAGATTATTACTCCAGGAAAACATTTTTCCCAAATTGCCATTATACCAACAATAAGTTGATTTTTATGTCATATGCGAAAAGAGAAACAACGATTTCCAGGATCAATGTGGTAATAGCTTCATTAACAATGAAACTTATGCTTTATCTATTTAGAAATCATAAAAATGAAAAAGAATGATTATAATAGCATGATTTAAAAAGTTATTATCTTGACAGAGAGATAACATACTGGATTTATTTGCACTTCACACAATCCCTCAATCATCTGCAGCAGAGAAATCATAAAGCTATATCATCACAGAAACAAATGGAAATAAGTATTTTAACATACAAGGTGAAAAAATTGGGGTTTTAAAAGTTTTGAAAGAATTACCTGAAGAACCTTGTACATGCAGGCCTTAGGACCACCAGAAAAAGATGCAAAGACCACAGGGCATGGACTAATCTTTAGCTCCTGCATACAACCAAAAAGAGAAAAAAACCCACTCAATGTACAAAAGTATAAAATTTCAAACTACAGGATTACTAAAGAGATTGAGATTGAAAATTGGAAAAATTTGAGAGCATTTACAGAGAATTCCTCTTTCCATCAGAGGGTATTCCCCAATCTAGAATCTAACAACCCTTGAAACACTTGAGCAAGATTTCAGACATCAAAATCGATATCGTGTTCAGTATTACCTCAACAAGTTCCTTAAGAAGATCAAGCGCTAGAGCTGCAGCCTTCTCAGGGAAGAACCTGCACAGGTTACAAACATCAAAATCCCAGCCCTAAGTCAGTCAGCCTTAAGCAGATGCACATCAAATTTCAGTCCGAAAGTATCAATCAAAGGCGTTTGAGAATATGCAACAATTATAACCAACACCCCTCAACTTCATATATCATAAGATTTACATAACCTATTCCTTTTTAATCAGGTATGTAAAATCATCATAGAAATTCCAGATCAAGCATTAGAAAGAAAGGGTCAATGACTCTAATTCGCACGATCAAGAAAAAACCCAATTTACAGAACTTTGAAATCAAGTATTACAGTAAGTCAAAAGCATCCACCAACCAAACATAAATAAATATTAGCTTAAAGCCCATACATGTTTAAGAACTCTGAGTGGCAAACAAGAGAATCCCAACCCAAAGAAGCGTAAAGTTGAACATAGTTCTTCAAGTGCTTCTCTTGACTCGACATCCAAGCAAACACTGCAACTATCCCTCCTCCACCTTTCCTTCTTTCCACCCTTTCCTTTCTCCCCCAATAATATCTCCCCCCAAATCCCCACATTCTCTCTTCCTTTACCACTTCCACTCGAATTTCCAAGCAATAATTAAACTTCTTTCTCTTGGTCCGTACACTTAAAAGAAAAAAAGGAAGAAATTGCAGAGAATTCTGATTCAATCCATGGGGCGAAAATGAAATAAATTAATTCCGCAAGTGTGATTATTTTCAGCCTTTTATAGGCATAGAGATGGGGGATGGACTTTCCATTCGGAGTTGTGAACGAACATCATACTGGATTTCCTGAGATCGTTTATACCATTCAATTCTTGCAACCGCTTGGTTGTCTCTGCACGTACAAGATGACGGAAATACCCGCATTCGTTCTGTCGTGTCGTTTAATAAATGGATGAGTAGTGTATGTGTGATTTTCAAAGTCAAGTCTTCGTCATCTTCGGCGCACGCAAATGTGAAGCGGTCGACCGTAGAAGAACGACTCCACCTTTTCTTTTTTTCCGTCTTTAAATTTTCCTCTATATTTTTGGAATTTTTTTCTTTTTTTCTAAAAATTTTGAAGGGTGGAGGGTTGTTTGCATTAATGTTGTCGTTATCTTATGAAGTAAAGTTGTAGCATTGGAATTGACGTGGCGAAGAACACATTATCTCTAACACTAACTTTTGTTCATTTTTATATTCTCAGTGCATCACATTTATAATTAATAATTATTTTAACCTACACTTCAAAAAATATATAAATTATTTTACATCATATTTATAATTAATAATTATTTTAACCTACGCTTCATAAAATATATAAATTATTTTAATCTATATTATTTTAAATTTAAGATATTTTATTTATTCGAGATCAGTACGTTTAATTTTTTTAAGTTATATATATTTAAATATTTCAATATTTTTTATATTTATATTTATGAAACCAGTGTCAAACACATATAATAATCAAGTGATAACTGCATTATCATTCAGGAATTTGTTCCCTTATTTAAAATTGAAAAATGAGGATTAGGTCTTTCACTTTTTGACACAGTGGGCCACAAAAGCCTTAAAGAAGATATTAATGTTTGGGTTCGAACCAAGCCTCTCACTCTCCCTTTTCATGTAATAGGGCATTGTCCTCTTTTGAAATTAAAAAAAAAAAAATTAGTACACATGAAAGTTAAACTGAACCTAAAAAAAGCTTATGATAAGTTTGAATAGGGTTTCATTAAGAAGGTGTTTACCTTTTTCAATCTACCAAAGTCCTGGATTTTTTTGGATTATGAGTGGTGTCTCATTTTCATCTATTTTCATTTTAAAGAATGGAGGAATGTTGAAAAAATTCAAGCCTTCCAAAGGTTTGCGATAAGAGGATCTTTTGTCCTCTTACCTCTTTAGTTTGTGCATGGAATTTTTAAGTATAAAAATTCTTGAAGTTATGGAAGATCGTAAATGATAGCTTACTAAAAGTTTGTGAAATGGTCCTACACTATCTCATGTTATATTTGCGGATGACATTATTCTTCTAGGCAGAGCAAAAGGAAAAATTGCCAAATCTATGCATGAGGTACTCATGAGATTTTATGGTGAGTCTAGACAGACCATCAATCTGAAAATATCAAGAGTTTTCTTTTCTGCCAATACTGAACAATACTACAAAAGGGATATTACTAGCCTTTTGGGCATTAACAAAATTCTTGATCTCAGAAGATACCTGGATTTTCCTATCCATGAAAGGCAAGTTAGTAAAAATGATTATGCTTTCATTGTCAACCAGGTCAAAACAAAGTTAGCTGGTTGGAAGGTAAATCTGTTTTCTCTTGCAGAATGAATGGTACTGATCAAGTCGACTATGGAAAGCATCATCGATTATTATATGCAATGTAGAGCCTTTATAATAAGCATTTCAAATGAGTTGGACATAGTTAATATGGATTTTCTATATGGGAAAACAGAGATAAGAAGAGATTGCACTTGTTTAACTAAAGCGATGTGACTAAAAAAAAATAAAAGTGGACTGGGTTTGAGGGAGACTCAAGCTCAAAACCAAGCACAATTAGCTAAGTTGGTTTGGAGATTTCTTCATCAAAAAGATGTTTTTTGTGGGTTAAAATGTTAAAAGGGAAGTATCTTAAAAAAAAATGGCATTATGAGAAAAACTTTTAAAGTGTTGACTACGTGGAAACCATGAGATGGGCAGGTCTGATTATTGAAAAAGGTATTGGTTGGGTCATTGGTGATGGCTCATTTATGAGCTTTTGGCATGATAATTGGTTGGGGTCTAAGAGTTTGAGAGATGTTGTTCATGGCCCTCTTAATTAGCAGGAGAATTAACTTTCAGTGAGTCGGTGTTTGAATGCAATAAAAAATAATCAATTTTTTCCAATTTATTTCCAACTCAATGATGATGTTTTAGATAAGATAAGTGTTATTCCTACTCAATTGATGGGATAGGGACAAGATAGTATATACTAATTTGCATCATCTAGTGGGGTATTCACTATCCAATCTGTATATGACCTTACTAAATGAACCAGTCTAAACGAGGATAAAAGTCAATGGGAGTGGATATAGAAGTTGTAGGCTCTGCCAAAAATTAAGTTTTTCATATGGCAATGCATGCATTGTATCTTGCCTACATGTAATGAGCTTGCTAGAAGAGGGTTGAACGTCCCGACTATTTATGTGTTTTGTATACATGACGTGGAGGATTTGGCACACCTATTTTATAATTACTAGTGGACCAAAAACATATAGGCTACCTTGCAATGAGCCTCTCTGCCTTTATCTCATTAAATCATTGACTATAGACAATAGATCAAATAAAATGCTTTAAACAAGCACCGATCCATGCATAGTATCCCTTAGTACTTGTTGTTTATCCATATTCTATAAGAGGTTTGGCTTGAAAGGAATATGAGGATTTTCAGACAGAATTATGAGATTATTGACTCGGTGAAATTGGCGATTGCAAAGGCTGTTGAATTCTTTATAATAAACCATAGAGCAATTCGGGCTTCATTGCAATCCTTTGTGTCTATCAGGTTGGACCTTTCCAATGAGGGATGGTATAATTGAACACAGATGGCTCAGTTTTGGGCAACCTTTAGAAAGCAATAGATGGAACCATTATTCGAAATAGTGAGAAAAAATGGATTGCTAGTTCCTCTAGATATATTGAGAAAGTTGATGGAAGATCTTAAAAATCAATGTATGCTGCATGTGTTCAAATAAGGGAATAGGTGTGCTTACGCCCTTATTCAATTTGGTAGTAGCAGTTGTTGTAATAGTTATAGTTGTTATAAGGTCAACTATATGGTATTTATTAAATCTCGATGAAGCTAGACATGTTATGTATCGTAGTATTTTATAATTAAATCATCCTTATTTTGTAAAAATATATATATATTTAAAAAATAAAATTTTTAAATTTCTTTCAACTATAAATGAAAAAAAATTTCATTCTTATTAGATTATTGTTCACATTTTAATCACAATAATTTTACTTGATAAAATTTACTTCTTTTGTCTTTTTTTTATCTTTTTTTTAGATATTTAAGAATTATGTCATATTTTTGTTAACATCTAAAATTTTTTTATATTTTAAAATTATTGTTTATATTTTTTATTTGTTATATTAAAAATCATAAAACTTTAATTTATAAAAAAATTAAAATTTAATATTAAATATATTACAATCAAAACTTTTTTTTTAATTTCATAAAAATCAATAACATCTAAACAATTTGGAACAAATGAAGTATTTTAAAATAAATATTTAATAAGAATATACAAAAACTTATATCAATATAAACAATTAATACATATTTTTTAAAAGGTGTAACTTATAATTTTTAATGAATAAATTTATAAAAAATAATATCTGATGTGAACAAGTTATTTCAATTCAAACTCTTGGTACATAATGTAAAAACAAAAAACTTAATTTTTAATAATTCAAAACACTCAACTTGTAAAAGTATTGAAATATTTTTAAAAAATAAAACTAAAATAAAACTTTTAATTATAAAGAATGCAAAATCATAATAGCAATTTATGTTTGAAAGAGTTTAAATGAAAACATCAAAAGATTATATATTGAAAGAAATAATTTGGATTTGATTTATAAATATTTATACAATTTAATATGTATGAATTTAGACTTCAAACATTAAACTTAAATAACATTAAAAATTAAATATATTCATCCACAATTAATTAAGTTAATGTATATCATATATTTATGAATGAATAGTTAAATTCATATATCTTAAAACAAAATCTTAAATGACTTTAAATATTAAGTATATACATCATCAATTCATTTGAGTTATTGTATATTATATATTATTAAATTATTAAATTTAATAATAATTATATTAATATATTTTAAAATAAAAATAATCTTAAAAATTATTCTTAGCTGTAGTAATATGGCAACAAATATGAACATTTCAAGAATTATTTTAATATAATGTATGGACATTAGAAATGAATTAATAATTAGGTAGTAGTTCTAGTTATGAAGAATTATTATAAAACATTAATTAAATATTCAAGTGGATGGTGGGACAGGAAACTTTTTTTATATTTTAGGAATTTTTTATTTTTATTAATGGGTAATTTTCTGAATAGAAAAGGACTATTGCCTATTTTATCGAAAACGACGTGGTATGGTACACTTTCGGTTTCATTACACGTTTTCCTTTCCTTAGTTTTTCTTCAACTTCAAGGATAATCAATCTCTCATCTTCGGTAACAGTGTTTTTTTTTTTTTCCTTTTTGTTATAAAAATATATTACGACTGTTAAAATCAGTTAATTTTTAATTATTAGCGTGTTTGTTTGGTTAAAATAAATAAATGAATTTGTATTAATGTGTGATGCGTTTCGCGTCTATACTCAAAGTCGTTTTTTCTATTATACAAGTTAAATAAGCAAATCAGGTTGAGGCCAGATATTTCTCTTTTATATTGGATTTGATATCTTTTCCGTGTGATTTTGTTAAAACAAAATTGAAAAATTTTCAAAGCTTTTCTTATATCACTTGATATGATTAGATTCCTCACAATAAAAAAATAATTTAAAAATAATAAATTTAATTTTAATAAATTTTTTTTTTATTTTTTATATCTATATAAACTGTGATATATAAATTTAATATAAAATATAATATAAGTATATAAATTTTTAGTATTTTAAGCATAATATACATGAATTATAACATTTAGATATGTATATTTATAGATGAAAAAAAATTATAATTACACACGTTATATGGCTGAAGTGAATAAAGAGAACACTGACAAGACATAGGCGGAAAAGTGTAGTCCGCGTCTCGCCCAATGCATCGTGTTTTGTGGACAGTGGGCACTCCCATACGATGCCGATTAGGATTTCTAAAAATATGGATAGTATAATCCTGGATTAGCCAATCACATTAAACAAACTTAAAAGGAAAAACAGGCTTTAAGCAGGGGTATTTCAGTGATTTTAATTAAAATTAACGAAAATTTTTATATAACGATGTTAAATAAGAGTGTAAATAATATATTAATACTCTGTAAATTATTTAGATTTAATTTTAATAAAATTTAAATTTGATTAGGTTATTATCAAGTCGAATTTGAGTTCGAATAATTCGATTTATTGATCAAATCGAATTTGAATATTTTTATATTCGATTCGAGTAATTTATGAGTCTAATTAAAATTTTATATTTTAATATATTTTAATTATTTTAATTAATAAAATATATCAAATTTAAGTTCGAGTATAAATAATTAAACTTTTATCAAACATAAAAATTAAATTTATTTTTATATGTTAACCAAATTTAATCGAGCAAGTTCAAATAATTCAATTTTTATCTTGAATCAAGTTCGAATTAAAAAAAATAAAATTTAATCGAATTCAAACCGAATTTTAATCTCAAATTTAGAATGAAACTCAAACTTAATACTGTATCGATTCAAATTTAATCTATTATATCCATAACATTAAATGCATATGAGTTTTCTCTATCTCAATTTTTAAAAACTTTTATAAATAAAATTATTTAATTAATTTTTCTCTTTTATATAATTTTTAAAAATAAAATTTCAGGAAGTAGTATATATATTTTCATAAATAAATTTTGAAAGATTATAAACTTTTTCAAAAATAAATTTTCAAAAGCTAAAATTTTGAAAAAAATTATTTTTTTTGAAAATCTATTTTAAAAAATTATGAGATTTATCAAAAATTTATTTTTAAAAATATAAAAAAAGTAATTACATTTTTTCATAAAAATTAAAAAAAATTAGTGTGAAGAAAAAAAATTTGGAGGGCATTCACCACCCTTTTCCACACTGTCTTGCCTCTGAAAGAAGAAAGCGCTACACCTCAAGACCACGTTAGCACGTCGGTAATATAAAGTTAAAATTTGAGTCACTGGTGGTGCATATTAGCAGGAAAAAAATAAAAAAACCAAACCCAAAACGCACGCAAAGATTATAAACCAGAACAACAGTTCACTGGTGCCGGGGGTGGCTCCATTTTTCTGTGCCTTGGAAAGTGAAAGATTAAAGGAAGTTTCGTTGATTGGTGCGATCTGGTGAAACCTATTTTATCGATCTGTTTGGGGAGGGAAAGCAAAAAGGAAAGGAGAAGGGATATGGTGGGATGAGGGAGTGGAAGAAGAAGGAAAAACGGAGAAGGATATGGCTAGAGAAGGCAGAGGAGCCAAATGGGGTGGTTTTGGACTGGGTTCCGGTTCGGGTCAGTGCTCGTATAAAAGAATCACTCTGATTGTTTGCTCCATTAACATTGTTATTGCTCTCTATGTTCTTCGTTCTCTCTATTCTTCTCTCTACATTTATCCCAATAAAGATAACGGTAAGCCTCTATTAGCTTTGCCCCACTTTTTTTTTTTTAATTAAATTTCCTCTTGATTTGTGTTTTGATTTTCTGGGGTGCTTCTGTTTTTGCTAGTTGTAAAGTACACACCTGATCAGATTAGGAAAATGGAAGAATCAATTAAGATTCGAAGAGCCAGTGAACCTATAGAACTTGTTAAATTGGTATGCAAATTACCCATTTTTCCTTTTTTTTTTTTTTGGTTCCTCCCATTTTGTTGGTGACAATGCTTTTAATTGGGGGATACTGTTTATGTCTGTAAATAAAGGTAAAGCGATTAAAGCATGAATTTTGGAGCGAAGAATCAGTGGCTGAACTGCCAATGGCAGTTAAGCAGAAGATAACTGATGAGATCATGCAAAGATTGAGAAGCTTGAGACCAAATGCCAATATCAGCGAGCAGCAAGGTTGGTGTCTGCCTTAATTTCTTTTTCGTTTTGGACTGTTTCGTTCTATTATCTTACAGTTTAAAGTTAACATGGTCCTGTATTTCTATTTATTCTTATTTAGTAATTAGTATTCTATTACGGTGTAGTTATACATAGATTGAGCATTTATGATGTAAGATTACAATCTGTGTATGAGCTGGCAGCTTCAAAGATTATTGGTTGATAAATAATCTGTTAGTGAAATAATTAGTCTTAACTGCATTCTTATTATCGAAACTTGCAGATGTGTTATTAGCTGGTTTAGCATGCAGGAGATATAAGAAATGCAATAATGACATTGCTATTTTTGTGCGTACGAAATTAATTGTGTGGAAATGTAGCCTTGATTATTTTGTTTTTCATCACAAAATAGTATCTGATTATTCTATTTTTTGCTAGAAACATTATGGCTGCTTGAACATGAGCTTTTTAGGGATCATATTCTTGATCTTTCAGATGGAAATGGAAATCTCTGATACTTCTAAAGAAATCCATTTTGAAACTTTGTTCCTGTCATCCATGATGTGTTTTTTCAATGTTTTCCTAAGCAGAATACCTCAAAAAGTTTCATAAAAATAGGAAAAATTCTATTCTTAAGTACAAATGGGCTCTAGGGTTCATGTTGCTTAATTTCCATTAGGTATCAAATGTTATACTTTCACTTCCTTTCTTTCATCTTGCCAGGGGCCATTGTCTTGTTGATCTAATATCATCCACTAGTCCAAAGGTGGCCGTGCTTTATAATGCAATACATTGCCATTAATGGGATAAATCAATTCTTTAGTATTTCTAAGTTACTTGAATTTAGGGCTAGCCACTAATTTGTAATTTGCAGCAGATCATGGTTAATTGACCGATTGCATTAAGATGAAATGTAAAATTTGTATTCTGTGGTGCTGAGTTATTATGTGCAAAATTCTTTTCTTTCTTTTTTTTTTTTGTTTGATCACTGAAAAAGCATATTATGCATTGTGATTCTTGATTGAAGAAAGTTTTCAATTCGTTGGTTAGGATATATTTCTAACAATAAATTTGAAGAAAAGCAATCAGGCTTTTTGTTCGTGTTAACTCATCAAATTCTTATCTGAAATTCTTCTTCAGAATTTTGTGGAGTACTTATAAGATTTTGGTGAATAATGGTCATTTTATCATATCCTGCTTTTACTTCTGTGGCTTTTTTCTTTTCCTGGTACCGTATTCCCTTATGAAATATATTTGAGTACGTGAACATGCTGTCTGAGAGGGCTATGCGTGTTCCATGCATCTAATTTCCTACAAACCAAATATCCTCTGTTGTCCCTACTTTGAAGAACACAACTGCAGTACCTTTTTATCTGTTGTCGTGGTAACAAGTCATGGACTTCTTTGTTGTTACAACTTTTAGAATAGATGTAATCATTACCTAGCGGAGTCTTTACATGGGTACTTTTGGTGCTTTTGGAGAGCCACTTTTACCTGTCCTTTTGTTCCCTTTCCTTTTTGTGCAGAAAGGACTGACTTTTTTACATTCTGTTTCTGGTTTTGACTTGTAACTCATTATATGGGCTCCTGCTGACTGGTTAGGAATGTAAAATATGTAGCAAATAGCTTAACAATCAAGGAATTAGTCTTATGGAGGCTACGGTACAAATTATGTTGGGAAGTGTGAGTTTCATGGTTTTATAATAGCCCAAATTGAACATGTATGTCAGTTGAAAATTGGTTGTTGTTGACGATTTTCAGAACCATTGTTACCCAAACCATTTTTTGCTTTATCAGTCTTAGCAGGCAATATCAGTTTTGAAAAAGGAGATTGGGATTATTTTGCTGCTGGTTGCTCATCAGCTCTAAATCTAAAGATCTTTACCTTTTCAATTTGATGGAAATGGAAACTAGATATACTCTATGTGGTGTGATTTCCAAATCTACGGCAAGCTGTTTTTAACTTACACAGGATTGGATAGATTCTTATAGATTCTATATGTTTTGAATTCCTCAACAAGCCTCCCAATTCTCCAAACAAACCCATTTCAGTCATTAGGTAAGAGTTGTTGTACAAGTATTTACCGTGCGTCGGAAGAGTTCTTTGAAACTAGTCAACGATAATGTACATCTCATGTTTGAGGACCAGTAATCAGTTGTGGCTTTGTCTTGGTAGTTATTCATTATAATTTGCTAGGTTTTTGGTTGATATTCTTCTTGGGTTTACAGAAGTAGTTGAAACCTGGCGCAAGGAGAAACTAACAGAAGCCAAAAAGTTGGCCCTTGGAGGAGAGGGGTTGAATTCAACTCTTTTGCAAGAGGAAGCAGGTAAATCATAATCTGAAAGGTGGTATATTTTGGGTACATTAGTTTATCATTGAGATAAAAGCTTTAGCATCTTTGTACTTCGCAGAATGTTTAACTTACCAGTTGACTTACTATTTTGTAGGGATGTTAGTAAAAGTATTGGAGTCCAATCGGGCTGTGCTGTCAGAAGACATTGGCCTTTGGATACCCAGTGAAATCAATAATCAAGAACATGATGATAAGCCTGAGGGCATGGAAGATACTGGTAATTGTTCAATTTCTCTTTTGATCAAAGCCATCTCTCACTCTCTCTTGTCAAGATAACAAGCAGATTTCGGTCTATATTTTTATATAGTTATGGGAATAGGGATTCGAACTTGGAAACTTTTCTTGAAAGAAGAGGTATGAAAAATTGTGAAATGTCTGTCACTAAGGTGTAATTCTTTTATACAGAAGATGGGGATGAAATTTTAGCTGGGAGGGCTCTTCCCCCAGAATGCCATGCTGGACTTCATACAGATTATGATGGTGCTGCTGTTAGATGGGGTCTTACCCACCACAAAGAAAGTGCAGCTGATTGCTGCCAGGCTTGCTTAGATCAAGCAAAAAATGCAAAGCCAGGTGAAAAGAAATGCAACATATGGGTTTATTGTCCATCTGAGACCGGTTGCTATTCCCCAGATATATATGAACATAAACACATGGAGTGCTGGCTGAAATCCGTAAGTGTACTTTTGTATATATTAAGATTGCATTTCATTGTCTTTTGCATCCAACAGAAGTTGTTTGCGACGTAAAGCTAATAAAAATTTTATTCACAGTCAGACAAGCCGAGACTGAACTTTAAGGACAGATATTCTGAAGCATATAGAAACAGCCACCCGACAGCACCTGTTATTGTTCCGTGGGTATCTGGTGTTATTAGTGCATGACTGGATTTTGATCAACAAGACAGGAGGATGGGCAATCAATTCGAGATCTAGCTGACTCTAGTTCTACAGAAATCTTTATAATGCCCCATTTACATCTGATCAAAAAGTTTGGCCTTTCCTTATTCTAATAGTAAGTTGTCTCTTTAGTTTTGGAACTTAGGGGAAACTGGAGAAGGGGGGAAGCGGGCGTTCCACCCTGCTTTTGACAGCCAAAATTTTTTTGTACCACGAAAGGGATATTGGGTGAACTCAGCGCTGGTAGATTCTAAGATCTGAAAATACCAGTGCGGGCTTCTGAGGTTGAGGTTATAGCAAAAGAGATGAGAAGCTTTTCTTTGTAGTTTAATTAATTACATTGTGAAAAATGGATCTCTTGTAAGGAGAAATTGGTTGGATTACAATAATGATCTGCTGTGTAATCGGAATATGGGATGTGAATTCTTTAGGACCTACTTTTTCCCAGGTTGGCCTCGGAATAATTCAGACTACTGCTGCTACTTATTATTTGAAAAATTATCAAATATCTTAACAACGTGTTTTTAGACTTCACTAAGGGTTAGTAAGATAATGCATAAAAATGATATATTAAAAAAAGTGAATTATATATCAGTTTTTTTAACTATATGTTTATCAAATAATAATATTATTATTATTGTGTTTTTAATTTATAAACGACATTAGCAAAGTAAAATAATTATTTGAATATATTAAAAATAAAATGTGTTAATTTTTTAATATTATTCTTGAAATTTTGTTTAAAAAAATCAGTGCCTAAAATTTCGTTTTAAAAAAATCAATGTAAAAGAACGAATTCATTTATATTTTTAAATATATTTTAAAACGGTACGTGCTGATTACACTTTTGAGCAGGGTTAAAATTTTGCCTTTTATGGGCCTTTTGGGCTTCAAATAAATAGATGGACATGGATCTATCACGAGCAATTGAAGTCCAAATCAAACTACTGCCTGAGCCCAAACTCTTGCAAGGCAGAAGCATAAAATTCAAACGACGACGTGCCAAAGCTCTCTGTCTGTATATCACATTGTCCTACGCTATATGCGCCGCCGCTATGATACGTTAAAGAGAAGCGGAGGAAGAGTTCCCCTCACCGGCTCTTTATATACGCCTAGGGTTTTGTAAAACCGAATCACTCCTTAAATTTAACTGATTTTGGTATGATTTTTATTTTTTGTTCTCTTTATTCCATTCCCGTCTCCTTTTTTTGGGTCAATGTTCTTACTTTTCACCTTTTTAGGCTTTCGACTGCTATTTTAATCGGTTAATCGACACTTATTTGATAATTTTATGTTCTTAGATACTCTTTATTGTTTAATTAGTCTGTTTTTTATATTAAATTTGTTGTTTTAATCTCTTAATAGCTGGTTGGTGTTTCATCAATCATGTTCAATTTGATGCAAAAGTTTCTGCTTTTTAGGGTTTCTTTCCTTGGATGGTTATTTCATTCATAATTCAAGTCTTGTTTGTGTTCAAGGAAAATCAGATATAGGTTTCAGTTAAAAGAATCTCAAACAATGTCTTCAAACATGGTTGCTGAAATTTTAATCTTTCCACTTTCTGTCATCTGATTGTGAATGTCTGGATTTTGGGAAGTCACTATTAAGTATTATGAGCTAACTCTTTGTTCTTTCAATACTTCCCGCTATGCCCTTAATAGGGGAAGTGGATGTGGGGGTTCCAGGATGCAAAAAACCATCCTTTATCAGTGTTTTAGTAGAGCAAAAAACATCAAGTCTTTAACTGTTAAGTTTTAGTTTCTACTAGGGTTTCTTTCTAGTAAATTTAAAGTAAATAACCTTTTGTCAAATCGTTTTTTATGTATTTGCAGTGATATTGTTCTTGTTACCATTGGTAGTGAACCATGATTCTTGGAAGTAACTCAATCCGAGAAACCCACTATGACGTTCTGTCTATTAAGGAAGACGCAAGCCATGAAGAAATTCGTACAAGTTATAAAACTGCTATCCTTAATTCTCATCCAGATAAGCTACATTCTTATCATGAGACAGGAGACAGATTTTTAAGAATACAGAAGGCCTGGGAAATCCTTAGTGACCCCAAGTCACGTGCAGTCTATGACAGTGAGCTGCGTGATTCAAGACAGGATGTAGTGGCCTCAGAAGATATCGTCTTAGAAGATATGATGATTGAAGATGCTGGAGAAGTCATGGAGCTCTTTTACCAGTGTCGATGTGGTGATCACTTCTCAGTTGATTCTTTGGAGTTGGGTAAAATGGGGTACACATTGTTTTGGGATGGGACTGAGATATCTTTAAGGACCCCTGATGCCTTTCCGGCATCAATAGTTCTGCCATGTGGTTCTTGTTCTTTGCTTGTTCGTCTGATGATAAATCCAGATATTAAAGTTACAACTGATGGTCGTTTGTGATTGGTTTTCCATTTTCACTTGTGATTGATGATTTAGTAAGTTATTCTTTTCATTGTCGTAGAAAAGATTTAGATGTGAAGCAGTTGACATCTATTACAATTGACAGCCTCAGGGACAGTTGAAAATGTTCTTTGTTGTGTAATGTAAACATTATACTGAGTGAACAATCTTCAGGAAAGTTGCCTTGATGAATTTTGAAAATATGTTTATCAGATGTGATTAGGTTTAGTGCTGTTTTTGTGTAGTGCGATGTGAAAACCAGACAAGCTTGCTCTGACCAAGTAAGATGGAACTTGTAACAAAGCAATTGGTCCTAGACTCCCAAAAACAAATGGATATTTGATTCTTTGACTTCGAACACAGAATTTAAGTAACTTTCCAAACCAAATCAAAGGTGATGCATGGTAAGTTCCCAAACCAAGAACCCAGAAAAAAGAGCAAAAGAGGATCAGACGACCACAAAGAAAATAACAATCGTGGACTGGTTGTTGGGTTCTTGGGGACAATTTTCTTGGTAGCCTTCAAAATTTTATCTATTCTAGAAATCAATTTTCGTTCTTAACCTAGTTGGAAAAAAAAGGGAGGTGAAAAATAAATCGAAGGAAAGTACAAAGATCTGCTCCACATCTCGATTCTTCGACACGTCGATAAACCCAATTACTTGTCGGAGCGAACGAGCTTTCTTTCTTTCTCCAACTAATTCAGGCAAACCTGAAACATGGATTTCATCGTTTAAGGTTAGTGTTTCTGTTTCTTCTTTTTCTTCTTCGAACATAATTAGATTCCACATCAAGCTTGTAATTTTTCTTCCTTCAACGATTAACAGGTTTCAGAACTTGTCTGGGTTTTACTAAAACAAACGTTGATGTTTTTTAATTCAGTAATTTGGAGTTGATGAATTCATTGAGTGATGGGTTTTACAGGATTGAAATTTACTAAGAGCAGATCAAAATGGAAAGTTAAGCCCAGGTTCGTTGACTGAAAGACTCTTGGAAGCAGATGGCTTCTGGGAAAGGAAATCCTCATTTCAGTGTCTTTGATGGAGTGAAGACTTTCCCATTAACACCTGAGACTCTCATGGCTGAGATCAACACTGCTATTACTAATCTTGAATATGCACGTGCTACAGCTCTCCTTGACTCCCCATCTTCATCTCTGTCGAGAAGCAAGGGTCATGATTCTCCCAAATATGATGCCCGAATGGCTGATGAGGCTTACAAAGCTGGATGTGCTGCATTGGCTGCTGGCGAGCTTGATGAAGCTTTTCATTCTTTGAATATTTCTCTCTCCAAATGCCCACCTGAGAAAACTGCTGCTGTTGCCAAGCTTCAGTCTCTTATATCTCTTACTTCTCAGCAACTCCACAAATCTTCCGTTTCAAACTAACCCATATTGCTATGGTATTTTTTTTAAACTTAATTTTCAGTTTCTAATCAAATTTCAGTTAAAAGATTGTTTTAGTACTAACTAATGATGTTGCTGTTTTTATGATGCTTTTGCATTTCTGTAACCAAGTATGAGGTTCTTTATCATTAAGGAAAAAGAATATGAATGACTGTCTTTAGTTGAATTTAGATCAATGAATTCTTCAAGATAACAATAATTCAGTTTATATGTGAAAAGATTTGAAGAAATAACGGGATAAATTCAGAATTGCATTACACATATATTAGTATTCCAGAGTTAGTAATGGATTCGTATGTAATGTAGGTCCTTCATAGTTATTTTTGTTTTGTTGCCTCACTCCATGGGTATTTGTAAGCATCAAGAATACAGTACCTTATAAAGAGGTTTTCTGGGGCTAGAGGAGCGAAGGATTCTTGGTGATTTACCATTTGGATTTAGATAATGCAGTTAACTATTTAAACTATGTCCGATTAGTGGATAGGAAGACGAGAATGCTGTATCTCAATAGAGATGCAATTGCTAAATGGGTTATACTTAACTTTCATAACCATTTGTTATGACGAGAAAGCATCAAATCTGGGCTGCTGTGTTAATTCTGGCTAAAGTTTCTTCTAGATGTGCTTGTGCCCCTGTTTTCCCCTTGACTGTGTTACTTTTGCAATCTTGCTCGGTAAAGTTAGATGGCATCAACTTATGCTGAGTCAAAGAATTGTAAACCATTTGTTGTGCAGCAAAAGACTGTTATGAGGTTTATTAGGGTTGCAGAGTTGCGGTTGAACTAAATTTTTTGATACAACTGTGTAAATTTCAAAAAGCTCATTATAACTTTCTAAATACTATCAAAAAGCACCATATGCACGCAACTCAATCACTAAGCTTAACCCAGTCTTAAGGAGAACTATTTTTGGAAAGATGCAACAAACATTGAACATTGGGTTCTAACATTCAAAGATTGTGGAAATGATTTCTTTTGTTAGCTTTTAATTAATTATTTATGTTCTAATTTGCTGTTTGCTTCTAAATTAGGTGGCACTGGACAAAGCTAGTCATTATTGGTTGTCTTCTTTTCGATCATGGTGCCTTTTCCATTCATTAAAGTTTATCTGAGGTTGGAAATGATTTTTTTTCTCCTTTTGGCTTGACTAGTGCAATAGTTGGGCTCTCCTATCATTTCTTAACATCCTGTACAGTTGATTGGGGAATCTTCTTAGTGATTCACATCTGAGGGAAAAAAGGAGAGAGATGCAGCAACCTTCTCACTTGCCCTTGCTCCTTCCTTGGTATCAGAACCTGCCAGAAGTTAAGAAGGTTGAATTTCTTTGGGCATAGAGGGAGTTTTAGTAATGTGAACATGATGTTTATTGTACCAGATAAGTTTCTTTAACTTTTACATTGTAAAATAGATAATTAATTATTCTTCCTTTTTTTTTTTAAATAAAAAACTTTGAGAAAGGTATTGCTGAGCAAGAAAATATTTTACCGGAGTTGTTGGTTATGTAAAGCTCCTTGTTGTGGAAGAATCAGGTTTATGGTGTGGGTGACTACTTCCTTCGAGGATGTGCCATTAATAAGTTCATGAAGTTGCTTTAAAACAGTCATCCTGTAATTTTGGTTTGTCTTGTTAGAAGTTTAAACTAACGTGGTTCTAAATACTTCACCAGCAAGAATCCGTTAAAATAGCCGAAAAACAACACTTTGAGATAAGTTCTTTCCCGGTACAATTAATGCCGGTTGACCATTATCGCAAGTGTCATGCCAACTTCACCGGCTTGGATTGTCATTTGTTGTCAGGGATTGAAAGGAAAAAGGGGAAGGAATTAGAAAGTTAGATAGACTGCAGGAAGGATATGAAACTTGGTTACTGCTAGATGTTGATCAAGTTTTCCATGTATCAGATCTGGTTGTTACATGAAAATTCTGATGTACTCTCAACAAATCCTTTACAAGTGTATTCAGGTACCTTCGTTTTGATTTCATGATTTGACTCGGAATCGAGAAAGGCCACGGTCTGTTTGTTTATTCTATGTTGCCTTGAAATAACTTCAAGGGTCAAAGTTATCCTTCTTGTCAAATTTGTCCAATTCTATCCGTCATTGTTTGGTACCATGTCTCAGTTTTCACCGTGACTTCAGCTTGAAGTAAAACTTGTAAATTACTCTAAAGGAGCTATCTCTGGAAACTGAAAGGAAATATAATTCAGTTTGGAGGGTCTCCATAGGGGAGTTTTTTAGCCCAATTGATGACCATCAATCTCAAGCTGAAAAGTGGGATAGAGTCCCTGTATTTTCAGTAAGCTGTTATGGCACTATCAACACAAGCTGGTCAATTTCAACATCAAAACAAAGAACGAACTATAACAATCAATGTTCTATATGTATGTGTATAAGCGTTTATTTTTATGCACCCATTAGCAAAATCTCATGTATAATATAAGGTCAGTGTCTTACAAATCAATTTGCCACTTTCAGACAGCTGCTTTCTCCAACATGGGCGTCTTTTATCAGGAAGAACAGCCTCGTCAATCTAAAAGATGGAAGTTCCTAAATACAGTTCTCAAGGAAGCATTTTCCAATTGCCATACTTTCAATGGAGAGCTTTCAAATTCGGGTCCGGAAGAAGAATATTCAACAAGTGACATTGATGATGAATCAGAAGTACTAAACTAGTAACCAGCATCCAAGATGATGTTTCTAGTCTTCTATTTGCATTTCACTGCCAAAATATGAGTTCTTTTTCTTTCTTTACAGGAAGTTGTTTCTGAAATTCGAAGTCAGGCAATGGAAAAGATGAAGCACAGGCCTAGTCTAATATCAGAAAGCTTTTCCTGGCTATTATCTCCTTCAACAGGGGAAGCTATATATAACCTCAAAGCACGCCAAACGAAGATGATAAAAGAGGGGAATTCTTTTCTGTTGGGAGTTGTTTCTCCTTCTGTTTGAGTGCTGTAAGTAGGGAAGCATTTCTATCGGCTAACACGAACTTTTCTCGTTCTTCAGGCTTATACAAGATTGATTTCCCAGACATTTGGAAGTTCGATTTCCCGGAAATTCGAAGGCGATCAATCATTCAGGAATTCTGTCATTGTGAGGGCTGGCCATTTGGGGTGTGCAGGAAGGCTGTGTTGCTCCCGCCTCTGCCCGCATCCCCTTCTAAGTCTTGGTCTTGGCCTAAAGGCTCCAGATTTGAGGTTAAACATAGCTTAATCTACGAACCTCCCAACACCCCCCGCTTTCACTTCCGTATTATAGTTTCTCTTTTTCTGTCTCCTATTCCGTTTTGGTTTTGGCAATGGAAGAAGGATTCTTTCCCATTCTAAGTTCAAAATCTAGTAACTAGTCATAGAATAAGGGAGTAATCATGGACATAAGAAAATCATGGTGATTAGCTGTCAATGCGTGAACTTTGAAGTTGTAGATCCTAACAAATTAAATTTGTTAGATGGGGCTGATGGCATCATTAAATCATCTCAGGAAAGAAATATGGTGGAGAAAATTTTCCCCTAAAAAAAAGGCATAAGAAACATGATTTTACAATTTGATTTACTGTTGTTGACAAAGATATGCCTTTTATTTAGCTACCAAGCAACTTCAACCTCGAAGGTTTTCCAGGAGAACAACAACAAACAGTCTCCAAGTGTTCATAAACATGTCTAAAACAGAATAATGTTCACAGTGAATTGATCTTTCTCAGCACTATAGTGCTAAGCTCTTTGCTCCACATAAGATCCAGATAGTCCAGAGGTTCCAAGAACAGTAATCTGCAGTGAAAGCGACCAAAACTATTAAACAAATTTGCCATTACTTATAGTACCCCAAATGCTTGTATAGGAACACGAGTGCATCAGAGTTTACACACAATGTTTATGCAACAATAAGTGCTATTGTCAAATACTATAAGGGGACGTTTGGTTTGTAGAGAAAAATATGATCCTTGAGAAAGTGAGATATCCAGAGTTTTATTTCATTTTCAGAACATTCAGTATTCAAATTCACTCATTTGGTTAGAGAAAATCTTCATATATTAATTTTTAAATAATTACCATAATCTCCTTGACATATATGATGGCAACTTTTTATTAGTTTTTATTAATAATATATACTAAAACAACAAATTATGTCTTTAATAGCAAAAAAAGACAAATATTTTATTTGATTGCTGTTTTTATTTATAAAATATCATCAATAAAAAAATAAAAAATTATTTAAGACGTTTTTTGTTGAGAAACCTCTTAAATAATCCTCTTTATTTTTTTAAAAGGGATTATTTAAGTCATTTTTTGTCCAAAAACATCTTAAATAATTTCTTTTAAAAAAAATAAAGAGAATTATTTAAGAGGTTTTTCAACCAGAAGCGCCTTAAATAATCTTCTTTAATTTTTTAAAGGACATTATTCAAGACATTTTTGTTCAAAAACGCTTTAAATAATCCCTTTCATTACTTATAAGATTTAAGAAATAAAACATAAAAAAACTAGAGTAGCTCAATTGGTTAGAGCATATGACAGTTTACTATAAGGTCGTAAGTTCAACCCTTCCTTCTAGCATTTTAAGCCTTAAATAATACCCTTCAATTTTTTAAAAGGCATTATTTAAGACATTTTTTTACCAAAAATGCCTCAAATAAATTTTCAAAAGAGTAATGGTTATTTTCACAATTTTTTATTCAGGTCAAATTTGAAAATAACGCTACTTTTCCCCCGAAATCCTAGAATACCACAGAGAAAGGTGGGTTTCTAATTCCGGGACTTTGAGTACGCCTTAAATAATACCCTTCAATTTTTTAAAAGGTATTATTTAAGGCCTTTTTTTACAAAAAATGCCTTAAATAATTTTTCAAAAAGGTTACGGTTATTTCACAATTTTTTATTCAGATCAAATTTGGAAATAATGCTACTTTCCTCCCAAAATCTTAGAATACCACAGAGAAAGGTGAGTTTCTAATTCTGAGACTTTGGGTACTGTTGGGAATCTAACACTTTCCTTAGTAATTAGATTACCCTAAATTAAACATTGGAATCAAATACCCACTAATAAGATTCTAGGGGAAAATTTGTGGATTACTCCGAACCAAACGCCCCCTAAATGCAGCAAATAAAAAACTATAAGCAAATGCATCAATTCACTTCCTCGCTTCCCTTATAAATCTGGGTGGATGGGGAAGGATGGAAAAGGGTTACTTTAGACTTTATGACAAAAGATTCTCTAAAACAAGTTAATATTTGGTCCAGAGTTCTGCCAGGTGATCCAGAACACCAGATGATTAGGATGTTGAGCACAGATCAGGTAAGAACAAATAGCACTTTGTACATATAAGTAAGCTGAGATGATTTTCTTGTTCATGCTCACACATTCTTCGCTATTTGAGAAAGTTAAACCCAATCCTAATTCTCTTTGTGTCACATTGAACCATGAATCACATGCAATGCACTACACGAATTACTATAATCCATGTTATACAACCTCAAGGCAGATCATGCAGTAATAGCTGAATTTTTAAATATGGTGCAAATTGTTCTAGTACCTTTCCCCACTCAGAACCAAGACCACTACATCTCATCTTTAGGTAGATCATCTTTGATCCCAACTCTGTCTCTACCTTCTTTCGCAAATAGGTTTCATCAGGATCAAATGCATCCAAGTAAGTTGTATATCGTTGATAAACTATCTTTAGTGCATCTGCAAACTCACTTGACAAAGGCTTTACATTCTACAAAAAGATTCAGCTCATCAAACACCAAGAATTGGTGACATTGAGATAGAGACAAAGAAAAAAAAGAATCATCAGGGCCTAATAGATTATAATACCTCTCCACTCACTCCAATGCTATCATCAAGTTCCATCTTCATGCTGATTAGAACGCCACCAAACTCTTCAACTGCTTCAGCAGCACGGAAAACATTTTTCAAAGCTTCCTGGCCAGCTTTGTCATCAGTATCTTTGGACAAGGCTTTCTTTGCATCCTGTACGACTGAATAGGGAAGCTCATCCCAACTTGCAGCCATTAAGTCCTTAAAAACATTCAGAATTTCATGGTCTTTTATAACCGGCATATGAGTTACATCTTCACTAAAATAGCGCATGCTTCCCAATCTCAATGCAAAAGAAGACCTGCTATCTGCATATCTTCACTCATGAATAAAATGTGTGGAACTTGATACAAGTTGGTAATGTTACAAGTTACAACACGCTATACAATTCACTAGCAGTTGACAGCAATATTAGTCTAACACACAAGTTTAGTTTCACTACAGTAGATACACGCATGTGCTTGGGTAAAATGATTTATTCATGACATACAAGTGTTCTTACTCCGATGAAAAACATTCACACACTAATTCACAAGCTCAGTTGGAGAAAAAAATGCAGTGTCGCAAATACAATGCTACTATGAAATTTGACACATTTCACTAAGTGCTAGAAGCCAAAAGTTAAATCCCTCTCTTTGTCTCTTTCTATGCAGCCCCAAAAGATTTCAATTGCTATCAGATTCTTGATTTAAACAAGACAGATGAAACCCATATAATATATGTTAGAATTGAACATGCTTCATGATGAAAACAATAAAAAAAAACAACAGACCAGAGTTCCAACACAACCAAGCCACAGTAAGAAACCATAAAATTCTATGTTTACACAACACCCAAACCAAAAGGGAGCTGTAAAGAACTAAAAATTCAACCTTTAAGGAGTAGTTCAAATCTTGCACATGAAACAACGAAAAAGCTACAATCTCGAAACCCCAAAATACAATAATAAAGTAATCATCACAGGCCTCAGCTAACATTTTTTATGTAAATCAGATAAAAGCAAAGCACCCCCAAGAAAAAAAGTCAAATAATAGATCTAATTCAATAAACTCAGCGATTCCCAAGATGATTAAAAACGAGAAATGGGTAATGAAACAAGTTTCCACAATAATAGAAAAGTACCGGAAGGGAGTTTTCTAGGAGGATTAGAGTCGGAAGGTGATGAGGCAGAAAAGAAACTACGGGAACCCAAGTGGCAGTTGAGGTTAGCGGCGGCTGCGGCTGTGGTAAAACGGGAAGATCTCAAACATGCTGCTCTATAAATGGATCTCAACACCACCATCTTCTCCATTTTTCTGAGGCTTTCAGCTCCGAAAACCGTAAAAGTCACTTGACAGCCGGACGCCTGTAAGTGTGTGTAATTATTAAATCGGAGGCTTTAGTAAATCATAAACCAACTTTGAAACGACAAATCATTTGCTTTTTTTTTTTTGGGCTGTGGTTTGGGCTACTTATTGCTATTGCTCTCCCGATTCTCATAGACAGGATATCTATAGACTCAAATGGGCTACTTTTTTCTCTCTTTTATCGCACTCTGGTGGGATGAATGAAAATACAAAGGGAAGGTTAAAGTTATCCTTTGATTTGGAATGAAATAAATTGTTATTTTAATCGAAAGATAATTTATATTAAAATTTATTTAAGTATAAATTAAAAAATTAAAAATCATTTGGATATAAATTAAATTTTAAACATTTATTTAAATGCAACAATAATATAAGAATTTATTTAAATAAAATGATAAAATTTAAAGATTTTTTTTTTTTAATTTTTACTTTTTAATAACAAAGACTCATAATAAGCCTCACAAACATCTATATACTCTCTAACCCAAAAACCCTCTCTCAAAAGCTAAGTAACTTAAAAACTCTCAATAATACGTGATGGCATCGCAGAGTACCTTTGCCGCGGTGGTTGGCAATGGTAGCTTGAGAGGCTTGGCCTCCTCCAAAATTTTGAAACCCTTTTTAGCATATATATATATTTAAATTGATTTTCTAAATTAGAAATGTTAATGTTATTATTTTTTGTGTTTTATAAATTAATTATAATAAGAGATATTTATTATAAATTAATTATAAACCCTTTTTTGTGTTTCTAAATAAGAGATATTCAAATCACATTGATATTATTTTTATTATATTTAATTATTATTATTTAAAATTTTTTAAAATTAAGAGAGTTGTCACAAATTTTAAATTATAATAAAATGAATTTAACAAAAACCAAAATAATTTTTTAACTTTCTCAACAAAATTCAAATTTTCAATCAAGTACCAAATATGTTTTTTTTTTTTCAAGTACAAGAGAGGTCGAAATGTAAGAGATATAGTGAAAGGAGAAGAGATATTTAACTTGTTACAACTTCTTCTCTCCATATATATTTTTTTGTTTTTACTTTAAATCTCTATCACATTTTACAATTTTTTTTTTAAATCATATTAAAACTACTTTACAAAAGAATAAAAAAAATAAATTTCTAGTCTCAAATTTTCATCTTCGTTTTTTAAAAAATATATTTAATTTTCTTGTTTTGATAAAATATGTAGTGATTGATTTATTCATACTTCTTATTTATTTCAATTTTAAATTATTAAAAAATCATAAATCATTGATAGATTATACATTAATAATTCAACGGTTAATTGTAAATCATATTTTATTAGAAGTATAATATTATCATAATAATATCTTTATTTTGTCATATTTTGAATAATATATTTTTTTGCATATTTATTAATAAATATGATAAAACATATCTTAAAAAATAAAATAAAATATATTATACATTATTAATTGATCTCTCAAAATTATATATTAAGATCCGCCATTACCCTAATGACAAACAAACTTAACACCTCCCTTAATGCCTATGGGCACAACTTCAGCTTTCACTGGGTATGCCATACAGTTCTACAACAACGCATTCGACACTCAGCCCTTCTCAGCATTGGTTTCTCTTCAAAACCAACCCCTAGTGCTGGGGGATAACTGGTGGCAGAAAGAACGAAGAAGATTCAGGAAATATTGGTCAAATGAGACGGCGCAACTTTGTCAAATCAACTAAGGAGGGCTATTGGCAATTAAACAAAGGATATAATCTCCTTTGACTTCTTCTGCCAATTAAAAGGTTGATTTATAATTTAATAAATGCAGGTTAATTATCATTTGCCATAAACATCCTTTTAATTTCGAAAGTGTTATTATTTTATAGCCACCACAACAATATCAGTGTCGAGGGTTTTGCTTTGTTTTGTTAATTTCCCTTGAAAGATCATGCATTATTGTACTTGAATCAACTTAATTAGCAATCAGAACCAAATTTTATGAGAATTATTTTGACCCACCTCATCTCGGCTAAGCTAGAAGCATTGCCAAAGCAATCAGCTTTGGGAACACCTCGACCACAGGCAAAGCCGATAAAGGAAAGTACATTATTGTATCATCTACCCACAAAAACAAACATGAGGAGAAATTTAATAGCCTCCAATTAATATCTAAAAGCCCAATCTTCATCCCTCTATTTTTCCTCTTCCTTCTTCTTATGGATTCAAGCAAACCGGAAGTGGTTACTGAAATCCCAGGTGTTATCAGAGTCTATAAAGATGGTCGTGTTGAAAGACTCATTGAAACTGACTTTGTCCCACCATCCACTGATCCCCAAACCGGTGTTTCATCCAAAGACATAATGATAATCCCTGAATCCAACGTTTCTGCTCGTCTCTTCCTTCCGAAACTGACCAACCCTAACCAAAAGTTACCTCTCCTTGTCTATTTCCATGGTGGAGCCTATTGCGTCTCATCACCATTTACTCCAAAGTACAGTAGCTACCTCAACGCTTTGGTTGCTGAAGCTAAAGTGATTGCAGTTTCTGTGAACTATAGAAAAGCTCCTGAGCACCCTATCCCTACTGCTTATGAGGATTCTTGGGCTGCTCTTCAATGGGTAGTTTCACACTGTAACAGCCAAGGACCTGAGGCTTGGCTAACTGACCATGCCGACTTTGAAAGATTGTTCTTAGGTGGAGAAAGTGCCGGTGCTAACATTGCTCACAACTTGGCTACTTTTGCTGGAGACCCTAAGTTTGGGCAAAACGTACAGATTCTTGGGATAGCTTTGGTGCACCCACATTTCTGGGGATCGGATCCAATCGGTTCAGAGGCATTGGACCCTGCTAGAAAGGCCATTTTGGATAGGTTATGGCCATTTGTTTGCCCATCTAATCCGGATAACGATGACCCAAGGGTTAACCCAGTAGCCACTGATGGGCCAAGCTTGGTGGGGCTTGGGTGCAAGAGGGTTTTGGTGTGTGTGGCTGAGAAGGATGTGCTAAGAGATAGAGGGTGGCTTTATTATGAGGCTTTGGGCCGAAGTGGGTGGACCGGCGTAGTGGAAATTATGGAGACAGAAGGGGAGGATCATGGGTTTCATTTGTCCGACTTGGAGTGTGAGAAAGCTAAGGATTTGATCAATCGGGATATGCCTCTTTTCTTCTGATCATATCAATGTAATCCTGTCCTCAAATAATTTGCTTTAGTTCCCATGATAGTGTTAATTTACTTCTATCATCAAATCAAGTTATTCCCTAAAAGGTTTGTTTTTTATGCTATTTTATGTTTTAATTTTTATAATATTTAAAAATATTTTAGTTCATTGTATTAAAATTAATTATTTATATTTTATTTAAAAAAGTCTCAATCATTGTCAGTGGGCATGTGGCCTATGGGTGACAATTTTTTTCTGTCCCTGACATAATTAGGAATCAGGAACGTCAAATTCACGTAATTCAATATAAAAACCCAAGGGCTAATGAGATTTAGTTGACATTTGCATCAACTTAATTTATTATCTCCTAACCTAATTAGGAATTGGGAAAGTCGCATTCTCGTAATTCATAAAAAAAATCCAAGGGCTAAAGAGATTTAGTTGACATCTGCATCGACTTAATTTATCAATATCTCAAAGTGCTTAGACAGTTACAGCTAATAAGTACCAATTAATAAAGAAGTGTGACTTTCTGCATTGGGTTTACATTATTCTTAATAAAATATCTGTTAAAAGGTTATTATTTTTTATATGTTGATAATAGATGTTAAATTTTTAATTTTAATGATTAAAATTTTAATTTTTTATAACAACATTAAATATACAAATATGTGTAAAATAAATTACTAATCAAGACAGTTTGCCAATGAAAGAAATGACACTGAGAAAATTAAGTTGTTTTTTTAATGAAAATTTTAGTAAAAGATGATAAAGAAATGTTATCAGCTTACAATTACATGTGATATATATTAATTTACATCCAATTCATTTTTATTAGAAATTAATTATATTGTATTAATTAAATAGTGCAACTAAATCATGATCAATATGATTACAAACTTAAAGAAATCTCTGCAACTGTGTCTAATTTAATCAATTTGGAATCTATATGAGAGATGTCAACTAATTTGAGGTACGAAACTCACCATTAAAATTTAATATAATTACAATTTGAGAGAATAATTTAAATTTTATTTTAATGATTACAAAAATATTGATAATTGATTGACCAAAAACTTAAGTCACCCTAAATAAATTTTCATCATCATTTTATTTACAATTTAATAAATAGCTTGATTTGATTATCACAAATAAAACTATAAAAGTACAAAATAAAAAAAGTGTGATAAAAATTTTTTTATTCAAAAAAATAATTTCATTCATAAAACCAAATGATTACAAAACTTAAGAATCTCATTGGAAAAAACATCAATGCATAAATAGAAAAACAATTATAACAACGTCTAATAATAAACACAATCTAATTTCTTAAAAAATTAATACACACAACTTAACCTTCTTAGAGTCTACTAGCAATAGACATAAAATAATTTTATTTTTTTTTACTTTCATCTTTGTTAAAGAATGAGCAATATAATTTGTTACTTTGCTTCCTTAAAGGTATGGCAAAACCAACAATTTCAAATTTGCTTATTATATTATATTATGAAGGAGCTAAACTTACATTGAAACCAAACCATTGGTATTTTTATTTCAACATTCTGTATTTTTTTTTGTTATGAATTGGTGACATATCAATATGATATCTTGATATATCTATCTATCTAAAAAAGAAATATAGAAGAATATAGGAAATTGAGTATAAGAGTTTCAATTATAATTTTAGTATTTCTAAAATTTTAAGACTTATTGTTAAATGAAATAAGTGGTAAATTTCACAAAGTTGAAGAATTTGTTCCATTTTTTTTGTAAGATTTTAAAAATTTACAAACTAGTGTCCCTAATATCATCTAAAGCTTTATTCACAGAGAATTTAGAAAATAATTTTTTCATTTTTAATCAAAATTAAAACATATTTAACAAGGTCATAATCAACTATATTATTTTAAGTTGATTTCACTTACAATACAATTTTTGAGAATCCTTATGATTTGATTCCCAATCAATGCATAGCCGGCAAACATGATAGCTTCCAAATCAATCAATTGTCTTTGGCATCTGATTGTAAAACCTTATAAATCAACATAATCTTATCAATTAGTCTCATAAAATAAACGAAAATCATTAAGCCTATACTAACTAATACCTAGTTAAAAAAAAATTCTTTAGCAACATCACATTAATATATATATAATATAAAAAATATGCTTTTAGATTATAACTTATAACTTATAAAGGAAAAATTATACTAAAATATATAGTTGATAAAATTGCTATTTTAACCATAAAACCTAATAATTGCACAAACAAAAATATGAGTAAAACCTCAATCAACTTGTAAAAGAACAGCCAGTAAGACTACAGAATAAATTTTTTATAAGATAATAAAGATAAAATTACAGTAAAACAAAGTTGGAGAATAGTAAAATTTGATCAGTTTAATATTCTTTTTGGAAAAACATTTGTATTTATATTATTATCAAGAAATATTATTGTAAATGTATTAAAAACTTACTATTATTAATAATCTAGGAGAATGTCAAAATCGATTGCCTAAATATTTTTTTGTAATTTAATGATATCATTATTGTCAACTTGTTAAATGACTCATTTTTCTTTTCTTATTTACTACATTAAATTTAATTTATTTTTTCATGAGTAATAAGAAAATATGAAAATATATTCATAAGTAATTAGTTTTTTATTTAGTTTCTTTTTTTATTTGTATTATTGATGAAATTAATTGTAACTTATTCATATAAGGTAAAAATATTAGATATTTAAAAATGTAATAAATGTAATTAATTTAGTCTAACTAATTATTTTTAAGTAATAAAAATGTTACTATAATAATAAAAATGTTTTAAACAAATAAAATATATTTATTAAAAAATACATGATGATTTTTAAATCTATCCACATGTCAAAAAAATAAACTATCCATATTGAATTTTTTTTTATTATATAATTTGACTTTTATATATTATATAAGATTTAAACTTTAAATAAAGGAAATTCCAATGAAAAAAGCCTAATCTTGGAGGTTTCTAATTCTATTCTTAATTGAGCTGTCAAAATTGATCTATCCCCAAAACAAATACGAGAATAGGTTCCTCTTTATTATTCTTTGTAAAAGTAATGTCAAATATATTGATTGTTACTTACAAATGAAACTGCCACATAATAAAAATATTTTTAAATACTAACTTAACACAAAACAAATCACATTTTTCTAAAAATTCAGATTCTGCAAGGTAATACGGTTATTTTTATATTTCACATAAATAAACTTTAATAATAATAATAACATGACATGTATCTTATAATCAATTTGATTGATCAACTGTTTGAATGTCCATTATTAGATGAATAAGTAGTATTATCTTAAATATTAAATTTTGAATTTTTTATAAATTTATATTTAAGTTAATTTTTTTTTTATCTACAGATAATTAATTTTAAGTTAATATTTAACACTCTATCATAATCAAAATTCTGTAATAATTTTCGTATTCATCATATCTCTTACGAATTTGTCATATACTACTTTATGCCTACACATAAAAAATCGGTTAAATAATTTACTTTTCAAGTTCCACCTTTCCATCTATTATCACTTAATTTTAAGTCAGATACTTTATCATCATCGTTAAAAGCAAATTATATAGGGAACAACTTGGCCTTGAGGTCCTTGTCAATGAACACCGAATGTTGTTTGTTGATGGAATTTAAAATAATCAGAAATATGAAATCAGAGTGATGGCAATTTCCTGTTCATGCATTCCATAACATCCGAGATACAAATTAAGGATGTTGGGGATTGTCTTGTCAGCTTGTTGCCGCTAATCTCTCTCTATATAAACAGTGTAATAAGCGAAGTATCTTTGTCTTGTTAAAAAGTCATAGCTATCTTTAGCTGGTAGTAATCGCCCCCTCAATTTTGTTTATGCATTTCGTTTTCCAGTGTCACCCTTATATTTTGTTTAATAGATTTTCTTCTGTCTTTTCTTTTTCTGCCTGTCTTAATTAATTAGTGAGATCTAACGGTTGTAAGTTTTTCTATTTACGGATACGCACAAAGACATGGGTTCTAACGCTTCAGAAGTTGTTCTTGATTTGTTTCCCTACCTTAAAGTATACAAAGATGGAACGCTCGAGAGGATTGCCGGAGTTGAAGTAGTTCCGCCAGGACTTGATACTGAAACTGGCGTTTTATCCAAAGACATCGTCGTCATACCGGAAATCGGCGTCTCAGCCAGGATTTACCGGCCCAACTTGCTTAGTAAAGATGAAAAGATACCACTCGTAGTTTATTTTCATGGTGGAGCGTTTTGTGTAGCATCTCCAGCCTGTCCAGAGTACCATACCAGCCTCAACAAGCTCGTTGCTGAGGCTAACATCATAGCTCTTTCAGTTGGCTACAGGTTAGTCCCAGAGCATCCTCTTCCTACTGCATATGAAGACTCATTGGCTGCACTTCAGTGGATAGCTTCCCACAAGGAGGGAGATGGCGACCATGAGGCTTGGATCAAGGATTATGCTGACTTTGACCAGGTTTTTTTGGCTGGTGATAGTGCTGGTGCAAATATTGCACACCACTTGGCTTTGCGGATCAAGCACTCAGGCCTGGATCAGAACTTGAAGATTCTTGGTATTGGTATGATCCATCCTTACTTTTGGGGAACAAACCCAATTGGAGCAGAGGTTACTGATTCGTTCAGGAAAGGATTAGTGGATAATTGGTGGTTGTACGTTTGTCCCTCTGATAAAGGGTGTGATGATCCGCTTATCAACCCTTTTGTGGATGGATCCTCAGATCTTGCAGGCTTGGCATGTGATGGAATCCTTATTACTGTTGCAGGGAAGGATATACTTAGGGACAGAGGGAGGCTTTATTATGATAAATTGGTGAAATCTGGGTGGAAGGGAAAGGCAGAGATTATGGAGATCGAAGGTGAGGATCACGTTTTCCATATTTTTAACCCTGACTGTGCAAAGGCTAAGAGCATGATCAAACGCATGGCTTCTTTCCTGAACCAGGGAAAAGCTCCCGTCAAGTGAAAAATATGGGGTTGCTTTCAATAAGTTCAAATGGGATTGAAAGCTATCTAGATTCCGAATCCTTTTCTATTAGTCTTGGTTAATGTATTTCTTTAATGCTATGTTTGGATAAATATTAATAAAGGAAATGAAAGAAACGACAGGAAAATAAAGTTTTTTATAAGAAAAGAAAAGATATATGTAATTATTGTTTGGGTAATTAAAATTAATAAAAAAAAAAAGAAAGGAAATGAATTTTAATAATTATTGTTTGGATAAATAGTGAAAAAGAAAGGAAATGATTCATTGTAATAATTTTTTTCAATTATAACCTTTCATTACTTATGATTTTATAGTACTTTTGGATCATAATATATTTGCTATCTTGTCTAGCATTACAATTGCTACTATATCAGTGGTTTTTAATCAAGTAAAATAAGAAGATATTTTACAAATATGCATTGATAGACTTGTTGGCCATTATCAAAATTTCAGCATATTATCACTTTGACGATATATTCATATAAAAGCTATTAAATATAAAAAATGCAATCACATAAAAACATTACATATAAGTGAATTATGTCCTTTTTACACCAAACAAGAAGTAATAATATATCACCATATAGTTGTTCAACATAAATTTATTTTACTAAAATAAAAAATAAATATTTCCATCTTAAAAAAAATAAAACTAATATTTACCAATTAAGTTTGAGTGGAAAGCGTACTGATATATTTATAATCATAGCCAAGTTAATTGTGTTTCAATGAAACATCTCCTAAAATTATCGACATCTCAAACTATAATATATTACATATAAAAATAAAAAATTTGGAGTAAGTTTGACATCTCATAAATCTAAAAAATATGTCTATTCATATTTAATCATTCATCAAGATCAAATCACTAAAAAATTATAAAAAATTTTTATATTGGAAGGACATGTGAAACTTACTTGAAAAAAGAGATGACTTTAAAAAAATTACAGAAAAATTGTGATGTGGTTAAGTTTTTTTTTTTACTAGGCTTTTGGTATTAATAAAAAGTTGGATATAATAGTCTTTTTACAAAAATAAAATTTTTTTAGCTTTTCTTTCCTTAGCTTTTCTCCCAAAGTTGGGTATTAAAAAAATGAAGATTATAGGAGAAACCAAGAATTATTGAGTCTCAATTTCTTTTCTTTCCTTTAAATTAAAAGTTTATTAAAACAAAGTAAATGTTTTTCTGTTTCTATTACTTTCTTTTATTTTTCTTTCATTTCCCTCAATCCAAACATATTGTAAATGAGTGTTTGATATTATTTTCAAGATTGTTGTGATGGTCTAATTACTACGATGATAAGATCATCGAGGTGATTTGATTACTAGTGATCTTAAATCATTGTATTTGATATTATATAAAAAATAAGTTATAAAATATAAAATATTCAAAATAATCTTAAAAAAATGTAAAAAATTTAATATTTATTGAATCGACAATTTATAAAATACTTAAATATTATTTTGTAAAAAACTATAAAATACAAATAAATTTTGATTAAAAATAATTTCTAAAAAAATTATTAAATAATTTTATTATTTTTATAATCAATAAATATTTATTCAATTGTAATAAAAAAATTTTTAAATAAGTTATTAAAAAATAAAATTTTGAAAATTTTATTATTTAGCTTTCTAAAAAAAAGTTAAGCACATCTTTTATCAGGATAAATTAATAAAAATTGATATTAAAAATAACTTTCTCATTGTGATAAAAATATTTTTATATTTTAAATTGAGAATTATATTACTCTTGAAGGTAGTGATCTTAGCACTTCAATAATTTAAAATCACTATTACATAAAATTTTTAAATTACTATTAAAAGAGATGATGTAATTATGAACACAGACCATCGTAAAGTTTAGACAAATCATCTCGTACCAAATGTGATGTTTAGTCTCCAAAAGTATTGTTTCCTTTATGCAACAATCTACTTTTTCTTTTCTTTTTCTAAGATTAGCCCTTCTCATGAATGATCGATGTAAGTGGCATGAAGGATACTCAATCATTCATACAATCACATTACCCCTGTTGCCACAGGGAATGCAACTCAAGCAACAAGCACTCTTTAAACTTGCCTTTTTTTTTTTTAATAATTTTTTATGAGACTTTTTTAATACCTCCGTTGTATTGTGAATTAATTTATAACACATGACGTCATAATTATAAAAAAAAAACAATAAATTTGGGGATCATATTTGATTAATATTCAATTAATTAACGTTTTCATATAAAGATATTAAAATTTGAACTTAAAATTTTAAAATTTTAGAATCACTTTTTCTATCATTAAGCCAATTTTTAAAATATGTATTATCGATATATATATTTTAAAATTTTAAATTATAATAATAAAATGTAAGGTGTGTTGCTTATTAAGAGGCTTTGGGCCGGAGTAGGTGGATGGTCGCAGTCCGTAGTGGAGATTATGGGGACAGAAGCGGAGAACTTGATCACTCGATTGGCTGCTTTTCACGATAGGGATATGCTTCCTTTCATTTGATGGTTACAATTGGACTGTTTGCTTAAATAATTTGTTTGAACTCCCATTTTAATAATGCCGTTAATTTACTTCTATCATCAATTGAAATGATGTGCTACAAGCTTTAGTTTTTGATGGTGTTTAAGGTGCATTGATCATTCGATTGGCTGCTTTTCACAATAGGGATATGACAACTTTCATTTGATGGTCACTATTGGATTGTTTGCTTAAATAATTTGTTTGAACTCCCATTTTGATAATGCTATTAATTTACTTCTATTATCAATTGAAATTATTTGCTAAAACCTTTGGTTTTTGAATGGTATTTAAGGTTTAATTTTTTGTAAAATTTATAAGAAAAATTATTTAATATATTGATAGTAGAGTTTTTTAATTTCATAAGTGGGATTAAAATAATAACACATGTTTTTTTTTTTTAAATATATATTAAGAGGCATGTGCCATTATTTTAATTCAATTTGTGAAGTTAAAAACTCTATTGTTAGTGTATTTGATAATTTTTTTTATTTATAAAATATTTTAATTAAATGTAATAAAATTAGTTACTTACATTAATACTATTCAACAATACATTAAATTAAATATATATAAATATATAAAGTACAATTCGAAAAGTGCTTTCAAAATTATTGTGATTAATTTGTCTCAAACAGAAATACAAAGCTCCACCCAACTTGCCTATAGTTTTATAAGTTAAGAGTTAAGACATCTCATTTAGTGGATAGTTCGACAAAAAAAAAAAAAAAGAATTTAGGTTCAAATTTTTTTATACAAAAAAACAACAATTTGAAGATAAAAAAAAATTATAAATGCTAAGATTTAAATTTTATATCTATTGAATATTATTTTTTAAAATTATTATATAAATTAATTAAATTAAACTCATAATATTAATTTCACATTTTTAAAACATGGACAAAGGTTATGTATAGCTAAAAATCTCAAATACACAACCTGCACATATATAAGTGGGCAGTAGTTGTGGATTCATTTGAATAGATAATGAAATTGATTTTTGTAAAATTAAAAGTTGTAATAAAAATTATTATAACTGTAATTAAAAAAAATTACTATAAATTAACATTTAAATTTAACTGATGATCCAATAAACTTAATTGTACCACATTGAAAGTGAGGTTGAATCCAAGCACCTATTTAAGTTTTCTATCCCCTTACATTAGGAATTGGGAAAGACAAATTCACGTTATTCGGTAGTCTTCAGTCATGAATCACGAAATAAGGAGCTCACTCATATATGGTTTTGACTGGAGAACAACATGCACCTTTCATTCTTCTAATCTTGATGAATGATGATGTCATGATGGTCTTCAATTAATTAATTTTTGTTCCTTTCGAATTCAAATAAAACAATAAAAAAAAATTAACCATGTAAGCCTAACTTATTATAGTTATTACCATATGTACATTTCTCAATTTACTTTGTGGATGATGATGACTGATGATAGTGAAATAGCAATGTAACTTTCTCAGTTCCTTATCTAGTGGTTAAGGATTTTTTAAGAAAATATAAAAATTTTGATTTCAAATCAAGACTTTCTTCTCTTTTGCATAAACCAAACTCATCTTATGTAAATATATATATATATATATATAGCAATATAACTTTTAACACATGTATATATTTGATGTTGTATTGATACATGCAAGAATTGAGTAGTTCAAAGAGAAGAAATCCAATATATATCCTTGGAATCTCCTCTGATCTTCGTGGTAAAATTCAAATATATGCTTTTTCATACTCTTGTTTGCATTTGATAATAAAGGGTATATTATTTTATAATTATTATATTATAATTAATTAATTTTAGTTTAAAATTATGTAAGATTCATTAAAATTTTGTGTGAAACTCATATTTATAAATAATGGATTTTATATATTTTTTGTTTTGATTGAATAATTGTAAGTGAAATGCTTTGTATGTGTGAGATGTCATGTAATGCCAAAATTCTTAGTTAATTACCTAGGTGTATTGGTGATTAGTAGACCTAGCAATTTTAGATACAAATTAATATGGTTAAATTTTATATGAATTTGATAAAAATAAAAAAATATATTTCATATTTAAAATATTAATATGAATTTTGATACGATAATTCTTGTATTATACATAAAATAGATACAATACAAATATTCGCCGACAATCCAATGGTGAGTTGAGTTTAGATTTTCTTAATCCAATAGTTTCTTTCAACTTTCAAGACTCCAAATGCTTTGAAAGTTTACAGAGGAGAATTGAACCCGGATCTTACCTTCAAGAAAATAACCATTATAGTAAAAGATTACAAAGTTTGATTAGTCAAAGTCGATAACATTATAATATTAAGATTATAAAAGTTTTTCTATTAAAAATGGTGAATAATTCAGATCAATTCAAAGTACTAAACGTTATGCAGAAGATGTTTGAAGATTACATATACATGTCTTTAAGAACAAAAAATAATACATCATTTGATTGAAACTTGTGGCTTTAAAATTATATTTGTGATAGAAATCAAATTATCCCAAGTTTTAATTTGTAGTCATTTTTCACTATATTAAATTTAAGGTCATGTATTGTAACAAGAGAAAGAAGAACTAGATAATAATTTTTTTTTTTTTTAATTTTAATATATCGTTGAACTCTTTACTTTATTACTTATATAGTTAAAGAAAACATTACGCACATAAGATCTTTCGAACCCACAACCTTTGAATATTAATTTCAATAACATATCAATTGATTTAATTGATAATTGGCATTCGATTTTATTTCTTAATTTGTTGTAGAAGAAGTAGTAATGGAGGAAGAAGTGTGACTTTATGCAATATTGGTTGGGGTGGCACTCTCATGATTACAAATTAACCGAATGTTACGGTTTACCAATTGAAGACTTGGACGACTTTCCATCCCCCAATATCAGGAAGTCAAAAATTACAATGAATCATTAATGATGAAAAATTAAGATTTTTTTAATGAAAATTTATACAAAAATTTTAATAAAAGATGTCCTAAAAATATATATTTTTTAAGATTAAAATCACAATTAAAACAATATTTGAATGTTAAAAATTAGGTTAATTATGCAACGTTGCTTTGAAAAAGTTTGCATATACCAGCAATTGCGTGTATATCATAAAAACTAACATTATTATTCCAAGTACAGTGCTACATGAATTCATTTTACATACTCGCTTCTTATTTTAAGAACTTAAAAGAAAATTATTAAAATTTTTATGGGTTATAATAGAATTTTGGAAACTTATAAATGTGTAAAATAAAAGCCCTTTCTTATTCTTATAAATAAAAAAACCATTACAAATTCGCCATTGATATATTTCTTTAGTTTGGTTCCCTTTCAAGATCACAATGAATTATGTGCCATATATGTGGGTGTTTTGGTTGCCAACTAATGGTGAATAAAGCAACTTGCCATGAAAAATAATTGCGTGTGGGTGGGTAATCGGCATGCATTCATGGCACATAATTCATTTTTCAAAGTAATAAAATCCCCCAGAGGTCAGAGAAGTAGACAGTTGAATATCCACATTGAAAATTAATTATATACAAAAATTAAAATTTTTTTAATGAAAATTTATACAAAAATTTTAGTAAATTTTTTTTTTCTAAAAAATGTCCTAAAAACAATTTTTTTAAGGTTAAAATCACAATTAAAATAACATTTCATTGTAAAAAATTAGGTTAATTACGTAACGTTCTCTGAAAAAGTTTGCAATTGCGTTTATATCATAAAACTTAACATTATTATTCAAAGTACAGTGTTACATGAATTAATTTATACATTCATTTTACATATTCACGTCTTATTTTAAGAACTTAAATAAAAGAATTAAAATTTTTATGGGTTATAATAGAATTTTGAAAACTTATATATATGTAAAATAAGTATGTTAGATTGTTGCAGTGTATAACTTTTTTTTTCTTTTTCTAAAGACCGACTAAAGCAAAAGGCTAACAACTTCATTCCTTAGGGTCGGCTTCAATCTTTTCTACAAAAAATACAATTGTCAAACAAAGCCCTTTCTTATTCTTATAAATAAAAAAACCCATTACAAATTCGCCATTTATATATTTCTTTAGTTTGCTTCTCTTTCAAGATCACAATGAATTATGTGCCATATATGTGGGTGTCTTGGTTGCCAACTAATGGTGAATAAAGCAGCTTCCCATGAAAAACACTTGCGTGTGGGTGGGTAATTGGTATGCATTCATGGCACATAATTCATTTTTCAAAGTAATAAAATCCCCAGTGAAGTAGACAGTTGAATGTCCACATTGAAAAATAATTATATAATGTACTTGTACCCTGGTCTTGAGGTCATTGATAATAAACTCCAAATGTTGGTTTTCGATGGAATTAAAATAATCGAATAAAGCAAATGTGTGATTCCGGTCCACGGTGAACTTCCACAAGATACATAATATAAATTTTCTTGTCTTTCCTTTGTTTGCCTGTCTTAATTAGTCAGATCTCCCTTTTTGTTCAGTTTTTCACTTTACAGTTTCCTCTCTCTCTGACACTCAAACACACGCAAAAAGAAATGAGTTCTAACGTGTCAGAAGTTGCTCTTGATTTGTTTCCCTATCTTAAAGTATATCAAGATGGAACCGTTGAGAGAACTGCCGGAGTTGAAGTAGTTTCGCCAGGACTTGATCCTGAAACCAACGTTTTATCCAAAGATATCGTGATCATACCCGAAACCGGCGTCTCAGCTAGGATTTACCGACCCAACTTGGCTAGTAAGGATCAAAAGCTACCACTTGTAGTTTATTTTCATGGTGGAGCCTTTTGTGTAGCATCGCCAGCTTTTCCAAACTACCATAACAGCATCAACAAGCTAGTTGCTGAGGCTGACATCGTAGTTCTTTCGGTTGACTACAGGTTAGTCCCAGAGCACCCACTTCCTACTGCATATGAAGACTCATGGGCTGCAATTCAGTGGGTAGCTTCCCAAAAGGAGGGAGATGGCAACCATGAGGCTTGGATCAAGGATTATGTCGACTTTGAACAGGTGTTTATGGCCGGTGATAGTGCTGGTGCAAATATTGCACACCACTTGGCTTTTTGGATCAAGGAATCGGTTCTGGGTCAAAAGTTGAAGATTCTTGGTATTGGTATGATCCATCCTTACTTTTGGGGAGTAACCCCTATTGGAGCAGAGGTTAATGATTCGTTCAGGAAAGAATTAGTGGACAAGTGGTGGTTGTACGTTTGTCCTTCTCATAAAGGGTGTGATGATCCGCTTATCAACCCTTTTGTGGATGGATCCCCTGATCTTGCGGGCTTGGCATGTGATAGAATCCTTATTATTGTTGCAGAGAAGGATATACTGAAGGATAGAGGTTGGTTTTATTATGATAAATTGGTGAAATCTGGGTGGAAGGGAAAGGCAGAGATTATGGAGACAGAAGGTGAGGATCATGTCTTCCATATCTTTAACCCTGACTGTGCCAAGGCCAAGAGCTTGATAAAACGCTTGGCTTCTTTCCTAAACCAAGGGAAGGTTCCTGTTGAGTGAAAAATGTGGTGTATGGGGTTGTTTTTGTAATAAAATAAGTTCAAGTGCGATTAAGATCTACCTAGATTCCCTTTCCAAGTACCTGTTTGTCAAGATTTCTTTGCCTTTACTCTTGATTGACGTAATTTTCTAGTAGTATTGTGTCTATGCGAAATCATTCTACTTTCTCTTCTCCTTTTCCTAGATTCGTCCATTCTAGAATGATTTAATTGGCATTAAGGATCCTCGATTTTATGTTCACGGCACCCTGTTGCTCAACTTGTCGACATTAGTTCATGACCACAGAATGAGAATGCAACTCAGGCAAGAGGCCCTCGTTAAGCTTTGCCCTTTCTTTTTTTTTTTTTCCTTTTCTTTTATAAGATTATTTTCTATCATCTGGCCCTTGAAGAATTTCAAAACCCTGAAAATAAGTATAAACACATTAAACAAGCTAATACAAAATGACGAATCCCAAAAAAACTGCCCCAAAATCAAGTTAAACAACCCAAACAACATATCCTGTCACTTCCACAGAGAGAGAGAAGCAAGCATCACAAATTTAATGACGCAACTTGATAGTCACTTCTGAATTTTCCCAAAATAACAAGAAACTTCGCTTGAAGATATCAATGTAGGTGCAGTTCCTGAACTTGAATAGAGTATACAAATGCTAAGAGTCTAGAACACGACTGTGTCGAGCATAGTTCCCAAAGTCTGAACAATGTTTGAGGACATCAAGTTTGAGACATGTTCCTCTAAGTGCTTTTTGGCATCTTGTCGCCCAACATTTGCAATTGCCAGCTTCTCAGGAGGTAATTCATCTTCCTCCTGCACTGCCTTATTGTATTTTATAGCTAAAATGAGCATTTCCTGCACGTATAAAAAACCCAACATCATGACTTTGCCTTTCCGAAGACAATTTTCATTATAACAGGAAATTAATTTATTTGGCATTCACATTTGAACTCTTTGAGCAGCATTCTAAATGCAACTTTACTAACAAAGAAGTATTTTTACTATTGAGAAATATAGCCCACACATTTATATAGCCCTTTTGTATCGAACATTCCTAAAGTGACAAAGGGAAGTTATCAATTATTAACATTTTTCGTCCCTTTCTGAGGGTCTTCAAACACCTCACATCAGAGAGGGACAACATAAAGTCATATATATATATATATATATATATCTTACAAATACACAAAAGGGCTATGATGATATTAAAGTCTGCAGAAAAACTTCACTCACCTGAACAGTCTGTTCATTGGTTTTGGAATGGGTATCGAAACCCCTAAGCGTCAATCCATCTGTCCACTTCTTCTTATGAAGATTCAGCAGCATCTTTTCCTCAAGTTCGTTCTTTCTGTAGTTAATGGCTATAGAGTAATAATGTCTATTGAGCCCATGGATCAATGCCTGGCAATGAAAAATAATGAGTTTAGATCAGTACTTGTATAAAAGAAGCTATTAGAAAAACTCAGACAGTATCCTTTTGGCTCTCACTTGGATAGATGGCTTATTAAGATGCCCAAGATTGGATGTTGTCTGACGTGGTTCTTGGCCAAGCATCATGGTTTGTGGGTTGATCAAACGGAATGCATCAATCACCACCTTCCCTTTAACACTCTGAATTGGGTCCACCACCACTGCCACAGCCCTTTGATTCAAAGCTTCAAAACTCTGCAAGCAGCGACAGATATTAGCAACAGATAGACCAGCTTTCATTAATCACAATAGTTAAAGAAATGTAAAACCATATGAACCATTGAAATGGTTTTCACTTAAAAAGACTGAAGTGGAAAACATAAACCAATTGATAGAGGCTAGACGAAAAAAGCAAGTATCCAAACTTTTTTGACCTTGTATATGTAATAGTACAATATTCAATAAACTACATTTATGTTTCCAGCCTTCATGATATCTATTAACTGTCACATACTCAAACATCTTTGACATATTGTACAAAGCATTGTTTTAGGCAGCCACAATGTCTGTGCCAAGAAAAATTGACAATAATGGCAGATCTACATTTTTTCTGGGAAAGAGGAAAAGAGAGTGAGAAAGAAGGGGGGGTTTACAAAGCCATGAATCACAATTAATACAGTGCAGCGTCCAAAATGATGCCTTTCCTCCATATCAATTACATGATCAGACTTGAGGAGAAAGTTGTCAGGCAATCCCCATTCCCTTGAACCACCCCCACCCCCCAACAAAAGGTAAAAAAAGAACAGAAAAGTACAGGAACAAGAATCCTATTAAACAAAAAATAACAGGAAAATCAATATAAGAGCTAGATAAGTTGGATGTTTTCGTTTGTTTGTATGAAAGAATGATGTGATTAATGAGTTTTATACTAACACCAACCGAGGACATTAAAGCCTATGACTGACAGGAAAATCTTCTAAGCAAAAGTAACATGGCTAGGTGACTAGCATGTGTATGATGCAGCACTATGCAAAAAAGATTAAACACAACCTGCTGTGTGTTTATGTCCACACCAGAAAGCCAACAGCCAAATCCAGGATGTGAATGGTACCAACCCACCACCATCTCTGGCCTGCAACATCAAGCAAAAAGATCAACAAGCAATATAGAGAAATAGGTCATTATGAGTTTCAAAACCATCTAATCTTGTCATACAAATACCATCTCCGCAATTTTTGAGTTATTCTCAACCATTATTACAAATGGTACCTTCCTGTTTGTTTGAGCATGTCAAGCATATTTGTCTGAAAAACATGATCCACAGCTTCGACACTAACACCAGTACCACTCTGTGGCATTGCAAAGACATCCACGACACGTACAGTGTACTCATCAACGAATTCTCCCAACATCAAACCCATAACCTCCATGGGAACTCCAGCTCTTCCTATAAAATATTCACAACAGCCAAACATAGAAACACAATTGCAACAACTACCTACTAAAGCTTAAGTCCTTAACCGTAAAATTGAAATCGAAACAGCTCATACTTCTCATAGACAAGTAAATGGAAAGCAGATCAGAAAATAAATTTTTGATTTAATAAAAGAAAACCCTAAACTGCAAAATCAAAGTAGTAAAGACCATCGATATTTTTTTAGAATTTTTCTAAACAAAACTATAAGGCGGCTAAAAGATAATCAGAAAAGCAAATAAAAGAAAAACTGACAAAAAAAAAAAACTTTAAATCAGTATATGTTGAGAAGAAGAGAAACAGAAAAGTACCGTGCTTGAGCATTTTGAGGAGGGCGAGAGAGGAGATATAGACCTGCTCCGACGAATCGAGAGTTGGGGAATCTGGCGGTGGATGACCCAACGCTCCTCCAGCACCGGCGAACATCCTCTGCAATCTCTCCATGCCTGACATTGTCGAGCGGAGTTTCAGGAACTTTTCTTTGGTAACAAGACAAAGGAAGACTTCACTGATTATCTTTCCCCTTCTGATTTGCTCTTTTAAATCCTCCTGGGCTGTAATGGCTAAACTTATAAAATATCTCATCATGTTTGTCCGTTCCGGTCCAATTATAAGAAATCGTCAGTGGACTTGCATGGCCCAAATTCAAGTAGATGGGCTGCTTTGAAACATTTTATTCGAACAAATAATTATGAGTTTAATAAAATGTTTAGGCTTGATGGGCTTGGGTTTTGAACATTTTCTTTTAGTTGCATGAAATTATATAATGGAGATCCATACCATGTATTTTTTGGAAGGTGGAGAATATATACTATTTGAATACACATGAATATTTGTAATAAAATCATGTTCATAGAGTTTTCTAGACACGAAAATTATATATCAAATAAAAAAATGTAAATGGACAAGTACCCATATTATATTTAATTATTTCTGATATAAATGGGCAAGTTGCACTATTTGATCATTATTCTTTTTTTTTTTTTAAACCCTTTTGATAATGGAGAATCCTTAGGTTATAGAACTAGGCTGCCTCTCAATTTAATCGCGTTTTGATTGGCCTAATAAAATTATTAGCTGATTTTGAGGGCGAATTGACATCTAAAAATTATAGTCAACATTGTTGAATTTCTGACACTTTTGTTGGTTTTATTCTATTTTGATTTGTTGAATTTCTGTCACCTAGATCAGTTCCTATTGGCTACTTTCTTAAAATCCAGGGTTTGGTACGTCTCCGGTGTCCTCCCCCCAAATATTCTCTAAGCCAGTTGCTTAAAAAGATGGCCGTCCGTGATGACCGTGAATCTTTAAACTATAGCAATTCTTGATTTCTAAACAACTTTTTGTTTCAACTCTTTATCCAAATTGGTCAAACCTGCAGGTCTTCTCTTCTTTGTTATGACTTATGAACTGTACAGTTGCCTACTGGCCAATAATTAGAGTTAGAATTTTCAATGTCTTCCCGGGAGATGAATGGAGGTTGGGTCTAGCACAGAGAAGGGCTAGCACGAATGGAAGTTGGGATAAGTAACGAATTTGGATAATCATAACAATGTTGTTGAAGTTTCAAACCTGAAGGTTGAGAGTAGGTAGGCTATATAAATGCCTGCACATGCATGTCTTAGGAGTGTATCAAACATATCAACCTAGCTTACAACTTGCTCCTCTCAATCTCTCTGCCTTTGTTCACGTTCTCAAACCTTGATAAAAATCTCCATCTCCGTCAATGGAGAGTATTGCAAAACATATTATTCCGAGATATAATTTTTTTACGGACAGTCCAAGATCACCTCTTCAACCTCCCACGTATGGCACTTTGATCACTGTTCTTAGCATTGATGGAGGGGGTATCAGAGGGTTAATTCCTGGAACTATACTTGCCTTTTTAGAGTCTCAACTTCAGGTGGCTGGAAATGCTTTTCATTTCTTGTTTTTTGTAGTAGCTGAGATACATGCATGACTTCTCAATACCTGGTTAAGGGACAGGATTTTGATCATCTAATGGCTGACTTTATTTAGAAAATTAAGATATTTAAGTATATTTATGTTGCCTTTCTCTTATGACATTGAGGTTATGTTTGGCTATGTACAGAAGCTGGATGGTGAGCAAGCGAGATTGGCAGATTATTTTGATGTCATTGCTGGGACTAGCACTGGTGGTCTCGTGACCGGCATGCTAACTACCCCAAATCCGAATGAGGGGAATCGACCTCTTTTTGCTGCCAAAGATATCAATGATTTCTACCTTGAACACTGTCCTAAAATCTTTCCCCAAGATAGGTAATTACGATGGAAACAGAAGGGAGGCTAAAATTCCTTCAAGATGAATATCGTTTCTCAATCACTTCTCAAGTAGTTATTAAGATGATTCTCTGTTTTGTTACATGACATGCAGTTCTCCCTTTGCACCGGCTGCAAATGTGGTCAAATCTCTAATGGGACCAAAATATGATGGCAAATATCTGCATAATATTGTGAGGGAGAAGTTGGGAGAAACTAGATTGCACCAGACCCTGACAAATGTTGTGATCCCAACTTTTGATATCAAGCTACTCCAGCCAAAAATCTTCTCCAGCTATGAGGTCCATTAATTATTACCTCTTAGAGATTTATATCCCTTTGCTTTTCTTAACAGAATAAAAGGAGTGCAAGAAAATGATTTTCTTTTCTTCTTTGACTGTTGTTGTATGACATGAGGGCTGATTCTTTATCAATTTTCTGGTCATGAAATTGTTATCATTTAGGTAAAGAGTGATCCTAGCAAAGATGCTCTGCTCTCTGATATATGCATTGGAAGTTCTGCAGCTCCAACTTATCTTCCTGCCCATCATTTTCAAACCCAAGATCCCAATGGTAAAACAAAAGAATTCAATCTTATTGATGGAGGAGTTGCTGCTAACAATCCGGTACACATCAATATTTATGTCATTAACATGATGGGATTTGCCTTAGAATTCCGGTGAAAATCTGAATCATATTAATTCTTTTCAGACTTTAGTTGCTATAAATGAAGTGTCCAAGGAAATCCTTCGAGGGAATCCTGAATTTTTCCCAATAAAGCCAAATGACTACGCTCGGTTCCTGGTTGTATCTTTGGGGACTGGTTCACCAAAAGCTGAAGAGAAGTACCATGCTACTAATGCAGCCAAATGGGGTATTTTGGGATGGTTGACCAGTGAACATTCTACTCCCTTGGTGGATATTTTCATGCAAGCAAGCAGTGACATGGTCGACTTTCACATTGCCACAGTTTTTCAAGCCCTTCAATCTGAAAAAAGTTATCTCCGAATTCAGGTATAAATTTGTTGATCATGACATGAACATTACATTAGCTCATAAATGATGTCACAAATTATGTCTCTCTTTACCTAGTCTTCTTTCTGATCTGTGAAAACATTGAATGGTGTTTCAGCTAAAAAATAGTAAAGGATTATTTCGTTCCTCATAGTCATTACATATCAAAGTGAAATTTTTCTCTAAAAAACAGCACAGGTACACGTACGTATGTATATATGTATATATACAGATACGTAACTCATAGCCAAAAATCATGCAGGATGATACACTCTCTGAGAAACTGTCATCTGTGGATATTGCAACGAAGGAAAACTTGGAGAATCTTGTCAAAGTTGGGGAAGAATTGCTAAAAAAACCTGTTTCCAGAATGAATTTGGAGAATGGTCAATTTGAGCCAGCTGGTGAGGTAACAAATGAAGAGGCTCTCATCAGGTATAGAACAATTTGACTGTCTGGTGCATGAAATTGTTTGTATCTCAACACAAAATCATCCATGGAAACAGGTTGTTTATGCTTGTTTATGCTTTACTATAATGTACAGATTAGCAGAAGTTCTTTCAAAGGAGAAGCGGCTTCGTGACATGAGATCACCGCATGGAAACCTCGTTGCCACAAAGAAAAATGAAGCAGGTGATCAGAATAATACAACTACTATAATTTAATCGGTTTAAAAATTGATGGCCTTCAATAAAATAAACAAAGGAACAGAGGTTATGTAGAATTGTTAGTAGCAACGACGATCTCAGTTGACTGGTAGACATTAATCTGCATCAAAACCCGTCTCAATCAAGTCAATATGGTCAGATGAAGACCAATGGAGCACCAATACAACTTATGTTATGCTCCTTCCATTATGGCATTTTATTCAATTTGGTGTAAGCCATCAAAATGATGAGTAATTAGAAATTGTTTCTTCCTCCTCTTTCAATTCAAGGAAATAATCAGTTCGTTTGGTTTTCTTGGCTAAAATGCAATTATTTTTCTTTTTTGTCATGATCCAAACGTTATCAAATTTCTTTCCTACTTATCGTTAATAGTATAGTAGATCAGGGCGCATTACAAAGTTGAATTTGTCGTTTTTGCTTGTGTGATTGCATAATGTTGCTGTGCTTTAAATAGAAACCGGCAACGACGGTATCCTTCAGAACATTATCATAAATATTTGGTCGAATACTCACTGGCGACCATTTCTATTTAATATTATAGCACACGATCAATAAAGTATAGCACAGACTTTGAGGCAACGACCCCACGGTCAGCGGTTATATTAATTACTTCATAGTTCACTGGTTCCCGAGCGCATTTGGGATTTGAGATCTTGGTCTTTCAATGTTCGTTGAAGCCCACTCACAGGTTCGAACTCTCGATATTTACGCCATGAAAATCCTTAAATAAGCCCAACAGTAAAGCTGGCCAAAAAAATGCATATGAACTGCTCTAATAAGGTTATGTACCAGAGGTAGCAAATTAATGATGCCTAAAGTGGGCTAATGAGGATTTTCTGTTTAATTCCTTAAAAAAAAAAGATTTTCTTTTTTATTAATACATATAGAATTCCATTAACTTTAAATTACATGAAGAAAAATAGCTCTTTCTTTTCCTTAACTGTCAAGTAAAATAATATATTAGTTTGGTTTACGTGATTTTTTTTTTTTATATTTGGTAAATTTTTTTATCTAAAATGATGTATAATTATTTAATATATGATGTAATAACATAAATAGAGGAAACTTTTCGATAAGGAGAGGACTAAGATCGGAAAGATTTAGCTTTTTTGAGCATCAACCATTGTTTTTCAAGAAATAAATTATTTTGGATATTTAAAATTATCAAAATTTAAATTTTTATTTATAAAATTAAGATTTTAACACCTTACGCATGAAAGCAAAAATTCTTCATTTATTTCTAAGGCATCAATCAAATCCAAAACTACGGCTTTTATACATGGCTAATGAGAAACTATTTTCCGAAGTGTTTACACACTTCATTTATTTACCAGACGTACAGGGATGTTTAGCTGACAAAAAAAAAATCCTCAGCTAAATCGACAAAGGATTTGGCTTAATTAGTTAAAATTTATTTTTTCATGATAAAAAAATTTTAAGTTTAAATTCTGTCAATAATTATTTGTTAAAATTATATTAAATACACAATTTATAATAATTTATCTTATATTATTAAATATAACATACAATCTATCCGCAATTTTTACTTACCAAAAAGAAAAAGAAACCACCAGCTAAATCACAGAATTATTAGTGCAATTGCTTGACACGGCAAGGATAATATACCGACTGCTACACCAGTGGCAGTCACCATTGGCTAGTTATGCACGTGTGGGGTCCCCTTGTGAACAGTATAGTCGACATCGATGACTTTCCGACTTTAGTCTCATTTCCAAAAGTTGCAACCATGCAATGTAAGTAATTATTCCCGAAGAATTGCTTACCAATTCTTGAGCTCTCCGAAGTTTCATACAATATATATATATATATATATATATCTTGCTTTAGCATCCAAAAATATAGATCATGAAGACAGTTGTTGCTTCAACGGAAGAAAAGAAGAATACTACATTGAGAATTGGTCCACGCCTCACGTGTTGAAGACTTAAATGGAAAAAGTAATAGAACTTAAGAAAAAATTTTTTTTTGAGTAGTTTATTTCTGATTTTCTAACATATAGTTGGATTTACTCTTTCAAAACTGATTTTCATCTGGATTATTATTCAAACCTACGAGTCGTCATAGAGTTTGAATTTTCATACACGAGTGCGCCGCCAAGTTATGGTCTGTGTGTAGCTAATTAACAACATATATTGGCATTTCCGTCCAAACTCTATCCAAGAAACTTCAAGTTGATCGTTAAATTTTCTTTGCATGAATACTAAAAGCAAAGATGAAAGTTTCAAAGTTGATCTTATGTTCAACTTAAGCTTAGACATCTTATTAAAGATAAATCTTATATAAAACTTCATAGATAAAGTTTGTGAAATTTTTTATTAAAAATAAGTAAATAAAAATTTTAATAAAAAATTCGAATCGATATAATGATAGAGTTTAATATAAAAATCAATAATATGTAAAAAATTATTAAAAATATTATTTATAATTTAAATTTTATCGATATTTATTCAATAATTAAAATTTTATTAATATTTTTACTAAAAATATTTATTTAATAAATATATCAAAAATTATTATTATTTTTTAAAATTTTACTTATTTAATCTATATATTAAAAATTTTAATTTATTAATTTTATTTTTATTTACTCGCAGTTTATAAACTCTGCATGTAAACCTTCATGTAAATTTTTTTCTCGACAAACATCTCTCCCATCATTGAATAGGGTTCCCAAAAATGTGAAGAGAAGTACTCTGCTCGTACGGCAGCAAAATGGGGTCGCTTGGGATGGTTGACCTGTGAACACTCCACTCCTCTGATATATCAAAGTGTTCTTGCAAGCAAGCAGCTGTACAGTTGCTCCATTTTCAACATGTATATCTAGATTCATTTTTCGAATTGTAGCTATAGATAAAAGAGATCTATACAATTTATATGTAAGTTTATAACAATGACTGAAATTACATTTAACCTAAAGCAAAAACTAATAATAAAAAATGAAAGATAATACGCTATGTAGAACAGTCGCATCTCTGGATATAATTGCTATAAAAGAAAACTCGAAGAATTTTGTAAAAGTTGGGGAAGAATTGCAGAAAAAAAATAAGTTTTTAGGGTGAATTTGAAGAACTTATCAACATGCAGAGTATTTATGAACGTTTTTAAAATAAAAAAAAATTATTTATATGGAACTGTTGGTAGCTATCACAATCCAAGCTGACTGGTAGAGGTTAGTGGAAATCAACAAAATATTCAAAGTGTCAAATGATAAGAGCACCAAGGATTTTACTACGTCCATGGTGACATGGATGCTGATAATAATCGTGGAACTAACATTAATAAAAATATAATTGATTCTCTTTCAGTAATCCAAAGTAAGTAATTGTGACTTATTAGTTGACTTTTAATTAAAAATACCCAAATTCTACTGCTTTAATTTGTCATGAGAATCAAACATCACAAACAACGTGACAAATTTTCATAAAGTTGAATTTGTTATTTGGTTTGTGGAATATTTCTTGTTTGAGTTTGGGACTATTTACATTTTGTTTGGGTACATTAATTGTATAGTGGAAATTAATTAAGATGGAGTGTATTGTTAAAGAAGAATTGGCCAACTCAAGAAATTTTGGTAGCCAATACCACTGTTTGGAAAGCTTTCTAATCAGTAATCTACTGACCTAGTATGATTGCTTTTGTATAATTAATTTCAATTAGAAACCGAATTTCAAATATATCATTGCAAGAAAATCAAGCATTTTCAATTTTTGAAGTTCCAAAATGCAATTGTGATATGATCATGACTTTAATTATAATATATATTTTGGTCAATAACGTGTAAATTGTATTTTTATTTCTAATCAACAATTTGTGACTTATTTGATAGAAATGTAAGAAATGCATAATACATAATCATTTACATCAATCCTTAAATAGATTTCAGGTGTATAAAAAAGTTTTAAATTATAAAACATTATATGAGTTTTTTTTTCTTTTGCGATTGAAAACAATTCAATATCTTTGAATGGAAAAAAAAATTCAATAAGTTATAAACCAAGAGAAGAACAAATTAAATTCCAAACAAATGGTTGAAGAAATTAGATCTAGAAGCACAGATTGAGTTGGCACAATAGAAAATTGTTACTGATGAAACACTTACAATCCAAAGAAAACGAATAAAATAAGGCTCCTATCCCTATAATTATCAATTGTGATCCCATTTGGAAATTATTGAAGCTAAAAAAAGTAAAGAATCACAGAGTTGAATTATTTGTGCTCCAAGAGCTTATTACAACAAATTCTAAAAGCAATTATGAAAATTAGCCACTAATTTTTCACAGCATTTTGATCATTTTCTCTAGCCTTCCCTTGGGGTGACCTAGAATGACGACGATGCCTCTCTTGGGACAGTAGGATTGCAAACCTACAAAATTAAATTTTCTCAAGAATTAATGATTCATGCAAATTTGGTCACAAAAAATTAATTATTGCAAAAGTCACCAAATTCTACCTTTTAAGAGCTTCTTCATTGGTTTCTTGAGTGAAAGGCTCAAACAAACCTGTTTCCAAGTTAACCCTAGAAACTCGATTCTTTAACAGTCCCTCCCCAACTTTCACCAGTTCATCCAAATTCTTCTTCGTAGCTATGTCAACGGTAGATAAATCTCCCCTTAATGTATCATCCTGCTTACATTAAATTCAAAGATGTTAAAAATGGCAGATTAAAGCTAATATATATATATATTTTCCTTTGAAATCTTAGCCTGAGTGCATGCATGTACATACCTGAATACGTAGGTATTTATTAGAGTGAAGGGCTTCAAATACTACAGAAAGGTGGAGGTCGACCATGTCTCCACTTGCTTGCATAAATACATCAACTAATGGGGTGGAGCCGCCGCTGGTTAACCAACCTAACAAACCCCATTTTGCTGCCTCTTTTGCACTGTATTTCTCCTCGGCCTTTTGGGAGCCAGTCCCCAAGGAGATAACCAGAAATCTTCCATAGTCCATGGGCTTTGGAGGGAAATCCGGGTTTCCCCTAATGATCGCCTTGGTCACTTCGCCTATAGCCACTAAAGTCTGAAGGGGCCAAAATATACATATATCTAAGTATTTATAATTGCTATAGCTAAAAGAAATTATTATTGATTCAGACATATGCATACTGGGTTATTTGCAGCCACACCACCATCTATTAAGTTATATTCTCTCACATCTCCTTTGTCGTCTTCGGTTTTGAAGTAATGCGCTGGGAGATAGGTTGGTGCAGCTGAGGTTCCAATGCATATGTCTGAGAGTAAGGCATCCAAAGTAGGATTTGTCTTCAGCTGGTTGAAACACAACATTTACAAGAAGTAATTCATATTAATTAAAAATTTGACATGATAAGGCAAGTTAAGGTTCATGATGGGTGAGTTTTGAAGAAAATATATAAGAACCTGACAGCTCGAAAAGATGGTTGGCTGAAGATGCTTGATGTCAAATGCTGGGATAACAACATTAGTTAATGTCTGGTGCAATCTTCTGTCTCCTAGTTTTTCTTTGAGAAGGCTATGCAGAAACTTCCCATCATATCTTGGTCCCGTTAGAGCTTTGATAACTTTTGTTATTGGAGCAAACAACGGACATCTGCTAGTAAAAGAAAATATCAGAAATAACCATAAAATCATTTAAATCATGCATTGGATATAGAACTAAAGGAATACCCTAGTTGAGGGAAGATTTTAGGGCTGTTATTTAGGTAAAAATCTTTTATATCTTTGGCAGCAAATAGAGGTCGATTATTTTCATTTGGACTAGTTAGCATGGCTGTCACCAAGCCGCCGGTGCTAGTCCCTGCAATCACATCAAAATAGTCAGCTAGTCTTGCATCCTCACCATCCAGCTCCTGTGCAATATATAGCCAAAAATCTAGATTTAGCTCATGAAGGATCATAATTCATAAGCAAAAGAACAACGTAATTTTAGTTCTATGTATTTAAATTTGCTTTGTACATATACATACATACATATCACAGTCTTTTATGTATGTGGTAACCGGTAATAAGTTAAATGCTATATATAAGATTCATGAAAATGAACAAATGAAAAGCCATTTTTTTTAGTTTATAGACCCAATGTACGAACCTGAAGTTGGGATTCTAGGAAACCAAGGATTACTCCGGGGATGACCCCTCTTATTCCACCCCCGTCAATGCTGAGGACGGTGATCAAGTCTCCATAAGTTGGAGGTTGTAAAGGTTCCTTTGCACCTTCCATATATGGTATGGATAAAGTACTTTAAGCTAAATGCTATGTGTATATATGTACTACTATGTATAGAGGGAAAGAGTAATTTTAAAGTTTAAGAGTCTTGAAGGGAAGCTTGAACTTTTAAAGAGGTTAATTTGGAGGGCTAGTTCTATGATTTTTGTCTCTTGATCGATCAAACATGCTGGGGAATTTATACACACATATTCATCTCCTCCAGTATAGTAATTCTGACAATGTATGATATTTGACCAAACTTTGTACTTTCCTGCAAAATGGATCAGTGTCTTTTTCTCCTTTTATCCAAGCAAAGGGACCATTTAAAAAATTAACAGGGCATAACGCGTGCAGGTCTTTCAACCTTCAAAGGTCATTTCGGAGAATTGTAGGTTAGACTGGCTCTCAGAATTGTAGGTATGAAAAAAGAGTTAGGTGATTCATTGAAGATTTATAACCTAACTCATGGAATATCAACACTTAGCTCCAAGTTAATTCCTATCTAATGATTAAATTTGTTTTCATTTTATTTTTTAATAGGCTCAAATCGTTACCTTTATTGTTTGTCTAACTAGCTACCTTCCATATTAGACACGTTGAATCAAAGAAGTAAAATCAACTTAATTTTAATTATTTTAATTCGTAAAAAACTACATCAAATTAGGAAAATATAAATGTAATTTGACAGGCAAATTGCGTTATAGATAAAATTTATGAAAGATTCAATGTGCCAACTATAAATGTGTAGGAGATACTTGAAATTCATGAAAGATATGTAGCATTCATCTATTATGCCACATGATATAACTTCAAACGAATTAAACATGAAAATTTTGTATACCTCTACAAAGAGAGAACGTGCAATGCAAGAAATTCACCTAATCATGTTTTTCTTGCGAAGCTAATAATTCATTCTTTTTGTCCCCTCATCTTTAATAAGTTGAATTAAACTCGTAATTCTTCACCTAAACCGCTGACTTCGGGGTTAGGAGAGACTTATAGCAAATTTTTTATCACCGTCACTCAGGGAAAATGGTTGAGCAAATTTGCCTCTATTCTCTGTTTTCCCAGCAGTGCCTCGGGGCTAGACGTGTTTTAACCAGTATAGATCATGCATGCATGTTATTCTAGCTAATTAGAACATAAATAAGTAAAACTAGCTTCAAAGGTGAAAGAAAACCACGCGTGCATGTTTATCAGCTTTTGTAATGTCCAATTGGCTAACAAGTAGAAATTAAGTTTTGAAAATACATTCTTAATTATTACAAGTTGTTCTAGATTATAATTTACAGATAGAAATAAAATGTTTATATATATATATATATATATATTATAAAGAGGGAGATTACTGATGCTCCTGTGAAGCAGGCAAGGTCTGAAGGAAGAATAAATAATCATGCATGGCTATGTAATTTCCTAGCTGAAGTTTCAGTTTTTACAGTTTAAAGGGCCTGCTGCTTAAATTGTGTCGATCGCTTTTGTTTATAAGGCGCCTTTTGTATTTATCATTTTCTCAGTAAAAAATTCCTTACCTTCCAAGGGCGTTTAGATGAATTATTGCGCCATTGATATTTGATGAAAGCTGCAATCCTTTTACCAGGCGATCCCTACCACAGTCCCCCAAGACCTCAACAGCTATGATAAATTTCTTTTTAATTAATTATTACATTTGAAAATATATGTCCAATTTTTGTGCAATTATGAAAATGATATCCATGGTTTCTGTCTGAAAGTTTCAAACAAAAGGCAATCGAATTGGTCCAAACGCCAAACATAGGCTAAGAAAAAATTATCTTTAATTGACACGAAAATAATTAACCATGACTCGGCAGTCATTTGTTTAGCATCTGATTCGAGGATGATAAGTGGCGTATGAAGACAACAATGATATTTAAACAAACTTTCAGAAGCTGATATGTTAGGATTGTCGACATACTGTTGAACTCTTAATTTGAGTGACAAAATTGGTAGGCTCAAATATATAAAATAAATAGATAAATCACAACCTTTTGATTCCCTCTTTATAATTTACTCGAAATGGTCCAAGCCTCCGCAGGAACTTTTATAATATTTTACCCGTTTTATTAATTTACAAGTACGATAATTTACTCGAACTGGTCAAAGCCTCGATGTGGTGGATTAATTGAGGGCCTGTTTGCCACCGCTTTCAGGGAAAAATAGAAGACCATTCATGCAATAGATTCCTCCTCCGTTTGGCTTCTTGAAGTTTAATGATATGGTTCTGCAAAAGGAAAACCAGAACCTACCGGATGTGGTGGAGTGCTGAGGACTGAGGTTGATATTATTATTGCCATGTTTCCAGGACCCGTAGGTGTTCAAGACTCTAATGTTGTCGAATTTTTGGCCATTAAAATGGCGCTAGAGGGTTTTATGAAAACAGATCGGAAGAATAAAGTAGGTTTAATTGTTGAATTTGATTCAAAGAATGCTATTTGTTGGTGTGAAAAAGTGGAAACTCGACCATGGAGACTTCGGGACATGTTTTCAACGATTGATTCCTTGGTGGGAGAGACGAATGATGTAGGATTGATCAATGTATTTCGTGAAGTTGACAGGACGAAAAGACAATATTGAGTATTCCAGAAAAAGTAAATTCCTGACATTGGGTATTCCGGCGATGATTGAAATTTCGGGTGGTGTTCCGGTGACTTCCCGGCGATGTTTAAAAGAGATGCATTCAAAGATGGTTATGGGCTCAATATATGTTAGTTCCCAACTATTGAAATAGGTAGCAAAATCAGTTCACATAAAACCCACAATTGGGCTCAAACTGTTCAAAAATGATAAAAAGAGGACTAAAAGGCTAAAAGCCACCCAACTGCAAGAACAAGACGTAAGGGGTTCAAGCAGAGGAATTAAATAAATTCCTGAGAAATTAATGGTGGGAAATGTACATATAAATACCAAAAATTTTTATTAATTTTTAATATCCAATCTAGAATTTTTTAAACAACTAGCCAAAATCTGATGGCCAAAAAATAAAAAACTAGCAAAAATTACTGGTTTTTTATACCATTGTCCAGCCCAGCCTTTTCCTTGGGGTACTGACTTGGCGAAGTTGCCTCTCTTTGGACAATAGTTTTGCAAACCTACAAAATCAAAAGATTTCCAAATTAAAAAAAAAATTGAAAATTTATGCAAATTTTGCCACATTAATTAGAAATTGTAAAATTTTTTGGACTTTTATTTTTTTTTAATTACCTTCTAAGAGCTTCTTCATTGGTCTCTTCCTTACAACGCTCAAAGACACCAGTTCTCAACTTAACTCTAGAAACTGGCTTTTTTAACAGTCCTTCACCAACTCTCACAAGATCATCCAAATTCTTCTTTGTTGCTAAATCAACCGAAGATAATTCCCCAACCAAAGTATCATCCTTTATATATACAACATTATTCAAAGATGTCAAAAATATTAATGGCAAAAAAAAAAAAAAAACACATTATAGTATATACCTGAATACGGAGGTATTTATCAGGATCAGAGTGAAGTGCTTGGAATAGCACAGCAAGGTGGGAATCCACCATGTCCTCACTTGCATGAGTATAAACATCTAACAATGGTGTGGAACCATCGTTGATTAACCAGCCCAACAAACCCCATCTCGCCACTTCATCTGCACTATATTTCTGATCTTCAATCTTTCTTGAGCCAGTTCCTAACGATATTACAAGAAATCGTCCACAGTCTGTTGGTAATTTGATTGGATAGAAATCAGAATTTTCTCTGATCATCTCCTTGATTACTTCTCTCATAGCAACTGAAGTCTGAAAGGACACAAAAAAAAAAAAAAACTTGTAAAAGAAATTAATATTGTGAATATTGCTTTGAATTGCACACAAAATTTAAGAAATAATTTATATAAATAGAAATCAGAATTTTCTCTGATCATCTCCTTGATTACTTCTCTCATAGCAACTGAAGTCTGAAAGGACACAAAAAAAAAAAAAATTGTAAAAGAAATTAATATTGTGAATATTGCTTTGAATTGCACACAAAATTTAAGAAATAATTTATATAAATACCGGATTATTAGCTGCAACACCTCCATCTATGAGGTTGAACTCCGTAACTTTCCCTGTGTCATCTGTTGTTTTGAAGTAATGGGCGGGTAGATAAGTCGGTGCTGCTGAGGTTGCAATGCATATGTCTGAAAGTAAGGCATTTAGATAATGCTTTTCCTTCACCTGGTTCAACATTGCGTATATAATTCACATTCAATATTTTTTAAAGACGATAAAGGATGTCTGATTAATGTGGGTTTTTGGAGAGAAAAATTAGAACCTGATAGCTGGAGAAGAGCGTTGGCTGGAGCTTCTTGATGTCAAATGTTGGGATGACAACATTAGTCAATGTCTGGTGCAATCTTGTGTTTCTTAGTTTCTCTCTGAGAAGGCTATGCAGATAGTTCCCTTCATATTTTGGTCCCAAAAGAGCTTTGATCACCTTTATTACTCTACCAAATAATGAACATCTGTTACTTAAAAAATTATGTCAACAACCACCACTAAAACAATGTAGTTATACCATTCAAGTCTGTTTATTATCAGTTGACTGCAAACAGAAATTATATTTTTACCTTGATTGAGGGAAGATTTTAGGACAGTTATTTAGGTAAAAGTCCTTTATATCTTTGGCAGTAAAAAGTGGTCGATTCTTGTCATTCGGACTAGTAAGCATGACCGTAACCAAACCTCCTGTACCAGTCCCTGCAATTACATCAAAATAGTCTGCAAGTCTAGCGCCCTCACCACCCAGCTTCTATAAAATAGAGCCAAAACATGAAGCATTTATCAAAAAGTTTGAGAAGCCAAATATTTGTGGAACTTAAATTTGATATACCTGAAGTTCGGATTCAAGAAAACTGAGGATTGTTCCTCTTATTCCACCACCATCAATGCTGAGGATGGTGATTAAGTCTCCATAAGTTGGAGATCGTAAAGGTGCATAATTTGCTCCTTCCATATTTGGAAATTAAGCTTAAGGCTGTTGTATGTGTTGATGTGAAACAAGGAGGAGAAGAAGATTTGATAATTGTAACTGGAGATATATATGGGCAAAAGAAACTAGGGGAGAGAATATTTAGGAGAATAAAAATCTCATTGATTACTTGAATATCAAGAAATCTCAAAATCTTATCCACTAAAGCCTCGTATAAAAGGAAAGATTATAACTAATTATTACAAACTCAATATTAAACCCAAAATACACCATGATTTTGTTTGCCTGTATTCAGTACTGAATTAGATATATATCATGATTGACCCAAAAAAAAAATTACATAGTTTTTTCTTAATCTTTTGATTTACAATTAGGATTTGAATTCGAAATTCTTAATTTTAAAGTCGATTCTAATATCATTGAACTGATAAGTCATTAGTTTTATGATCTTTCATATATTTACAAGATTGATGATGTCAAATTAATAATGCAATTTAACTTAAGCTCAGGGGAAAAAACTGATGATAGTCAATTTGTGAAGCAATGAAATTTCTATACACGTGCCTGCGATAATTGTTCATGAGATTTAAAATTTTATAACGAATATCTTGTACACCAGATAAAATTTCTTATACATAAGTCAAAATAGATGTACACAAAATTTAACCACTCATGTTTCTTATGAATTAAATTGATTAACTATTGGTGGTTTTTTTTCTTCTTCAGCTACTAACTAAGTTGAATTATAAATGCTTAGATAAAGACAGATAAAATCTTTGATTCCAATCCTCCTACCAAACTCGTGGAAAAAGAGTGAAGTAATCTTTGATTGATCTCTCCCTTGATGGAGTTTTGTCAAATGAAAATGCATTGTTTTAGGTGAGTGGTGCATGTGTTGCTGTTATTCTTTGGATGTCCCACTAAGGTATTCGAATGTCATATCAAAAATGTATTTTGAAAAAAAATACAGAAGGCATTTGGATGATAAATGACAAAGTTTGTTTGGCACATAAGTCTAATCTGATTTCTAAATTCTAAGGATGATAAATGACAAACTATAAACTATATAACTTTATTTATCTCAGCAAATCATTTTGATATTGCTAATTTAATCAATGTATTACATTAATTTTATTAATTTCATACAACCCTTCAACAGAGTACTGATAATTATCTCATTTAAAGCTTCCATGAATTCAAGTTCATTTTGATTGTGCCCCAGGCTTCTGCAACGATGACCTTTCACGACGGTGTTTCTCCTGAGAGAGCAGCTTTGCATACCTGCCACATTTGTTAATATGAATCAAACGTGTTAAATGGAGGCTAGAAAGTAGAAAGAGCAATCATATATACTATGCTGGAATATATATATATATATATATATATATATATATACACACACGTGCGTGTGTGTGTGTGTGTGTTGGAGCATTAATTTTGTACCTTATGAGAGCCTGTGCATTGGTTTCTCCTTCTCCTGAAGGCTCATAATTACCCGTCTCGAAATTCAACCTTGAAACAGGTTTATTCAACAAGTTTTCAGCAATTTTGGCAAGATTATTCAGATTTTCCGCCGTAGAAACATCAACAGAGGAAACCTCCCCTTTTAACTTATCATCCTGCAATATAGTGATGGACGAACTAATTTGGAGCAAAAATTTTACAGCCTCTAATTTCTTCTTGAAGTTCATTTAAAAAAAAAAAGAAAAAGAAAAACCATAAGCTTGGATGCTAACTAACCTGGATGCGAAGATAATTCTTTTCCGAACTTAGAGCTTTGAAAATCACAGAAAGATGGAAATCAACCATGTCAGCACTGCCTTCTGTAAAGGCTTTAACTAATGGGGTGGAATGGCCGGAGATTAACCACCCAATTACACCCCATTGAGCCGCTTGCTTTGCACTGTACTCCTCTGCAAGTTTTTCTGAGCCTGTTCCTATGGATAGCACTAAGAATCTATTGAAATGGTTTGCTGCCTTTATGGAACAGAAATCAGAATGCCCTCGGTTGATCTGTTTTGTAACTTCACCAATGGCAACTAAAGCCTATGAAATTCAGTAAGAATTGAACAAATAGATTGTTATTATGCTTTAATATAATGAAGTCTAATTAAGAGTTTTTATCAAAGTATTAAAATTAAGTTTTGTCTTACCGGATTATTAGCAGCCATCCCACCATCGATAAGATTGAACTTCTTCACCTTTCCTTCAGAGTCTTTGGTCTCAAAATAATGGGCCGGAAAATAAGTTGGAGCGGCTGAAGTTCCAATGCATATATCTGAGAGTAAGGCATTCAGGCTTGGACTTTTCTTGGCCTGAAGAAATCAGAATTAGTGAATTCTTCTCTCCTATATAAGACATGAGACATAGAAAATAGTTTATGAGACTTCAAGATCAACCTCATAGCTGGAAAAGATGATTGGTTGCAGCTTCTTGATGTCGAAAGCTGGAATTACAACGTTAGTCAATGTCTGGTGCAGCTTTGTGTTTCCAAGCCTTTCCTTAAGAATTCCATGCAGATACTTTCCATCATATTTTGGTCCCAACACTCTTTTGATTATATTTACAACACCGGAAAATGGAAAGCTGCAGTTGAAAGAGGAATCCGTTAATTGGCTGCCTGGCTTTGGCATTTCTGTTGTATAGATATTTACTTTCATCCAATATTATTCAGTACCTATTTTGAGGAAATATTCTAGGGCCATGCGCAAAGTAGAAGGCCTTAATATCTTTGGCAGCATATAAGGGTCGGTTTTTCTCGTTTGGTGCTGTTAACATGGTGGTAACAAGACCGCCAGTGCTTGTCCCTCCAATCACATCAAAATAATCTGCAATTCTTGCTTGTTCACCGTCCAGTTTCTGCAACAAGAGAATACGTGATCAGACAATCATCATGAAACTAACACCTGTTTGATGATAAAAATCAGCTTATAGGAGGTTTTATTCTAATATATAAAGACCCATAATCATAATTTTGGTAGAGCGTATAATTACTTGTAACTCAGATTCTAAAAAGCTGAGAATAACTCCTGGAATAATTCCTCTAATTCCACCTCCATCAATGCTGAGAATAGTAATAAGGTCTCCATGAGTTGGAGGGTGCAGAAGCTTTCCTGTTGTCTCCATTAGGGGAATGGGTAATGCTTTTAAGGTTTAAGCTGTAAACTATGAGAAATTAAGCAGAAAAGATGTTGAATATTGATGCACTAAAGTCCTGGAAACCTGTAGTATTTATAGACCTTATAAGCTTTAAGCTTGGTGATCACTTCTCAGCATTTTCCTAGATGCACAATATTTGTCATTGACTAAACTAGACATTTTAATTAATATTTATCATTGAATCAAATAATTGCATGCAATCACCTATAAAAAATAACATAAGATAAATTTGGAATTCGTTTACAATTTTTTTTTATATTTTTACACCACGTCTTCTTTTATATAAAAAAAATATAAATTTAGTCGTCTTAAATGCATGCATCCACGTGTATATAAAAAATTTTAATAAATAAATAAATTTAGTCGTCTTAAATGCATGCATCCACGTGTATATAAAAAAATTTAATAAATAAATAAATTTAGTAGTCTTAAATGCCTGCATCCACGTGCTGATTACGCGCTTATCCAAAAGTGATGTAGTACTGCAAATTATGCACGTTGGCAGCATGCCAACAACTGTTAATTATTAAAATTTAATTAAGGATAAGTGCTACATGGGAGATGCGAAGAACATAACGATGCGCATTAAACTAAACTTTCATTTTCAACTTAAGCTCCATCTATAATCTACTGTCGAACTCATCTAAACTTCATTAATTAATTATTTTATTAATTAATTGTATATATATGAAGATGAAAATATGTTCCATGCACGTACAGATCCAAATGGCACATATATATATATATATATGCCTCTTTCGCACGTTTAAAATTCATTTAAATTAAGTTATAAGGGTTTTTTAGGTATGCACAGGATGAGCAGATTACTACTATTTTTATATTGAAAAAATTAATAAACAATCATTTCAGTTACTAAATGAAAAATCATTTTCAACTTGCTTTCATCTTGAAAGACATATTTGCAGTATTGCTTTTTTCCCTACAACAATTATAGAAGTTGAGGAGACCAATGCTATAAGAGGCCGGTGAGATAAGTCCCAAGAGACTTTGGGCAAGTCATGATCTCCCAAGAAGCATGAAAGGCACATGGTAAGTTCTCTTTCTTGACTTGTTTTACACTATGAAGTTACGTGCCGCCCTCATGTATAGAACAGAACGTAAAAAGCGCAATTTTCAAATGGATTGAGTACAATAAAACACGTTGATAAATTTGAAGAAGAGTCATCCCTATATAACATGTTTAAAACATGCTAATCGATCTAACTCGAAAGGGCTGAACATTGACCCCAAACCTTATTAAAATGTAATTGGAGTTTTTGTTTTTTTCGAAGGAAAGTCTCAGCTTAAAAGATTTGAAAAGAAAAATTATAAACATGAGATCGAACTTAATCTTTCTAAAATTCACTTTAAAAAGTAGATAAATCATTTGAATTAAACCAATGTTTGTAATTGATTTTTTTTTTTTTTTCATTTCATGGTGAGACACACTTGTTTATATTTTTGAGGATGAATCAAATTATAGTTAAACAAGTAAATAGTGATTGACTTTTTATTTTTGAGGCTGTTTCCTTTTCCTTTAACATCTATGAACTCAATGACCCATTCATTTATGTACGAGTACATGAGTTTTGTGTGTTTCAGGATTAAGGTTCTTTGAATAATTTCTCAAAATGAATTAGCCCATACATATCATCAATTTCACTTGGTTTTGATCATGATTAGTGAAAAAAAGATAGGAGAAACTCTTACTTTCAAACTTCTGAGCATGTACATCAGCCATAGAATTAGGAAACAAGAAATTAACTTTCCAGCATCACAAAAAAGAAGACGTCAGGCACTTAATTTCTTGATATGAAAATATATTTGGATTAGAAGGCGATTGAGAGATGGTTTAATTTGTATTATTGCTGGGAATCTGTTGTATTATAGCAATTAAGACTATTTATTTTTTTACAAATAAGACAAAAGCTTTAAAACAAGAGAAAAAGTTGTATTATAGCATTTGAGAAGGGTTTATACAAATCTTTTTAAAGCCTAAAGTTACCTACAACTTTTTCCCCTTTCTCGCTAGGATTGGAGCTCTATCTATGAAGTGTGTGGAAAGGCAATATGAACTCGTTTGAAACTTAGACGTTAGACGTTTTGTTGGTCACCATTTACAAGTTGAAGGCAATGACGCAATTGGTTAGGAAATTAGCCCAACAATTAGGCACGATTCGATACTGATGTGTATAACAGAAACTAAAACTAACTATGAGCATTACAATTCGTGCAAGCTTTGAGGATTGGGGATTGTTGCAATGGGAAGAAAATTGTCAAACTTTGAAGTGATTAGCGTCCTCGGATTTGTTTAAATTCACTTCCAAACAAATTAAAAGCTTCACCTTTGCATGCACTAAAATAATGCTCTAATCTGTTTTTAATCTTAGTTATTTTAAGAAGTTAAGTGAAAAGTTCTAAAATTTTTATAGGCTTGTTTTAATTTATTTTTAAAATTTTTAATCTACTTTTAAACCTCTCACCCTATTACTTACTTAGTTAAAGAGGACATTACACACATAGACTTGTTCGAACTTACAATCTTGAAGCACCAACTCCAATAATATACCAACTGAATGACTAATCCAAGAGTCAGTTGGCTATTTTTTTAAAAAAATTTAAGCTAGGTTATGAAACGAGTGCATTAAATGAGTATATATTACCCTTTGCTTTTTGAAATCTAAGACTAAATTATTCTTAACAAAAAAATCAATTTTATCTACGAATTATCGACAAATTTTTTCCGTCAATAAATCCCACGCCAATTTCTTTTTTTCCGCGCCAATATCACCTATGGAATACTAATGAATTATTTTTCATTGATAAATTTTATCAATAAAAAAATTTTTTTTTTTTAAGTTTTATGTCAGTAGATATGTCATAACATATAAGTCCATAAACTTATAACTAGACTTGACTTTAAAAGTCATCACTAATCTTTTTTATTTTTTAAGTATGATTGATCACCTAACTGAATCTGTCATATTTTAAAGAGATGTCCTGAGTTTGACTTAGATATCTTTTAAAAGGTAAATTCTAGGCCACGAAATCAAAATTGGGTTTAAGAATATATTTACATGTGTGAAAGGTTATAACATCCTCACAACACCCATTCAAATGATGGTATCAGTTTGATTTCATGTTATCTAAGCCTTAAAATATGTTTATAATTTTTTCAAGTAAATTTAATATTGGAAATTGGTTTTAAAGTTACTTAAATCGTTTGATAGTAATTTAAGATAATTTCTTCACCTTAAGAATATTCATGAAACTTGTGTCTCATTTTGAAGAGTTTCCGTCGTCAGATTTATTAACATTTTTTTATTTGGAAACAATTCATAAAATCTTTCAATCGTTTAGTAGAATTTTTATTTAAAAACCTTTTCATGAAATTTTAACAAATCATTGAATCTTCCAATAGTTTAGTAAGATTTAACTTAAATACTTAAATCATCCAATCATTTTATATGAATAAAATTCTATTTTTTAAGAAAATTCATTAAGTCATTCAATCATTTAGTAATATTTAATTCGAGATTTAAATCTTTCAATCATTTGATAGGATTGAAAACAATTTATTTTTAAAAAATTTATTATGAAATTCTTCAATCATTTAGTAGAATTTAATTTAAAAATTTTAAACCCATGAAAATCCTTTAATAATTTGGTAAGAATCATGAACTTGTTATAAAAATTTATTTTAAATATGCATAAAAAAAGAAAGATAAACAACTAAGTAACATAAATAAATGTACAAATAAAGAAAAAAAATCAAATAAATTGGGCTACAATTGATTTCAAGGCATGTGGGTCTTTGTAATTGCATTTGCTCACTTCAATTTGCTAGTTGTTGGAACTAATTATGATTTGGACTTATTATTGGATTTGATCATCGAATTAGGTCAGTCTTCTTTTACTTTTCCTATTTCTTCACTCTCTTGTTTTCTTTCTTGTTTTTCTACAAACAACCTATGGCTTTATTGGCGCCCCTCGCCTAAGGTGATTGCTTTTCTTTTTGGTTTAAACAAAAATTAAACAAAAACCTAAAACTTATACACCTGAAACCCTCGAAAATTTTACTATGAAAATTTTTTGTTGAATTCCTCCTTTTTATGTTTCTTCTCAACTTCTTTTCCCAATACAGAACTCTTAAGAAAAAAACCTAATTATCTAAACCCAAAACATTATAAAAGACTATAAAAAAAACTTAATTTGTTTTTACACTTTTTCTCTTGATTTTTTTATTGATTCTTAATTGTTTCTAATTGATCCTAATGGGGTCTTTTAATAGGTCTCTAATCTCAATTCCAACAGGAAAATAAGTTTTCTTGGTTTGAATTTTCTAATCAACTTTAACTTTGGATTTTTAATCCAAATCCACTTCTCAAACCAATTCCCTTTTACAATCTTTTTTTAATTAAAACACTTTCAATTCAATAACCTAATTAGAATTAAACCCTCTTCAAGTTTCAGCAAACCAATTCTTTCTCTTTTTTTTAAATAATAATAACTTTAAACTAAATATAATGCCAAAAATAAATAAATAAAATTCAAAACTCAATCTTAAAATATAAATTGACCTTGAACTAAATGAGGTGTCTACAAATGGTAAAAATCCATCGATATTAATGAAATTTTTGATAACGTTTTGTAATTTTATATACTATCTAACTATCTTGTATTTTTGTCTACAACTTTATACCTCTATGACATCTATCAAATAAAGACACAAAGGGTATTTTTCATTTATGTTAGGGTTACTTGAGTAATTTAGTGTTATTTAAAAGAAGAAGCTTCCGTATATATCAAGAAAAGAAAGGGAAAAACATAGAGGTGAGAAGAAAAATAAGGGAGAAAGAAAAAGGTTGGGGAATTTACAAAACAAAAAAAATAGGGGCATGAAGCATAAATGTAGCTAGAAAAAGAAAAAAAAATGAAAAGTGGTGGGCAAAGAAAACAAAGGGAAAGAAAAGTTAAAAAAAATGAAAAATGAAAAGGTCTAGCAAAAAAAAAAATCGTTGTTACAAAATTTCATCTCCTACTACAAATCAACACAAGTTTTCAGCCCTTTACCTATTTCTTTTCTTTTCATTTCTTTTTTTTTTTTTTTGCACTCTTTTCGATTTAACTTTTTATTTTCTTTTTAATTTTGGTCATAAAAAAAATGAAGAGTTAGATTTATGAAAATAGCAATTATCAAGTTCATACAACTTTTGGCTCTTTTAATTGCAGGTATTTATTTTTTTAGGGTTTTTACTAAGATGTGAGATTTTAATATTTGCATATAGTGCACAGATATGTGCCACTGCTATTTTAAACCTTAGGTGGTTAATGGTTTTCATAGTTATGCTAAAAAAAATAGTTTTTATTTGCAGGTTTTATAAGAATTTTTTTAAAAAAAGAATAAAAAGAACACCATAAAGGTGTTTTTTTTTTTTTTTTGCTAATTCTCTTTTTAGATTGCTAAAATCTTTCAAAAAGAACATTTGGATTTTATGATTATTTTATGATTATATAAATTAAGAAACTTAAGAAAAAGATAGATATAATGTCTATGATTAAGTTATGTGTTATTAAATTCTAATTTTAGGTTGCAGTTGTAGATTGGTAACAAGATCTCAACAAATTATAGTAATTTTAATGTCATTCTCTTTTGGATACAAAATTTTAAAGTCATTTATTAGCAATCAATTTGTATTAACAAAGTTAAACTATATAATCATCACGTTGTCATATTCATCACATAACAACAACTGCCTTTTCGGCCATTAAGATTTATATCTATGTTTTCCTCTTTTTAATTTATGCATTATTCTTTATCGACACATTATTTATAAAGCCACTCTAAACCAATAAAAGTTAAATACAAAAGCAAATAGCTCATAAATAGCAAAGATATTTTAGAAATTAAACAAAAAAAAAAGTGTAACAAAGCCTTGATATTGCAGTTGAAATAATAGATTTAGTTAAAACTAATATAAAGAAGTATTACGATGTCTATTTTATTATGGAACAAACATAAAATATAAGAAAAATTTAGTCTATATCTCAGATATTGGCCATATACACTTTTACGAGTTGTTTCAGGATACAAGTCATAACAAAGATAAAGAATTTGACTAAAAAGAAAAGAAAATTCAAAACAAAACTAAAAGTACAAAGTTTTAGTATGGAGCATGTTGCTAGAGTTTATATGATCTAATGGTTATAATATGAGAGGCTTCCTGTGATGCAATAACAATACTATGATGACCATATAACATCTTTTATTAATAAGAGGTATATTTTTAACATGCATATTTAGTTTGTGTTTAATCATAGTTCACGTTTTCTTATTTGTTTTATTACCAGATACATTTTGAATGTAATGAATCTTAAATTTGTGCTTACCAAAATGATGAAGCATGCAACATATTTACAGGTTTAATTATTGCTATTGTATGTTTAGGTTTTTGAAAATTTGCATCCTTAGGTAATTCCTTTTTTCACAATTAGTTGTAATTATTTAGAGTTTTATGTTAATCAAGCTATGTAGTTAGTTGTAATTATTTAGAGTTTTATGTTAATCGTACTATATTTGAAGGATTAGTAAAATTTGACAATCTAACAAGCAAGGGTTGGGTGAAAATAATGTTAAATGATTCTTTATTTTGGGGTTATTATCAATTAATTTAATGGATGTTTGGGTTTATGGAAAGATATATGCTTTGTGAACTATCAATTATATGAAACTAAAAAGTGAGCCTTTGTTCATTCAGTATTATCTCTTAATATGTTGGCACACCCCATTATATGTGTCCCATGTTCTTGTTAAATATACCTTATAGCTATAAATTCGATATATAGTCACTGGTAAAAAGTTCAAAACATGATTTTGAGATTCAAAATATGTTATACTTTTAACTATGAGTGACATAAACTTATATTCAAAGTCTCCGAATATTTGAGATTATTGCACATCAACCAACATTTAGAGCATCCATGATTTTTTCAACATAAGCAATATGGCATTGCCTTAGTATTTTTTTAACTACCATCAAGTTGCTTGTTCTATAGTAAACTAAAGTAATTGACAACTCAACAGGATATGGCTAGACTCGTTAACAAAATAAACTGATGCTCCATTTCTCCTCTATCAATTTTGTATTCTTTCACATTATAAGCATCTTTTTCCAACTAATTATATGTATTAGATGTTTCTTAATGATCTGTCTAAATTATATAATCATTGGATATGTTTACTTAACGTCACTAATCAATGTTGTTTATAGCATGTTCTATTCATATTTTCAAGTCTTATTTATTGATATTAATTTTTTATTTTGTCTAAATAACAATGTTTATCTCCAAAGAATAAATCAATGTGATGCATTGCACTTTTTGGATTTTTAGACCTCATTGGAATTATTAATAGAGACCGTGGTCAACCTTTATATCTTGACAAATTCCATGTATAAGATAAAAATCTCCTTTTGTGGCATAGTTTTATTATTTGGATTGAAACGTGAATTTGGTACTGTTAATTTTTTTTTATCTTTTGAAATGGTGATTAATTGACTAATTATGGGTAAAAAAATATATTTTTCATTTTTTTTGTTTAGATTGAGGCATGACTTTTTTTTTTTAATTTATGGAAAGTAAGCTGATGGCATTAGTAACAAGTTGTTTAGACAAAAGCAAAAATTGAATATTTCTTTTTATATATATATATATATATATGAACATTAAATTTGGTTTGAAATAAAAAAAAAAACTTATTGATTATATTTTTTGTTTTTAAGGTGTAAACATGATAAAGTCTTTTAGTGAATTTGAAAAGTAATTTTAAAAGTTTAGTCCCATGAGTAAGCATCTATAGCTGGCAAAGATTTTAATTAATAATTCACAATTGTCTCTTTATGAACTAAATAATTGTCTTCGTTTTTTTAGAATAATTATTCCTTCAAATTTTTAAATTGTTGTGATAAATTTTAAGAAGCTGATGAGGAGATATTGCAAAAAATATAAGTTTTTCGAATACTTTTCTAGCATTAATCATATATAATTTTTTTCTAATATTTGATTTGTTCTTTTATCATTAACTGCAATATTAGTGTTAGTCAATCCCTTTTTGTATACTTAGGAAAAGCTTTGCCATAATTTAATTTACTTTTTATTTTTATTTTTAATCTTTTAGAATTTTGTCTAATTGTTTGTAATAAATATTTTCATTACATGTTAAAGAGATGTGTTATAGTTAGGAAATCGATTAATAACTTAAAAAAATATAAATCATCAAAGTTAAAAAAATAAAAAGAAACTCATTTGAGTAGAACAATATTAAAAGATTTTAAAAAATCTTTAACCAAAAGTTAATTGATAGAATTTTCTATTTAAAATAAATAGCAACTTTGATATTGTAAATTTAAGTAGTATAGAGTTTTTAAATAAAAATCTTTAAAATTATATCATCTCAAATCTAAATAGATCTAAAATTTATAAGACAATGTCGATAAATAATTTGATATAGAGTTTGTAAAATTCTTAAATGGATAAATATAGAGTTGTGTAGCCTCAAATAAATTTTTAATATTACGGTACGGATATTTGAAAACAAGCAAGAATTCGAACCACTGCCATGCCTATAATTTGGTAATTATAATAATCTAATTGTACATAAGTTTAGTCTTTTTGCAATCAAATCTATTTTTTAAAAGCCCAAAGGCTTTGATTAAGTTTAAAAAAGATTTTAAGCCCATTTTTATTGGGCCAATCAAACCCATTTGTAAACATTAAAAGTCATAGGCCCTTTATTGCAAGGGGCAAAGGTTCGCATATGCGGCGAGAAAATTCCATTTTATAGACCGTCCGTATATTTTTAAAAACTTCGTCTTTTTCTTCAGTCGTGAATTTGTCTCCCGCCCTCCCTTTCAACGTAATTTCCTGATCCTTCTCTTTTTTTATTTTTCATCAAAGTAATAATTTTTCTAATAAAATTATGCTTCGTCATCGCTTAAGGACTCGTCGGCCCTGCTATCTTCTTTATCCGCGACGGTTTTCCTCCTCCTCTAAAAACCCCATCGAATGCCCTAACAATCTCAATAATTCCTTTCCCGTCCCTTCCCGATCGCCGCAACCGCAAATTTTTCAAAATCATCTTTCAACTCTCCCTTCCAAAACCACCTCTTTTTCTCGAAATTCCGTTTTGGCCCTCTCCGCCACCCTCCTCTCCGCTCTTGTCGCTTCCGTCGCTGTCTTTTCCGCCAATAAAGGCAACGAAGCCTACGACGCTAACCCTAACCCTAGAAAAAGCCCTCTTTACGAATCAATTGAGCACACGATCCATAAATCAAATGAGTCCTTCAAGAGGATCGTCCATCACGCGAAACAAACCAGCGTCGCTGCCTCTGTTTTGTGGCAATCGCTCAGGTCGGTGATGTCGTCCGCAAACGACGAAGTTCGGGCAGGGTTCGAGCTTCGCGTAGCGTCATTTCTTGCCGACATTGCCGCCGCCAATGCTAGTCGAAGGAAGGCTATCGTGAGCGCCGGCGGCGGCGCGGTGGTTGACTGGCTGCTGGAGACGGTAGCAGTGGGAAAACCGGATGTTATCAGCACTCAGGCCGAGGCGGCGAGGGCGTTGGCTTACCTAATTGCGGATCCCGACGTGCGCAAAGACGTACTTGGAAGAGCAGGTGCCATCCCCTATTTGTTGAGGTTCATTTTTTCATCTCAACCTCAAAATAAATCTAAAAGAGTAAGTTTTTATTTCTTTTGATTGTCCACTGATTATGAAAATATTTTTGCACCCGAACTTTGTTGGTGCTTCTAAGTTTTTTGTTTTACCATTGATAAATAGCTTTTGTGTGGGAGCAGCATCCGGGACGTAGTTCATTCGATATTTCTGATTCTTTGAAAGGTAGAAGTATGCTTGTGGCTGCTATAATGGATATTGTTACATCCAATTGTGACAGTGTAGAAAGGGCATCTTTTAAGCCTTGGTTACCAGGGAATGCGGAAATGAGAGATATTGCAGCAGCCATTCAAGTTATTGAGGAAGGTGGCATGCATTTAGACGAGGGAGAGAGAAATGATGACAATGATGGGGGAAGAGGGATGAAGGGGATTGGGATTAAAATTCTTGAAGGAACGACTGTTATAGGGCTGTCGAGAACAAGTGAGTATATGAAGTTAGATCATTCAAATGTTACCCGTGTGGCATTAGATAGGGATACTTCGAAAACACTTACTTTGTTGAATAAGCATGACAGTTCGGTGGGACAAGCCAATTTGTCTGCTGCTGTTGTTCCTGGTCTTTGGGATGATTTGCATTCCCAGCATGTTGCTGTGCCTTTTGCTGCATGGGCATTAGCCAACTGGGCAATGGCATCGGAGATCAATAGGTCCCATATTGAAGAACTGGATCGAGATGGAGAGGCTGTCATGACTGCTTTGCTAGCAGCTGAGAGATCTGTGAAATGGCATGGTAGCTTGGTGGCTTGGTTGTTATTGGAAGATCATAATCTTCCCTTAAAAGACTCTGTCTCTGATTGGGCCTCCAGTCTTCTTTCTACTGCTTCACATGCAAGCGAAAATGAAGACATTTCCTTAACTCAAATAGCTTTATCTGCTTTAATAGTTGCTGTTGAGAGGAGCCAGGAAGCAAGGAGGACTGTGATGGAGAAGGGTCTTGAGCTGATGAGAGTCACTGCAACGAGGACAGCAAAGCATCAGCAGGTTCAAGAAGCTCTGGCAAAAGCTTTGGAATTGCTCTCAACTGAGGACATGCATTTATCTCTTGAAGAAAGTCAAAAGTGGTCTAGTATATTGCTTTCTTGGGTTTTTGGAAAATCTTCCTCCAATGCAATCCTATCCTCTGCCATAAGAATTCTTTCATGCATTCTTGAAGCCCACGGCCCATCTACTGTTCCAATTTCTCAAGGATGGTTAGCTCTTCTGCTAAATGATATCCTGATTTCCTGCAAGGCATCATCTATTAAAGGAGGCACTCAGCCTAAGAGTAACAAAGTAAAGGTTCGAAGATGTACCTTTTGTTTTTAATTGCTTTAATTGTTTTGACTATATGCAAATTTAATCTCACTATGCACTTGTTCTGGAAGCTAAGAATAGAATGTAACATTTTCAACTTAAACTACTCATAGTTATGATCTAGTTGAATTTTGCAGACTCAGATCGATCAGTCTAACATTCTTTCAGCCGCACAGACTGTTAATCAATTAGCAGTTGCAGTCGTTAATCTGGCTGGCAATCAGTTGGCCGATTCTGTCGATACCTTCCTACTGGCAGATCTTCTTTCTCTTGAACCTTTTGCTGGACCATTTAAAAATCTAAAGAAAGATAATCCTCCAAAGTTTGATGTTGCAGATTCTGCATTGGCAACCCTCAAGGGGATCAAAGCACTGACTGAAATTTGTGTTGAAGATTCTTTATTACAGGATAAAATTACTGATTTGGGGGTCCTATGTTTGCTAAGACGCTCTTTGTTACGTGATGATTATGAGAAACTTGCTGCAATAGAGGCTTATGCTGCATCTAGAGCGCCTGAGGCCAAAGAAAGGGTTTCAAGTAATGCTGGTGAGTCATCACCTTCAAAAACAAACAATCCATCTAGCGTCCGAGTCCCACCTACTGCTCACATTCGGAAGCATGCAGCTAGACTGTTAACCATTCTTTCACTCCTTCCAAAAGTCCAGAAAGTCATTGCAGCTGATGAAACTTGGTGTAAATGGCTTGAGGATTGTGCTAGTGGGAAGATATCAGGCATCAGTGACCTTAAGATACAAAGTTATGCTAGGGCCATTCTGTTAAATGTATTTTGCAATCAGCGAATTGGTATTGACTCAGTAAATAGTGTTCCTGAAACTAGTAGCAGAGAGGGAACAAGCATTTGCCCACGTTATGATGACATGATATTCTTAATTAACCCTGAACTTCCCCATTGGAAGTGTCCTGGAAAAGACCAATCCTCTGTTCAGAAAGACAAGTCTCTTTTGAGTGAGGTTGATTCCATGAACAGTGATAGGACAACTGTAACCCAAGTTTCAGATGTTGCTGACTCATCCAGTTCTTTTAATGTATCTAATAATGATTCCGAATCAGAGATTCCTCAAATGGATATTGTCTTTGTACATGGGCTACGTGGTGGGCCTTATAAAACTTGGCGCATAGCTGAGGACAAATCCTCAACTAAGTCTAGCTTGGTAGAGAAAATTGATGAAGAAGCAGGGAAGCTTGGGACATTTTGGCCAGGTGAATGGCTTTCAGCTGATTTTCCTCAAGCTCGCTTGTTTTCCCTGAAATACAAGGTTTGTGTTAGTTTTATGGTAGTTTGAAGAAGTTTATGAATTACTCCATTTTTTTGGCAATCAGTTTAGTTCTAGTGATTTTGAGGTGTTCACTGGGCTGTTTCTCACACTCCAAGATCATTTTCATATTGTTTAATACAGACAAACTTAACACAGTGGTCCGGAGCTTCCCTGCCTCTTCAGGTTTGCTGCTTTTGGTTTATTTAGTTTGTCAATTTTGTTATGCTTCATTTACTGGAGTTCTGGTCATGAGTCACCTGAGAAATTCATTTATAATACACTTAGATGCATGCTTAGATTAACTCATGAGTTTTTCTCCCCTCTTTAAACCCATGCAACATTGAATACATTTTTTGGAAACTCAGTTTATTAGTTCCATGTTGCCATATTTCTTATGATATGCATGGGTGTAATAGAAATCTTCAAACTTGTGATCATCATTTGTTTTTTCTGCTGACATTATTCATGAACATTTCATTTGACCTCCAGGAAGTTAGCTCCGTGCTACTAAAGAAGCTGGTTGCTGCAGGCATTGGGAATCGGCCTGTTGTTTTTGTGACGCACAGGTTAATCAATTCAACCTCTCTTTCCTTTTCTTTTTGCCTTGGGAGTGCTGGTGGGGCCGGGGGGCAGGTGCAAAGCTATTTTTATTTGATTCTAGTCCGCTGGAGGATGGTTAATGTTAATCTTTGTGTTGGAAAATAAAAGTTTCAAGTTGGTTTCTTTTGGCTAAGAACGCTTTTTTGTGACTAGGGTAGTTTTTAATTGTTTCAATTTCCATAACTTTATAGTTCAATGCATGACTTTCTCTTATATGTAGCATGGGAGGTCTGGTGGTCAAGCAGATGTTACATAAAGCAAAGGCAGAAAATATGGAGAACCTTGTGAACAACACCATTGGAGTTGTAAGTGCTCAAATATTAGATACTTGCAATTTCCATTATTTTATTGCAAACAATCCCATTAAAATAAAAAGTGGAAACTTGAGGCATGATGTTAATGTGTTTGAACATCTTGCCATGGCAAGTTCAGTAATCTTGGTGTTTCGTGTAATTTCAGGTGTTCTATAGCTGCCCACATTTTGGCAGCAAGCTTGCTGATATGCCCTGGCGAATGGGCCTTGTGTTACGTCCGGCTCCAACTGTTAGTATATGATCAATTATGAATTGACAACTTTTTAATCAGTACATAACTGTGATTCTGAAATTTTGGACTGTTAAAATAGTTTCAATTCAGAATCTAATGTTGATGTTTTTCACTGGTTTTCTTTCATAGATTGGGGAACTGAGAAGTGATTCTCCACGACTTGTAGAACTTAATGACTTTCTTCGTCACCTTCATAAGAAACAGAAGCTCCAAGTCCTTAGTTTCTCTGAGGTAATTGATCGGCATCTTTTCATGATAATGTGTTCTCTTCCCCCAAGAATCCTGCATTGTTGTGTGTGTGTGTGTGTGTGTGTGTGTTGTTTGCAGTGTCACCTTGCAAGCATGATATGAGCTTCAAACTTGCTATTTTGCAGACCCAGGTCACACCAATTGTTGAAGGCTATGGTGGATGGGCCTTACGTATGGAAATCGTGCCAATTGAATCGGCCTATCCTGGATTTGGTGAACTTGTTGTAAGTGTTTATCTTTTGACTTTGTTACTTATATATTCTTAAATGATAAAAATTTGGATCATTTAAATAAAAATGGTAACACAAATAGGTAACATCAACAGACCAAAATGCTTCTATGAAAATGATAATGTAAGTAGGTAACATCTATAAATCAAAATGCTTTAACATTATTCTGTGTTCCAATGATGGTCTAAATGGTTCTAGTCTCCAAAAGTTAATTGTTCTTCTGACTGTGAAACAGGTATTAGAGTCAACAGATCATATAAATTCATGCAAACCGCTCAGCCGCTCTGATCCTTCATACACAGAAACATTAGAATTCTTGCGTAAACTTATAGCTCAATATACATGAAGAGAAATTTAGTCTTATACTCAGCAATAGGCATCATTTCTCTCTCTCTCTCTCTCTTTTTAATCTTAATGAACTTCATAGTCATAGATACCGGAGTTAATTTGATTTTTGCTTGGAAGCTGGCGGAATCAAATATTTCATTCAGGAGCAAATCGGCTGTGGATCAGATAACTAACCTTTAGGAGGCGTTTGGATGGACGTTTGATGGTTTTTGATTTAATAAACATTTATCATAGGCATGATAATTATTGCGTTTTTTTTGAACAAAAACGTAGTATTTGACACTTAATTTTTACTGCGAGTCTTTGAATAGAATTGCAATATTTTTTTTCATCTATTTGACTTGATAGTTTTTGATTTAATGAACATTTATTATGGGTTTGTCGGTTAATATATATTTTTGTAAAATAAACACAATAATTGTTTATTATATTTGTTTAATTACTGTATTTTTTACATTTATTGGATGAAATTAATGCATTAATTGATGGTTAAATTTTTTTTTTTTTGTAATTGGTCATTCGAATAGTGCATTTATTGTATTTTTTAGATGAAATTAATGCAGTAATTGATGTATTGTTGCGTTTATTATGTACTGAAAGGTATTATAGTAAAATATTTAAGTTATCTTAGGTTTTTTTCAACCAAATACAGAAATTTAAAAACGGGATGTAATGAAAAATCGTATTTCCCTTGAAATTACACTTTCTTAGCATTATATTTTATTTTGAAATTTAAGATTTTGCGAATAAAATGTGTTCACTGATAGTGTTTTTGGATTGAGGGGAAGGGAAAGAAAAGCAAAAAAGGTAAAGAAAACAAAATTATTCTATGAAAAAATTATTATATCTATATTTTTATTAACACTAAAAATTTAATTTAGTTATATATATATATGTGTGTCTTTCAAGTTATGAATAACAAAAAAACAATAAATATGCATCATGGAAGTATGGAACAAGCAGCACAAGAGAGAAATTTCCCAAAACTATCATCAAGTAACACTAGCATTCTAGAAGTTTATCCACAACAACGTTCTTCCTTTAGGTGTGAATTCATCGAGCTCTGGAAGAAATCTGACATCTCAAAGAACAATTTATTTTTGAACTAAAACTATGCCCCATCAAAATCACGTTATTCAACCTTTTAATACGGTAACTAACATAATTTACTTGTCTATTAATAGAAAGCAGAAGATTTGCACCAAAAAATAGTACAGCTACAAGGTGAATGAATTAAGCTTGTAGCTTTTGACTTTTCAACTTCTTTCTCCTATAAATTTTATGCAGAAAACCATCAAATTGTACTCAATTCAATCAACCAAGAATAGAACACCTAAAAACTATCAGCTCACCACCAAAATATGCAATTCCTAACACAATTGCAATTCCATATAACTCTTTAGACATTTTAAAACTGTGAGTTTTCTACTCAAATTTTTTTCTTTTCCTCACCTAACAAATGCAATAACTATATAAAAAGTGAGAAGTGGCTTCTGCCATGCTATCATTCTAGATTAGTCATTAGATTTATGAACTTATGACTAACCAAAGATATAATTAAGAACATAAACGAGTGTCAAGAAAAATGGATGAATGATATAAGCTCTGAAAATATATTTTTATATTTTTTGTTATTTTATAAAAAAATATTATGATGAATAATTTTTTTTTTATTTTCTATTCAAATAATGATTATTAGAATTTTTTTTATAAGTTTTAACTATTTAAATAAAGAGTACATACATAATTTTCTTTCATTTAAAAAACTTTTTTTTTCTTTCTTTGTTAATATTTATGCAATAAAAAAAAATATTTTTTTTCCTTTATTAATATTTATCCAAATATAAGGTTAGGAAAAAGTTAGCATCTTCCTCTCTATACCATCATATGATCAACATTTTTATACCAGCTTTCTATACATCATCCCTCTTTCTATCCTTTAGACAGTACATCAGTATTTTTTTTTTTTTTTGTATTCTTTTTCCTCGTTTACTTGTATCAGTAGAAAGTAGAAACCCATCCCATGAATGGGTTCTTAAAATGCTGTATAAACGTTGCGAGTAAAAGAAATACAATGATTGAGCAAAGTGTTGCAAACCCATGTTGCTGTTCTTTCCCATTGTTCTTAAATAAGCCTCTGTTCACTTTCCAAAAGAAAAGTCTATGTTCCATACTTCCATTGCGTAAATTCGTCAATCAGATCATCAGGGCAAAGGCCACCGAAGGCCCCCGATAATATATACATGGCTAGCCCTAGGGGAGATTACGTTTCGACTAGGCATTCCTTGATTTCGGGCTATTGGTGGTAAATCCATGGGCTCTTAGGCTTAGAGAAGCTTAAATCAATAATGGGGTGAATGAACATCTGACCCAGAATGGACTCCTGGTTGGAGACTTCGAGTTATCACTTATCTTTACCGCGGTTTATGGTCCACAAATGGAATATGCGAAAGGAATGGGCCTTTTAGGAGCCTGTTTTTGAAAATGGCCACCCAATATAGAGCCCATTAACTGCAAAAACTTCATCTCTCAATCTCATCATCTCTTCCTCCCATCCGTGTTTGGGAAACGATGCGATTGTATTGTCCTTGTGAACATCTTTCAAAGGACATGGCTTTGCGACCGCCTGTCTTTCATCCAACAGCTTTCAGGCCTTGTCAAGTTTCATTCCCCTTCTTCAGTTTCACAACCCCAACCCAATACCTTCATCTCAACAGAACCAGAAATGTAGGATCCACAATCTTTTGCTGCTCTACTTCTTCTACTGTTTCTTCGACGAGTAGTAGTAGTAATAACAACATGACAGGGCTTCCGGTCAAAAAGAAAAGGATGAGGTACAGGAAACAGCGCCCTGGAGAGAGCGTGGGTATTACTGAAGAGATGAGATTTGTTGCTATGAGGCTTCGTAATATTAACGGTAAAAAGGTCACTTCCAATAGTGTTACCGACACTGACACTGACAGTAAAAATACCCAAGGAGAAGAAGAGGAAGGACGAGGAGATAATGCTGAAGCAGTGGAAAACAATCAAGGTGTAGGTGATGGAGTTGCAGAGACTTGGACACCCAGTATGGAAGGGTTCCTTAAGTACTTGGTTGATAGCAAGCTCGTCTTCAACACTATTGAGCGTATCGTTGATGAATCAAATGATGTTGCTTGTGAGTCCTTTTCCTTGCAATTTTCTTCTTTTTTTTTTCTATTGTTTTACAAAATAGGTGCTCTTGACCTTGTTTTGTTTTTCCATTATCTGGGCGCCTGTTCTATTTTTTATGTGTAAAAGGGGAGAATTATATCCTCCCTGTTCTGTACCCCATATATTGAAACAAAAAGGAAAAAAGAAAAGAATTTACTTGGTATCACTGTCCCTGCTAGCTTATGGTATTGGTCTGAACTCTGAAGGGCTAAAAGAATTTATTTTTGTTCTAGATGATGAACTTGTGGCTGTCCCTACTGATTGAGATTTTGAGTACTCTGTTAGAGTAAAATTTGGGCATTTGCTTTCTTATTTATGCTGCCTATGCCTGCCATGTCTTAAATATGCAGTCTAACAAGGAAGTTTCTTGATATTGGGTGTTATCTTCTTGTCTTGTTTTGAGTTCATAGATGCAGAGTTAACCTTTTTTGTTCAATGAATTGATGTTGGATCTTTTCCCATTGTAATGATGTGAGCAATTGGTTATTGCTTAATTTCATGATTGTCACACAATATTTTCTAGAGTAAAAGTCTTGCTTGTTGAGTTAGTTTAAAATTTAACATTGAAATCTGCTACAGATGCCTACTTCAGGAGAACTGGATTGGAAAGATCAGCAGGTCTTTCTAAAGATCTAGAATGGTTTAGCCAAAAAGATCTTGTGATTCCAGAACCAAGCAATCCAGGAGTTTCTTATGTCAAGTATTTGGAGGAATTAGAAGAGAAAAGTGCCCCACTTTTCTTGTCCCATTTCTACAATATATATTTTTCACACATAGCCGGTGGCCAAGTGATAGTAAGAAAGGTATGCGTGAATGGTCATTGCACATGCTGCTATCATATCATGCCGTGTAATAGTGTCGACTTTTCGCTGCTCGAAGTGGCAATGAAAGGTTTTGTAAATTTGAGGCCGTAAACGTTTATATTGTTATTATTTTTATATTTGGGAACTTAGAAGTTAGAAGAGTTCTTGTGTGTGATTTATGTTGTGTCCTTCAGAAAATACTAATCAAAAAGAGAATTGTGCACGCTAACAGTGTCTCTCTGCAAAGTGAAGGAAAAAGAATTTTTATTTACCAAAATGAGAATGCAAGAGCCAAAAACCATATATTTTTTGCCAACATAGATTTTCTCAGACCAAATCAATCATCTTTCTCTAATGTTTTATTTTCTTTAGGTTTCTGAACAGCTCTTTGAAGGAAGGGAGCTGGAGTTCTATAAATGGGAGGGTGATGTAAAAGAATTGTTGAAAGGTGTACGTGAGAATCTCAACATGCTTGGAGAGGTTGATAATTGAGATTGCTATCTAAACGAAAAATGATTTGTTTCCTTTTTCTGGGATTTTTCTCCATACTTATTTTTTTATTCTGGCTGATACTGTGCAGCACTGGTCTCGAGATGATCGAAACAAATGCTTAAAGGAAGCAGCAAAGTCTTTCAAGTTTTTGGGGCAGATAGTTCGCTTGATCATCTTATAGACCAGATTGGTTTGAATCACAGCTCTGTATAATTTTGTAAGGCCATAACCTTGTCCGCCTAACTTGTTCTCTCTCACCCCCCTTCCTTTCCAAAAGCACGGCATGCCCTTGATAGTTGATATTGGAATATCAAATCTGTTGATATATCCTGGAAACAAAGCAACAATCCTCTTGCTCAAACTTTAGCTTGGCTTTCCAAATCTCCCCTCATTGTTTCAGCTAATATGATTGATGTGTTTTCTTGCTGTTCAACAGGTAACACATTCGCCAAGTAGTCGGACAGCAAGCGAGTGACTACAGTACCGTGTCATGTATTCAGGAACATCAATGTCCTCTACTGGTGACATTTTTGACTTAGGACACTCAGCAAAGGTGATGTGTGAAAATAAACGGCTAGTTTGATAGTGGTGATGCTTCTTGTTATTGGGATTTGGTTTTGATACAACATGCAAGAAGCCAGGAATTTCTCCTAGTGGGTATACGAGTATGCAGGATTTGCTTAAAGATGCGTCATTTTATGTACCATTTGAAATCTGAAAAGAGATAGCAATGTGGGAACAGAAACCAGACAGAACGAATATGTTCAGTACGTCTGCTCTGCTGGTTCAAGCACAGTTAAATCTATCGAGTCGTATGGTGGCCTAGTTCTAGTTGGAGTATTGCCAATATAGAAAAAGGAGGAAAAAGTAATAAATTTGAGACCACTCAGGCTAGTGCAAATGTGAACTTGCTATTTCTGTCTGTCTTGCTTCTCTTACTTGACCAACAGAAAAGGAGTAGATATTGCAACTCGATAGAAGATTTTGTGTAGTACCTAATGTCACATCAGAGGATATGTATTTTGATCAATTAATAAAGTGCATTTTTCTCTTCATTCGCCCCATTTCTTCTCTCTCTTTCTCTCTCTTTTGAATATTGATATTAGTAATACATTTTTTTTCACCATTTTATTTTTTCATTCTGTTATGGCTAAGTGCTTCAAGGTAGGAACAACCATTCATGATTCAAACAAATGAGTACTATAGTATTCAAGGGATGCAATCTTACTCTCTTGTGAAGGAAATTAATCCTTGTTTTATGTTTGGAATGTTGTATCTGCCTTTGGCTTGGAGATGCTCCAGACCAGATTCCAGAGAAAGGTAAAAGAGTCTCAGAAGAAAACCCACTTTAAGTAAAGTTACTGAGAAGCGCATTAACGAAGGCAAAAGTACTGTAATATGAATATCATAGTAATAATCAACATGTTTAACGTGGACAAAAAATACAGAAGAAAAGAAAAAGTGCGGGAGGGGACATATATGGTGTTTGTTCTTGTTTTCTTTTCTATGGCCTTTCCACCCTGGATTAATCCAGGTTCTTTTCGAGTTTTCTCCCTGTTGTTCCTTTTTTAAGTTTTATGTTCAATGGATAGGCAAATGATTACATGGTTTACAGTCTACACAAACACATTGTTTTCCTTACAATTTGCATGCTTTTGACCTGATATTGTCATATTCTGACCGCTTCTTTCGCCTTCTTTTTCTCAAAAATCTACAAACTCAAACGAATATAATATGGAAATCCTATAACTTCTGCTTACACTTTTTGAATTTTTTTAATGGAGAATTTTACATGGAAGCCTCAGTAAGTTCCTATGTCCACCAGTACCTTTTTTTCGCACTACATTTTCTTGGTTAACTCTGCTGAATCGTTGGCTACTATTAATGATTTTCTTTGGTTACATTTGAAACTCATGCAGGACCCGAAATTCATAAAGTCTCCTAAGAAATCTCCATTAATATTAACAATTGTAGTCTTATTTTTCCTCATGGTTTCTGGAGTTTATATCTGCTCAATCCGATTATGGCAAATAAGCCCACGAACAAACGCCAAATTTCTAAATATAAAAGCACTAGACCAGCAGCAGCAGCAGCAATGTCAAGCTCCCGACATTGAACAATGGGAAGCTCCTCTTATACATTTTCCAAATCCTAAAACATTTAACAGGTACCAACAATGTAATTAATCTTCTTCGATTATTATCCATGCATGGTTCAATTTAATATGTTGTTAAAAATGAAGCTTGTTTATGCAGGGAAGAATGTGTCTGCAATCCAGTAAGATATTTTGCCATTTTTTCAATGCAGAGATCAGGGAGTGGTTGGTTTGAGACATTGTTAAATAGTCATATAAATGTTAGCTCCAATGGAGAAATTTTTGGACTTAGGGATAGGAGAAGTAATATTTCTTCAATTTTGGAGACATTGGATAGAGTTTATAACCTTGACTGGTTCTCTAGTGCTTCCAAGAATGAGTGCTCAGCTGCAATTGGATTCAAATGGATGCTTAATCAGGTGAGTGACGCATCAGAATTTGGCTTCTAAATTTACAATTTCACATGGGAATTGGGAAAGTGATAGTATTTGCTTATTTGTTTTTTCTTAAAGATTTCAAATTGCACATTATACTTATTAAATATTTTCCAGGGTGTGATGCAACATCACAAAGATATCGTCGAGTACTTCAAGAAAAATGGAGTTTCTGCAATATTTCTATTCAGAAAGAATTTGCTTCGCAGAACGATATCTCTGCTTGCAAATGCCTATGACAAAGACGTTAGGCCATTGAATGGAACCCACAAATCTCATGTCCATTCATCAGCCGAGGTTTCCTCAGCTTGACTCTCACAAGCATGTATCTTACTTCATTTGGTTACCATGTACTAGCTAATCATAATGATCGAATTTCAGGCTCAGATACTTGCAAAATACAAGCCAACTATAAATATCACGAAACTGATTCCTGAATTGAAGCAAGCCGAACGAAAAACTGCAAAGGCTGTTGAATATTTCAACACCACTCGCCATATGGTTCTTCACTATGAGGATCTTGTCAAAAACCGCACGGTAATAGTTAAAAACTCGTACTATTTCCATCATACACATTCAAATTCAAGTTTCTATCAAGACTCACAGTTAGAAGTTTTCTCCGAATACAGAAACTCATCAGAGAGGTTCAAGAGTTCCTAAGATTGCCTTATAGAGAGCTCACCAGTGGTCAAGTTAAGATACACACGGCGCCATTGTCAGAGCAAGTAGCAAATTGGGAAGATGTTCAGGAAGCAGTGAAGAAAGCATCATATGAAAGCTTCCTTCATTCGGATTATTATTAGATTTAGTTTTATGGTCTTTGAATACTGCAACAGATTTCACAATTTTGGTTAATAGAATCTTCTCTTAACAAACTTTTGGCATCTTATAGGAATTCTTGTTCTTGCACCATCTGGCTCAAGTAAATAATGAAAATTCCTGTTAATTTTCATCCAACCCGTCTCAAAAAGCTTCAGATAATGAAATTACCCAAAGTTTGGCTCCAAAGCTGGCATTGAAGCAAAATATAATCAAGTACAAACAGATTGCATTGAAGAAAGAGTGCTTTTTCTTAGAAATTTGAAGGGTATAAAGCGGATTAAAGTACATCTTAGATCAGAGTACAAACTCCTCAGGTCCGTGTAAAGCTATCATTTCTTTAATTTCATATCACAAATTTAACCACCTTCCCTTACAAAAACTTTGATTATTTTGGATAACTGCTATAATGAAAAGCTCAAATAGGCATTATATGTCTGTGAATAACTACTATACCTAAGCAATGGCATTTAATCGATGATAATAATCTAAAACATGACAGAATGACAAGACATGAAAAAATATATAAAAATGACACAATTCAAAATTTCAACAATAATTTTACGTGAGATTAACAAAACCAAAAAATATATTTTATATTTTCACGTTAATACCAATTGTGACATAATTTTCGTATAAAACATAATACAAATATATAAATTTTAATATTTTACATAACTTGAATACATAAATTATCAAGTTAAGCCATATAAACCACATCTTTGAAATGGATTGACTAGATCATCTAATCATATGGATGCTGTACCTCATGTCACCATGATCTAAAGGTATGGCATTTGTATTTTAGATTTCATGGGTTATTTGATATATATATATATATATATATATATAAGAAGAAGAAGACGAAGCAAGTTGAGATGCAGATCAGTTTCATATAGAACTACCTTTCTTTCCTTTGCTCATTGCAGCCTAAATGTAAGCATTACAATGATGTTGTAATCAAGATCAGCTATTAACTGACCCGTAACTTGATACAGAATCAGGTTTCTCTGTTTGTCTAATAACAAATTGGTCAACAATCCTGACAGTATTCACTGGATCCTGCTGGCCTGCAGATGCACTCCACTTACTAGGATATTTTCTCCGATGGCTCAACTGTTGTGGTTGTTTGGGTTCCCCATCCCAATCAGGATCTAACTTCCATTCCTTGGGAACCTGCATGTCAAATGGATCAGTGTTTGTCTCACCAAAGTATGTTTCCTAACAGGAAAAGATATTTGAACATACAAACGTTAGGCTGCTAACTTATGTGGTAGATCTAGGACCTATTTGAGCTGCTAAAATTGTCATGAGAAAAGGGGAAAAGAACCTGAGCTAAATCATTGATCATCCCTCTTGACCTCTTCATATGAAAAGTACAGTCTAACATAGTCCATAATCCAAGTCAACTGATAGCTATTGGCCCTACCAACACCAACAATGTGGCTAACAACTAATAACACCCATAGTTCCTGGCCTAGTGGTACCAGCTCCTTGCTAAATCCATTCCATGTAAGAGGAATGCTAGCAGCAGTCGTTGTTAACAGGTGCTTTCAGCACCCACTCTCTCTAAAAGCCACATTATCTCACGGGTTGAAGTTAACACCAGCAACTCCTTGTAGCAAGTTGCTAAGTTTTGAAAGTTAAGTTACTTCCTCTCACGTGGGCCTTTTAATTGCTCAAGTGCTTTAAAGGGAGAGAGGCAACGACTGCTCCTAGCATTCCCAATCCACGGAAATGTTTTTTCTTCCTTAAGTCAATGAGTTCAAAACCAAGGGATGTAATGACAGAAACGGGCATATAAGGTAATGATGTTCTTAAGGTGCAGCTAAAGTAAAAAGTAATAATTTCAAATGATCAGAGAAACTTAAAGAAAGGGACAGCCGCAAGTGAATAAATTTTGGTTTCTTACCTTATCAACTGCAAGAGTGAAAACTTCAAGATCACCATCACAATTGATGTGGAATCGTGTGAATGACTTGTAATTAGCAATTCTAAGAGAAGAGAAGGCCTCATCAAAGTGTATGTGAAGCCAGTTAATGCATATATATAAGTAGCTTCCAAACACCAATGAAACCACAGGGGTTGAGAAAACCCAGAAGTAGAGGAAGACGGAAGCATAATATATGACAGCACCTCCTCGGGATAGCGACTGTATTCCCTTCTGGCAAATATTGCTCCGAGTGACAGCCATAACCTGACAACATTACTTCAATCAATATCTTTAACCAGTGAAAAGGTATCATATCCCTCAAACAAGGAGAGATTTCTTACCTCTGGAACGTCAAATGCAGACATGAGATACTTGATACATGCTGGATAGAGGCCAAATGTCCACTGCTCTATTCTAGCTCGAAGACCAGTAGGATCTGGAAAATGCTCACTTTCCACTGTTCGGTACCACTGGTACAAAGGGTGATAACCTGAACACAGTAATTAATCATCCACTAAAAGGACCACATTAAGCCAATCATCACCAAAGTATCATGACTTACTTTTATGCGGTATTATATTTTCTAAGCTGTTTGATTTGTTTTACTTGGAAAATACTAAAACAGAAAGTAGTACATATAAATTCAAAATCTAGATACCAAATGAAACTAAAAAGATAATATTGGGGTTGAATTACATTGAAAATTTTTAGTCTCAGTTTAAAAATATTAAAAATAACATGAAAATAGTAGTTCTAAGTATTATCTTTTCATGGAGTTTATCACAAATATAAATCGCTTTGAGCAGATTATAATACAAAGCATTACAGTTCAGGTGATCATTGCAACAACATTAAGATCTACTATTGCAGAAAAGATAATTAGAATCCAACTCACCCGAAGTTGCTAGTAGTTTATGCTGGATACATGTTTCCAGACCTAGTTCCAAGAGCAGCATAAGGATAAGGGCCGCAGCTAGATGTGCAGATACATGAAGGATTCCAATTATTGCACGCTTCTTCCGCGCTAATTTCGAAGGGACAAATGCAATTGCCGTGATTAGCAACAGCACCACACCAGCCAATGATACAAATGAATGATCCAGCACGTATACAAAATCATTCCATACCGTGCCAAAGAAACTCCTCAGATGACCAGAAAATGAATCATCTTGCAATATGTGATCAAGCTTACACTAAAAAAAGGAGGGAAACAGATCAGTCACTTCACTAACAGAGTTAGCCTACCTGACAAAGAGTAAAACATCATATTACATGTAAGCTTTCCAATTCAGAAAGAGAAAGAGAGAGAGAAAGGGGATCCTAATAATCAGGTCATTTTAGGTCCAATAACAGCTGAAGTTAGAATAACGAAATCATATGTAACTAACTTCAAAGAATTTAAAAGAAATTTACCCGTGGAAACATAGAGAAAACCAATATAAAGTATATAATGCCACCAATGAAATCAAACTGCCAATTCTTCTTCCGAAACTTCAAGATATTTCCCAATGCAATCTGCATCAAATAACAACCCCCATATGAATGAGAACTCAGAGAAAACAAGGCAAATGGATCTAAGATATATTAAAGAAAACGAAGATTACCCTGCTTGAATCATCAAAAGAAGGATAAGCGGCTTTACACTCGTATGTTGTCCCATAAAATTTGTTAAAATTACTAAACACATGAGTGGGGTGTAAAAATGCGCCTCCACACCCATTAACAAGAAGATGTTGCACATGAACTGGACCTTCAGATGGAATAGATGAATGACGCATATAATGATGTAGGTCCCCGGCAATTCGAAGTTTACACCTTCCTTTTAAGTAATCACATATCAGGTGCGAGACATTCTCTCCAGAAACACCTTTCCAGTACCAATCAAGAAGCCAGTGTGGTTCATGGGTCATAATAATCACAGAATCATTTTCTCCAACCTGAAAAGAAAGATAGAGGAGATGAAATTATTCTCAACCAGCATAATATTTTGGACTGAGAACATTAGAAATAACAGACAGAGCTAAACCTTGGAACAGCCAATAGCTATTGTCTAATAGGTTGAATTCGCAACTGCTATATCATTTGGTAATAGTATCTGACTGAAAGCATTAACAAATGCTAGCACAACAACTTCCAAAACTAAGCGCATTTCGAGTAGACTTCTTAAGGTATGAAATAGTATTGAGAAACCAGAATCTGTGATCCATTCACTCCTTCCAATATTGATTACTATATATGTGCATCAAGGCCAGTACGCCTTCGGCATCAAATGCAGCATGGATGACTCAGGAAATGAATACTACTGTTATTGCATGTGAATTCTCTGGTATGCATTAATGGAAAACAACTAATAAGACATTATAAGAAAAATAGACAAGTCTTCCATTAAGTTACAAATATATCCCCTCCTTGATCTAGGTGTATTTTCTCTTTAGAGACAATTCAAAATGTAACATTAGTAGCAAACATAACAGAAAAGGACAGATCTTAGGAGTAAATGATACCTTGTTCTTTACTAATTCAGAAAAGAACTTGAACTGGTACACATCAATGTCAGCATGGAGTGATAAATCAAAACCAAATACCCACCATCTTTTTGGGAGCTGCAAAGCAAAATAACTCTTCTTCTGAGGCATAAACCACCCACCCAACCAGCTCTTGTGACATATATATCTCATAAAAGTATTAAGTCCATCAAACCAATCTGTCAAGAAAAGCATAATTCCATTACATGTCATTGAATTTTTAAATAGCAAGAATACTAGAAGACTTCTTTATTAACAAAAATAAGGTTCTACCAAGGAAACATGCGATATCATTCAGACAATGAGAAAATTACAACAATATATATACTTAAGAACAACAGTAAGCATTCGGTTGAACTTTTCTCTTTTCTATCATGCAAAAATAGATCACTCAAGATTAAATTCGGGCTAAAAATAAGACCTACCATGATTTCCAGGAATGAGAAAACACTGAGGTCCATTGTATTCCTTGAGTTCAGATACCCCTTCTGGTAACTCAGGCTTGTTGACAGCTATATACTCTGGTTTGTACCAAGACGGAGGCTGAAGAGCATATTCAAAAGGACAAAAGAGACGCCTTTCGTATGTGAATGCTGATGGATTAGGATACCTACAGATAAACCACAGTGTATGAGCAATAAACCACAGTGTATGAGATTACTTTATGGCCAAATCACCAACCAAACATTTAAAGAGCTACAATACAGGCTCTAGCTTCATGAAAAATAAACCATCAATATGACAATTCTGATTTTGTCAAGTCATACGACAAATTGTACCCAAGATATAGTACCAACTTACGCAAGATCTCCTCCAATAAGTAGCAGATCCCCACGTGGCAGCATAAGCACAGAATCATCTCTAGCAAGCCGAATGGAAGGTTGAGCAAGCAGCCTAGCAACAGCATACGATGAGTTTCCACCGTCACCAGTATCAGCCATGAAATCAAACCATAGATCTTCCTTTTCACTCAAATGATCATAAAAGAGATCCTCTTGTTTAGCTCCTTCATGAACCCTGCTCATTGCAGCCTACCAAAGGCAGAAAGGAAGAGATAGAAAGTCAATCCTTTATGGAATATTTACCAGGAAATTTTTCCTTATAACACAAAACGAAAAATGTGTTAATTCATATAAAATCAAATGTTAGAACCAAACCTGCATCATGCGCATGTCAAACCTGCCAACAAACACAGTTACTGATACCAGGAGGTCAAAAACAGTCTTGAATAAGTCAGCTGATGTTCTGCAAAATTTGGGAAAAGCACTCTAAGGTCAAAAAGACTGAAACCTTTTGGCTCCCTCCACACAGTGGGGGAAAAATGATAAGAAAAAGGTCATAACAAAGAAATAATAAACATTTACCCTGAATACCAAGGAACCATATCCAAGAAATCTGGTTTCATTTGATTCTTTTTCAGTTTCTCATATTCTTCAACGGACAAAGGGTGAGTAAGAGCCCACCTGGATTTGATGTAGAAAGTGCAGCAAAAAATTAAGATAAAGAATAAGAATCAAAGCATGTAGAAGCAAGAGTAGCTCAATCCTATAAAAGATACCAATCTTAGACCCAGAAACTGATAAGACTTAAGAGTCATCTACATGATGGTTAATCAAGAAACTGGGACATGGTTATCAATAGAATATTCATGCATATAAAATGCCACTGCAATGAAAATGAACCTCAATGCAGGAATATATAGCAAACTGAAAAGAGGATGAAAATTAACCTAAAAGCAAGAACATAGTGCAATGTGAACAGTTCGTCCCATGCAGGATATAGTACAGTTCTCATTCAAACATGAAACAGACACAAACAATAAAGCAAGATAAATGCTGCCACTCACCCTGTTGACCTTTCCACTACATAATTGGCAATGTACAGGCCGATAAATGTAGCCCACAGAGAGTATATGGGAGAAATTTCATCAGAGGAACCAGGACATGAACCATTGCAAGCTAACTGCAAATGAGATATCAAGATAAAAATATGTAGTAAGGATCAAAAACAACAAAATACACAAAAAAAAAGTCTCAATGATACAAATGACATAAAACCTTAGAGTGGATCAGAGCCTTACCTCACCATAAATAACCCACTTTGACAAAAGTGGATAATCACTTGCAGAGCCAACTGGAGCAAACCAAGATGAGCAGACCTGGTCTTTCAACTCATTCATACGAAGAAATTTTGCAAGCCAAGTGTTTCTCTCTTCTTTCTTCCAAAAGGAAAACCAATTAGAATTTTTTTGTTCAAAAGGTCTCTGCTTTAACATAGCACGGTTGCCACAATGACTATAGAATACACAGCAGGCTATACTAATAACCTACAAAGGTCGGAAGAAGAAAATACCAATGAGGACAAGCATCAACAGAAAAGTTAAAACCTGCAATGTATAAAAGAAATCATCAATTGCGCCTCCAACACTTACAGCACAATTCTGGAGAATGGTCAAGATTTCTGGCCTCCTTCCAGCCACACGAGAAATAAGACCAAGATACCACAGGCCAAGGAAGATAACGTGGAAGACAAGAAGAAAGAGAATAGAAGATATATATATTGACAAAAACAAAGATAAATTCATCCTCATATCCACTCCCATTGACTGAAAACTAGGCAGATGATACACAGCTGCAACTAAAATCCATGCTATGTACCTGCAAATATAAGTTATATAAATTCATAAATAAGCCATGACTTGTTCTTAGCTTCCTACTGTATGTCAAAAATTATTTAAATACATTTATGTCGAGAATTCAGTACATGATTAATAAGGGCACCAGAATAGAACACTCACCATCTACTGAAATTTGAATAACTTGGTTTGATTGTTTTCCCTATAAATGGAGAGGAAAAGAAATAAAAGAATCCAAGGAGACAGGCATACATGGACCACCATTTGATATTATTATCCAACTTTTCTATCAAAGTATGCATGTTATCTGACGAGATAAAGAACAGACAACCCACAACTACAGCAATTATGGCATGACGTGAGTGTTCATGCGGGTAAGGGTATGTATGAGTTAAAATCGTCCGAACCCTATCCATTCTGAGGGTAGGTAATAGTCCAGCTGAGAGATTATCAGAAACCATAGCTCAAAAAAAAAAAAAAATCTTGTGCTAGCTCCTCCTATTTAACTTATTAAATGTCTCACAATATAGCCCCCTAACTTCACCTGCAAGAAAAATCGAAAACCACCACAAGGAGTCAGGACCAGCTCCAAGTTCCTGATAACAATAATACAACACTGAATAGCCTTTAAAGGAAAAAAAATTAATGATTTCTAAATTAGAATAAGTAACAAAACCCAAAAGATTATTTGATTTTAATCAGCATTTTTAGATTCCAAAATAAGTAATAATCCAATAAAATCCAGTAAACCATTGCCGTCAAGCTACAGGTCTATTAAAAACAGAAACTAACTATAATAAAACATAATCCAATGACGCAAAAAACCACATTAAGTCTAAGTTGAACCGTAAACTAATAATTCATCATTAATAACGTAAACGCAAAAATAAATAAATAAATAAAACAAAGAACAAAATTTAATTTGTCCTTGCCTAATCATTTCTTTTTTCTTTTTCCTAACCAATCAAACAGACTACTGGGCTTTTGATTTAAATTATATTATAAAATATTAAAAGCGCTTGAAAAAAAAAAAAAAACCCATAACCGCAAAAACAGAAACTTCATTATTATGAAATCAAAAACAATCAGAAAACATGAAACAATGTAAACCAAAAAAAAGCCCAAAACAAGCAACGGCTTTGATAATTCGAAAAAACAAACAAACAATTTCAAGAGAGAGAAAGGGTACCTGAAAGAGAAGAGAGAGAAAGAGAGAGGAGAAGCGTGCATGTGGAAGAAATAAAAAGGGAAAGTTATGGGGGAAGGGGATATATAAGGTTTTTGAAGAAAAAAAAAAAAACCAATGACATCTCAGAATGTCTGGGCCGAACATAACAACGGCATATTCTTTCTGTTTCACATCTCCTCCTATTACTTGCAGAGGTTTCCCAAAAACATTATTAAACGGGAATGGGACTTTTCTTTTTTTTTACAAATAGAAAACAAATTAACGCGGTTGAAAATTCTTTGAAGCCACGTGGATCATTGAGGACCGTTTGATTTGGGGACGATGGGGGTGGGTTAGGGAGAGTGGAAAATGGGACACGTTGATGTTGCGCGCGGGGGAAGAGAATGAAGCAATGGGTCAATTTGTCGAATGTAAACAGTCCAATGATGCAAGGAGAGGATCCCCGTCCCTGATTTTGCTTGCATTGGGCCAACTGAATTTGTTTGCTTGGCTGAGTGGATATCTATATTTGTTTCTTTCGACTTTGGATTTTGTAAAATTTTAGGTAAAATTTGTAAAAGTTTTTACTAAAATAATTAATAAAAATTTTAATTTTAAATTTTTTATTAATAAAATTCAATAAAAAATAAGTAATATATAAAAATCATTTATAATTTAAATTTTATAAGTATGTATTTAACGGTTTTGTTAAAATTTTCAATAAAAATCTATTTAAAATATATAACAAAAATTTCAAATTTTTTTTTAAATTTTACATACTTCATTTATATAATAAAATATTTTAATTTATCAATTTACATTTCAAATTTAATTTTTGTTTAATTAATTTTAATAAATAACTTTACTAATTTCACTTAAATAACTTTCTCTAAGTTTTTCTTTCAACGTTGGCGCTTTTTGTTTTGCTTTCTGTTTGACGTTTTTGTAATGGGTTTGTTTTGTTTAGCAATTTGTGACAGGAAAATTAGTAAAAAGAATGTAGGAGGAAAATAGTTCTGATGACTTTATAAAAGCAAGGTGTGGCTCAGTTCATCACTATGCAGTCATGTGGAGTGTTCAACAATGGAAAATAATTGACATTGCTTTCCATTTATATTCGCAAAAAAAAAAAGTTTCTTTCTCTGATTTCCTCCCAACCAAACAATCAATTAGAAACAAATAATTTATTTCTTGCTACATTAGCCAACTATTTTTTTCTTGTTACTTTCTTTTGTTTGTTCCTTAATTATCCAATACCAAGTATATCTTAGTATAATTCCAACGATAAAAAAGAAAGATAGTGAGACGCCAATGGAAGTCATTAATTGTAACAAAAATGACCTAATTTCATTTATATTTTGTTATGGATGTTTGTCCCTCAAATGATAATCGATAGTAGAAAAAAAAAAAAAGTGGCAAAATGACGGTGCTTTTTAGTAGGAAGAGAGATGAAGAGAGGTCACCCTCATTCATAAATTTTCGCCAATTTGCTTTAAATTGCGGTGTGATGGAACATATATGCTTGAAATGGACATTTAGCCACACGAATTCCTCGAGGCCGGTGCCGACTCGGGGTCAGTAAGACTACGCAAGAAGCTCCAATTTTTGGCCCACTACTCAATAGTCATTCCCTAGTATTTTATGTGGAATTCATTAACCAAACTTTCTCTTATAGCCCATATCTGGCCTGTCTTCAAATTCAAACCGATGCCCGTTAACTTTTTGGACCAATAAAGTGGGCTCTTAGGCTCACATGCAGCACCAATGGACCATCTCCTGTCTGTTGAGCCTCAGATAGAGACCATTCATTTTCCTGGTTGAATGAATAAATGTTGGGAATTTCCACCAGATGGAACTTTTCAGTTTAATATGCTAACAAATGACATTTGCATATCTATTCTCAAATAGTTTACAGGTTTGACTTGATAAGTAACAAATGAAATTGGGAAGTAACTAACGGTAATCACTGCTTTACTGTTTTCTCAAATTAATTTCAAACCCACCTTCATTTCCCATGATGATCTCTCCACTAAATCTTCTTAGAACCCTTTTTTTTTTAAAGGAGCATAAGCATCAAATCCTACTTCAAAGATTCCTAGATTGCTTTGACATATACGATTCTCCATATGTTCAACGGCTAGGATTTGACGGCTTAGGGAAAATGCTTTTCTCTTTCGAACCAAAGTCAGACTCCTCCTAGTTCTGGACTTGTTGCTCACATTAAGCTCAATCCCCCATCGCGTGTTCTTTGTTATGATCACAATTGCGACTAATGGATCCCATTTCTCCAGGATCCAACTGTGTTTATTGGATGATAAGAACTTCCTTAACTCGAGGAGCCAACCAGGCTGTAGCCACCGGGCAACCCCTCCAAATTTGAGGACTGAATAAGTGGAAGGTCATGACACGGAACATTTGGGCACTATAGAATATCATTAGCTCCATTTGACTTCAATATCCTTCTCTCCAGGAGTCTAAATTTTACACACCAATGGATGCATTATGAGTCCTCTTGGATTTCTGTGGGGCTTGAAGGCTTATACACCTTTCTTTTTCTGGTAAAAGCTTTGAAATTGCAGTGCGCACTTGGTCACGATCACTAGCACCGTCAGTAATGCACAACATTATTTCTAATTGTTGTCAGCAAATCTTCATTTTAATGTTGTAACCTTGACTTGGTCATTGTTAATTACAAACAATAATCAGTCTGATGCTTACCCTCTTATTGGGATTTTCAAATTCCCCACTGTCATAGTGGTTAGAATTTATGTCGGTTCAGATCATCCAGATGTAAATCAAAAACAATTTTTTGTACTTTCTTTGAGATATATGCTAGAAAATGGCTCCTGCTACTCGGAAGTCCTTTGCCAAATAATTGTAGTTTGGTTTATACCTGTACAAATACAGGGATATCTATTCTGGTTAATTTGGCTTTTGGTGGCCTTGCTGCCAGCTTTTGACTTTTGATTTTTTGAGTTGTGTTGGGCCTGGTTCTGTTTTGGTTAGGTACTCTGTTTCTGTTGGTTTTCAATCAATTCAACTACAAAACCCATAGAAAATATAACTATCTCACGCGAATGATTGAATTCAAGACCCCGCGTGCTCTTACATATTTTAATCAAAGGAGTGATATATACTTAAACCACTAAACCAAAGATTCAAGTAGCCCCCACCCTCTCCTGTTCGTTTCATGCAAAAAAAAAAAAAAAAAACGCTGTCTTGATCACTATCAACTCGTTTACAAGCCTATAGTTTTTACTTGACTATATGCTCTACTTGCAGTTTGTAACAGGTGAAAACGAAAGAAGGGCAAGAATAAGGTAATAACTTGACTTCACTAGGCCGGTCCTGGCTAAAAGAAATTTGGATGGCGCGGGTTTTTCCTGGCCAACTTTAGTGCTCGATCCAGTGAATACTACTAGCTAGTAGTATAACAATTTGAGGTTAATTTAAATGGAAGAAGATATTCCGGTCGGTATTAGGAGCCCCACAAGATCGTTCTTTGATTCTTATCATATAATAACCGACACACTGTACAAAAATTGGCTGCCCTAGCTTGTCAAGCAACTATATATGGTTAACTTTAAAATTGTGACGACGACAACAGCAATAAAAGAAAATTGTATTGCGGTAGAAAAAATACATGGTATTTCAACCATCTAGTGTTGAGCTAGCAATCCTTAAGTCAAAAAAGGTATGCAGTGATTCTTTGAAATTTTAAGAATGGCAGAGAATTCATCAGATCAGGCTTGAAAAATTTGAGGGGCACAAGGAACTTTGGAAGACACTTGGGTTTTCCACTTTATGTTCTTAATTTGAAAACAAAAGGACAAGTTGGTATCAATTTTGATACTACTTTTTGCATGTTAGTCTCTTCCATGTTTCAGTACTTTATGGCCATTCCTCAGTCACTACAGAAAGAATTGAACTTGGAAGCAATTATTATACTACAATTTTTGGAGGCAAAGAAAGCTAGCAAATCTTTCATATATTTATATATACTGAAGAGCCAACTTTATCTATGAAAGTATTACTTAAAACTTTTTATCAAATTAAATGAAAAAGGCAGCCAGTTAGCAGCGGCACTTTGCCAAAGATCTTTCCAGTGAATGAAACAATGAAATCAGATACATGTATAATTAATTCAACTTGTTATCTAGAACATGAAATATAGTGCATGAACAGTAATTCCAGGAACTTTTGAAGGCAGATTGAAGGACCAAATTAAAACAAAAGTCTATATATTGGTTTTATACCAGAAAGTACAGCTAGCAAATGCGTGCAAGTTTCCTCCACCATCTTACATGTATTTTTTTACTGCTGTCTAACCATTTTCACTATATAGAAAGAACAGGGAGCAATAGTTGCATGGGACATGCAGAAACAGCGGTACAGCACACTAGATTTCAACAAATATGGGAATATACTGAACCTGTCCTTTCAAAGCAATCCAAGGGGACATCGATCATAATAACCCAATAGACTCGGTTGCAACAATTGTAAGCGTTTAACTTTCAATAGTTGGTAACCAGGACGAGCATGCCGGCTTCTAAAGTGTATAAATACCCTGAGAGGCAAAAGCTTAAGGCCATCTCATCTTCATCACTAGTACTAGATATATATTTTCTCTTTGAGATTTTCTAATTCGTTCTCAATTATTTTCAGTCGCCCACATGGCCAAAAACAACCTCATTTTAGCTGGTTCCTTCCTCCTTGTATTATTGTTTGCATATGGAGTCGCATTTTCTGAGGAAATGAGGATTTTGAAGGCAGATAAATTAGATGAGTCCCGAAACCATGTAACAAATATGATGAGCAGCCGCAAGACGAACTTGAACCGTGACATTTTAGAAGACGACGCATCAGCAACTGGCAATGTAAACAACACTGCATATGGTACTAATGATTACCGCCCCACGACTCCGGGTCACAGTCCTGGCGCCGGCCACTCTACCGGACCTGCCCATGATGATAATAACTAGATTTATCACACATAGTATCGTTTTCTCCTAAGCATTATCCATTGTGTGAAATAATCTCGTAGGGTTACCTATGATTATGTATTAGAATTGCCCTTAAAAAATAATTTCCGTATGTTGAATTTTCATGTAATAGCACTTGATAAATAGGTTTAGAAAGTATAAGTAAACGAACAAAAATGCATGTTATCAATTGTGCGCTCATTGCTCAATTGTAAACTGATAATAATAATAATAATAACGAGAATAATTTAGTTTTATAAGTACTTTTATCAATTAACTATATATATAAAGTTCGGAGTTGTTCACGTACAGCTTTTAAAGTTTTCTGTCTTTTTGCAACTTGGAGATAAGCTATGATAGTCGCCAACGATGGAAATTGTTGCTTTTTCCTGATTTTAGCACAGGCATTATGTTCTATAATATATAATAAAGTGTAATTTTATTTAAAAAAATAAGAAAAGGCGAACTGATACGTGATATTCCATTCAATTCAATTGATTGTCATATAAAATTGTAGTGTAAATTCTAGATTAAAATACCAACAAAATTAATGTACTGAGACAAGAAGGATTCAAAAGCTAGCTCTGAATTTTTATCATAACTGCAAGTGGGTTGGAAAGTGATCATATGCAAAGCATGGGAAAGTGTTGCCTTTGCTTTATGGAAACATTTTTCCTACCTTTAGCTGCTCTTTTTACACGCCTGTAACACGCTTTCTTTGGCATATAGTGCTCCAAGTTGCAAAAGAAAAACAAAGCTCCATGGCTTTCAGCTAGAATCTAGAGATACCTATGAATATGATGAAGACAACTCCAAATTTTATTGAGATAACATCTTTACCTTTAAACATTTATGTGTTTTTTGTTTTAAGTTTTAAACATTTGAAAATTTGCTATTTCAAAGCTAAACGCTATCAATTGGTTATATCGATATACAGTCCTAAGGCATGTCAAAATAATGATACTTATGTGTTTTTAATTTTTAACCTAAACATTTAAAATTTATTAATTTAACTTTAGTTGTAATATTAATTACAAAATAAATTTATTAACTGAAAGCACACATGAAAATAACAGTAACGAAGTGATTTTTGGATCAAGTTAGAATAATTTATTGCTAATTTTCCCACCAATTTAAGTTGTTAATATCGAAGTCACGCAATGGTTCAACTTAATTAAACTGTGGGTGGGATGGGATATTTTTGCTCGATGGAGTATGAAAAGTTTTGATGATGAAATGGACTATAAGAAAATCTAGGCAAACCAACCACCAAGGATTCTGTTTCCTCTCGATAGTTCCTTTCAAAATTGCAGTCTGCTTTCTAATGAAAATTCGAGGTGAAAATAAAATCTGTAATCATTAAATATAGGCTTTTTCTCTCTCATTTTTTTATTGGTGGGTAAGCTAAACAATGAACCGCCCGCTGGAATGCCAAGTTTGGCAATACCTAAGCCATTCCCCATTTGCTTATATGGTACTATAATTAATTAATTAAGTTATTAACAAAGAAATTATTCACAGACTTAATTTCCAACAAATTTTGAGGTATTTCCCTCAATATACATGGACCCAATTTTCTTAATTTCTTTTTTTTTTTAAGCAAAAGAAGGTTGAAACGAAATCTAAAATACAAAAATTAAATTTTAAAGTCTGAACAACATAATATAAGAAATATTGAAGCATTATAAAGAAACATTAAAAATTTTTCAACGAGATAAAGTCAATTAATGGGTTAACAGAAATTAAATCAGTAAGAGTCATATACTTTACTTATAAGGTTTAAGTTTAATTTTTGTTATTAATACATTTTTTTATGAATAATTTATAAACCTAATATAAATATTCGCTAAAACTTAAAATATATTCTACCTTTAAAATGAGGTACCCTTTTCTCACTTAAAATTTAATTAAAAAAAAAAAAAACCAATTAAGGGAAAACCAATTGGCTTGACGACGAGGGGCCTACAGGATTATGGGTATATTGGGCCTTGGGGGAAACTCGGGCTGAGCCTCTTTGGACGGGTTTATGCCTTTTTTAAGTTTGCCGTTTATAAGCACTGATCTTTTGTAGAGCAATGCCATCTAAGTTCTTTGCTTCCTTCTCAAGTGATAATTTAGTGTTACTGTTGCAATCGAAAAAAATATGTTTAAAAATTACAGTAAGATAAATGTAATTAAAATTTTTTTTATGTTTATTATATTGTGAAAATACTGTGAATATTTAAAATGTTTTAAAAAATATGTATAAAATAATAAAATATTAAAAATATTGTGATAAAAAAGCAATTTTTTATTCAAAATTTACTTTTTCACTGAAAAATATCAGAGTTTTTTAGTTTGAGTTAAAAAAAAAATCAAGTTTTTAAATTGAAAAATAAAAATTTTTTATTATTTAACATGGCATTTGGATAAAAATAACTTTTAAACGTAAAATTATTTTCAATAACAATACCAAACGAGGCTTAAGTTTCAAGAGAGGTGATTTGACTGATTTCCGTTTTCTTTTGTGAGCGATAAAATAGCATAGGAATTGTTAGTAACTGCTAAGGACAGTTCATCTATTGCATATGGAACTAGTATTATGAAGCATCAGGCAAAGTTACTTGCTACGGTTCAAAGCTTTTAGGATTTTACTTGAAGCTTTTGCCTCCTGTTGTTCTTGGGAGGTGCTTCAACCCAAGCTGATAGAAAAAGAAAGATTCTTCGAACACGTGTGAGTTTTTCAGTTCTTCATTCAGCTTTAAGCCTCAACTCTTGCATTTATTTAAATCAATAATTAAAAAAATGTTTATAATTTTTTTAGTTTCATACTAATTTAAATGGATCTTTATTTATGATTTTTAGCTTTTTATTTCACTTTTACTTTATTTTTTAAATATTTAAATGATTCCATTTGAGTTCTTAATTTATTAGTAAAATGTATCATTTTGATTTTTTTAATTACTAATTAAAATTGACGTAATTTTTACATTATAGCACCTAGCCTGAATATTTATTTAATCATTAATAGAATAATGTAAGCAAAAATTAACATAAAATCTCTATAAAAAGATTCATGATTTAAATAGAACAATTCAAATATGAAATATTTAAGAATCATAAAAAGGAATTTACTTCAAGAGTATATTACTTCAAATATTGAAAACATTTTAGGAAAAAACAATGCATATTTATTGGTGATGAAAAAGGACGGGTTTTGAATTTTAAGATGTCTGAATTATTGTTTTTGGTTTATTTGGGTGGGATTTATTTTAGGTTTTGGTTATTAAAGTTAATGGTTGGATAATAAGATTTATCTGGATATGATTTATTTTGGGTTTTGATTAAAAGAATATTAAAGATTTATATTATTAAATTGATTATGTGTTTTTTTTTTGTAAGAAAAATTTTAGGATAGATAAGTTGTTTAGTTATCCATGTTAAAAAACAACATAAGATAGATGATTGTAGGTTGTACATTCTACATGACTTCAATAAATAATCACCGATAAGACTCGAACTCAAGATCTTTTCGTCGAAAAGAATGATCTTAACCAATTGAATCAATTACTTATTTTATTATCTATATTGAATTTCCTTGTAATTGATTATTTAGATTTTTTACTTTAATATTCTACAGTTATAATAAAAGTTATTTGTAATAGTATAACTTTTTTAATCAAACTTTGACAGAACTTAAATAGGTATGGCTTGTCTATTTCATTTTAAAATAAGAATTTGTAATGCCAAATGAATGCCTTTATATGACATGAGGTGTACATTTTGTTTATATTACTACTATTATTTTGACAAAATTATTAATATAAATTAAACAGATATTTGAATTTTGTTAAATTTTTAGTACTTGAATATAATTTATTAAAAATTCGATAAAGAAGAAGCACATCACATTAGTATAAAAGAATTCAAGCTTAAATAAAAGGAAAATGATTGATTAATCATTGTACTAAAGATATATTGAGCAATATAAAAGAATTCAAGCTTAAATTAAAAGCCAGGAGCCATGCACCCTGACTCGGTAATCATCCAATGCTCCCCCTCATTTTCACTGACTATACATTTTAACCCCTTGTTGCCATCAGCTATCGAGGCTTAAACAGAAGAAAGGAAAATCAACGGTTCTGATTGTCATCATGCAGTCATTGATGGAGAAAAAGTCAGTCCAATGAGTGCAACGGTTACTTTAAAAGGAAAAAGCGTTAGCGGCTAGAGTCTTGGCGACCAGATGACAAGGCTGCCACAAAGAATTTACACGTGGCATCCTGAAAACTCTACAGGTGTACCAACGGAAAAAGTTGGAATTATTTAAAAAGCGGAAGAATAATTAGGGGGCTTAGATATTTTTCGTCAAGCGGATATTTTGGTAACAGCTTGACCCTTTGACCACCAATTCGTCCTTTCCTCCGCCAATAAGTTTCAATGCCGATGCTTTCTCTCTCCTCTATCTCTCCTCTAGCTCCGCCATGTTCTTCTCTGTCACTTCACACCGGAATCTCTTTCTCTCCTTCCAGAATCGGAGTTTCTTCGACTTCTTCGACTTCGCAACTGATTCAACATACTAAATCTTCGTCAAATCCGAAAGTTGTCATCACCAGAGAAAGAGGCAAAAACGCCAAGCTCATTGATGCCCTGGTTCTTATCTCTTTCCTACTCTCTTCTTTGAATTTTTATTTTTTTTAATTTTTTGATGATTTTATATTTGTTCCATTTTTGTTCGTTATTAAGCTTCTTAATGTTCTGCTTTTGTCACATTTTATTTGAAACTTTAAAACAAAATGTTCATTATTTTACTGTACATAAACAATAGTCAAGTGCATTCTGAATTTAGGATTGGTTCATCATCTGTTTGATTAAATGCTGAAACAAAGGCAACATCTGTTAATGGTTTTTTCCTCAAATATTTTTGTAGTTATTTTCTACTTTTCTTTAAAGGTAAATGCTGTCATATGAACTTCTTGAACTTCCAGTCTGGTTCGTACCGAAGAAAAAAAATATAAAATTAAAAAGGATTAACGAATGTAGAGCACATGCCATTAGTCTTTTGAAAGATCTAGCTCTAAAACAAGCATTTAATATTAGAATCGGTAGTACCAGATATATATATGTAGGTTCAAAGTTTGTTTTGAATAAATGAATTTGGAAAAATTTTATGGAAATAATTTCTAGTTTCGCAGTTTGCGAGGATTTGTTTTGAATAAATAAAATTGGAAAAATTTTATGGAAATAATTTCTATTTTGCAGTTTGCTATGATTGAAGAATGTGGAATAAAAATCAATTCCATAAAAATTTTCAATTGAATAAATGTAATGAAAATATGCATAGTTTCTTGATCCCTATTATTCTCAGCTTCTTATTTTTTAACCCTAAACTCTCCACCACGGTTGTCGTATTTTCTGTGCTTATTACTGTGCCTTGACATTAGGATGTCAATCTTACCCATATCTAATGGGAAACCGATTTTATATCCGAATAAGGATGGAGATGGATATCACATTGTGAATATGGGAATGGGATGGATATGACTTTAAATTTTTATTGGGTATGGAGATGGGGATGGGTAATATAGTATTCATCCCATGTCCATACTCTTCATATATATTTATATATATTTAGTAAATAAATTTTTTATTAAATAATATAAATTATTATTTTATATTAATTAAAATTAATATATTTTTATTAAAATATATATTAATATATATATTTATAAAAAATTACCTATATATACAAGATAAAAATAAATAAAAAATTAATTTTTTGTTTTTTTGTTAAAAGTTATAGATATGAAGATTACCCATACCTATTAAATATCTATACAGATGGGAATATGGATAAATTTAAAATACCCATTGAGTATGGGTACGAGGATAGGGTACGATATAAAAATCCAGAGATGGGGATGGGCAATGCTTTACCCTTCCCATACCCTACCTATTGACATCCGTACTTGACATTCACTCCCTGCTACTCTCTACCTTATATTGCTATTTCCCTGTTCTCCTACTTATATCCCTTTTTTTTTTTTCACTTAGCTTTCATTTAAATACTTGGTAAAGGGAAACATTAGGATACTTAGAGTGCATTTGGTTCACAGAAATCCACAAATTTTTTCTTGAAATTTTGATAGTGGGTATTTGATTCTCATGTTTAGTTCAAGGTAATTTTGATTACGAGAAAAAATGTCAAATTTCCAACAATATTCAAAGTCTTGGAATCATAAACTTTTCTCTCTCTATGGTATTTTAGGATTTTGGAGAAAAAAGTATTTTCAAATTTGACTTGAATAAAAAATTATTACATAGCTATTACCCTTTTAAAAAGCATGTTTAAAAGTAACTGAAACTCAATTATAGGTTTTTGTTAGTTTATATATATTTTTTAATTTATATTTCAATTAAGGCATTTGACATGAAAAAACGCCTTAATTGTAGATCAATTATGGCGTTTGGCTTAAAAAAAAGCCTTAATTGATGATTTAAGGCGTTTGTGAAGAAAAACGCCTTAAATGATTTTCTAGAAAAACGTCTTAAATGAGCCAATTTATATATTATAAAAGATGATCATTTAAGGTGTTTGTATGCAGAAACATCTTAAATGGTTGATAAATTAAGGCATTATAAAAAAAGAAGAAGATCATTTAAGGCATTAGAAACATCTTAAATGATCCTTTTATTTTTCATTTTTATAAAAGATTATTTAAGACATTTGTGAACAAAAAAGCCTTAAATGATCCAATTTATATATTATAAAAATGGATAATTTAAGGTCTTTCTGTATATAAACGCCTTAATTGATTAGTTATAAAAAAAATAAAAGGATCATTTAAGGTGTTAATGTTTTGAAACGCTTTAATTGATGATATTTTATAAATAAAAATGACAATCAATTAAAATATTTATTTATTTTTGTTGCTAAAGGTATCGCTTTTCGTTTGTTTATTTATTGTTAATAAAATAAAATAAAAAATTGTCATCATATATGTCAATGAGATTATGGTAATTATATAATAATTAATATATGTGGATTCTCTCGACCAAACAAGTGAATCTAAATATGGGATGTATGAAAAATGGAAGAAAATCCCAAGTATCGCACTTTTTTGAGGATCACACTTTCCTTTGAAATCTAAGATTTTGCAAACTAAACACTTCCTTAAAGGCAATTCAAAATTTTTTATTTTTAGTTGATAGTGCATAACTATAATTTAATGTCCTTTGTTACTACAATGTGTGTTTTATGGTGCCTTGTCTTTTCCCTTTAATATTGATTAGTGATTATTCAGTGTTGGCTGATGTTGAGTTGTGCTGCTGATTCTTGGGTCCCACTGATACTGTTTCCTACAATAGTCCTTAAACATGTCTGTTGGGCATAAAGGATGTAGCTAAATCTGTCTAAGGACAATACGCACTAAAATTGTATATATACATGCATATCTTCAGCTTAAGAGTATCCTAAATTACAGGCCGAACATGGAATCAATTGCTTGGAGCTTCCCCTCATTCAGCATAACCGAGGGCCTGACATGGATAGGCTTGCTTCTGTTTTAAGTGGTAAGTTTAAATACTTCATGCTCTGCATTGATAATTGTGAATGATTTGTGCAATGGATGGATTGTCGCTGAATTTACATGGATGAAAAGCAATCTTTCTCTGGAAATATATGTCAAGTTAGTTTTAGGATGCTGATCTCCTTTTATGCTTGCTACATAATAAACATGTTTAAATCCATTGTCTGCTAAGCTGTTGCTTGTCAATCCTTGTTCAGTTTTGGCCTTCAAAACACAAACCATTATTTTTGAGATTTCGGCTTGATTGTACTGCTTCTTCATCGTGTAAAGCGGATCTTGGGAATGGTTATGTAATAATCACAGAGAATAGTATGATTTCAATCAATGTTCCTAAGAACAGTCTAGATACAGATGGTACAAGTAATTTTTAGTTGTCCTGTTTTCTAATATTTATTTTTGGTGGTGGCAGCAGAAACAACATTTGACTGGATTGTCATAACTTCACCTGAAGCTGGTTCGTTCTTTGTAGAGGCATGGAAGTAAGGGTTAGAACTTGCACGCTAGAAACTGTCTACTTTTCATGTTAAAAATTTTATTAGCATTTCGTGTTGGGTTTTAAGAATCTTTAGTGCTTATATTAAGAATCATGTGTTTGCTTCAAATGTCTCTCAAGTTCCATCTGTATTAGTTTCCTTTCTTGCTAATGATGTATTAGTTATCTTAGATATTCCATCTTCATACTTTTATTAGTGGTGCTTAAAAGTTACATATTTGTGTGTGTGTGTGTTTGAAGGAAATCTTTATTTATGGCTCCTAAATACATTTTTGTCTTTTGATTAGCGCTCAATTTACTTTGTATATAACTTGGGACACACCGGCTTAATTTTTTTCTTAGGGCAGCTGGAAACCCAAGTGTTAGGATAGGTGTTGTTGGAGCGGGTACAGCAAGTATTTTCGAGAATCTAATTCAATCACAAAAGAAATCGCTTGATGTTGCCTTTGCCCCATCAAAAGGTACTGATCTTTCTCTTCCGAAGTTTATTTGTGTCATCTTTGTTCGTGTTTGGGTATAGGCATGTAAGTTAATGCCTGAATTAAATCTTTTAAGAGTTGGTCATTTAGAGGGAAATTAATCTTACATCTACTTTTGGTGGGATTGTTCTAACCAATAAATGAAACACGTGGCATAATTGTTTTTGTCCTATTAATTTCATTGGCGTTTATGAGTTTGTAGTATTTTTAGTTTAGACTGCAAAGACTAGATTTTGGCATATCTGGATGTCTATAATAGCTCTTCATTCTGTGAGATATTTTTTCTACATTAGCTTATTGGTGATTCTATAGCATTATCTACCTTTTCTTTTATGTGACTGGCATATATTTATGGTTACATTAGAAATCATGATGCTGATTGCATTCTATTATGTGTTTAAATTCCTCTCATCAGCAACAGGCAAAGTTTTGGCTTCAGAGCTTCCAAAGGATGGTAATAAGAGGTGCACTGTCTTATATCCTGCTTCTGTGAAGGCTAGTAATGATATTGGTATGGTAATTGTTACGGTTTTCTGATTTCCTTTTCACGAATGGCTACTTTTCTGGAGTGATTCTGGCCCTTGCTGATTTTGACGTTTTTGTTATTTGAGCATGTGCTCTATCTCTCTGATGCATTAACATTTAACCAGAGGATTTGTAAGCTCAAACCTTGACCTTTTAGGTTAATTGAATATGTCTATTTGATTTGATGTTTATAGATGTAAGAATCACTTGTAATTAAGGTATAGCATAATGAGTAGCCATGCTTTTCATTGAAAAAGAAAAGTCTCAAATTCAAGTCCTTTAAACCATAAACTCTAAACATAAAAAAGAAAAGAGGAGAAGAAAAACTTTACCTTGAGGCTGAAAAAAAAAAAGGAGTTAATTTGTGAAAAAACCCATAGGTTGAGTCAGTTTAAAGCCAAGCCCCCCAGCAAAAAAAATAAAAAACTATTCTCTATTAATAAATGCACATCAAGTTGTGATGGCATCATTTATGATAACACATTTATTAACTAAAAAATAGGGGATTTTTTTGCTTTTGTACCTTCCCTACTATTGGGTATTACGGTATTACTTATCTGAAAGTGTTATTTTTGCTTCTTCTTTCCCTGTTATATTGCTGATATTTTTCTTATTGGCTGTATCTACCATCATACTTGAAGTATTATACTAGGAAACAGTGACCCTTGGTTTTGGCATATTTTTTGCAGAAGAAGGCTTGTTTTGTCGTGGATTTCAGGTTGTGAGGCTGAACACATACACAACTGTGAGTATCTCTGTGTTGGTACTTTTAGTTTTAGGTTCTTCTCTGGGTGTCATTCCATTAGTGGTTACATTTTATTCTCCTTATCTCTGAAGTTGAATTCCTTTCTTTATTTAGCTTACATAAGAACTTAACTATGCGTGCAAGGTACATCTGTCTATTGTAGTGTTGAGAGCAACAAATCAACATAATCCAGCAAATTCATTTTGAAATATTGTCTGGGCAACTTAGCAGATGTATGAGATATTTGTAAGAGCAACTATCTCCTGCAAAATGATGGTGGAGTCTGTTGATAGCCTATGAAGGTCTTAGGGACTGTGGCATGCTGATTTATTTTTTGAAATAAATGCAAAAAGAACCTGCTAATTTTGTTGTCCTCGCATGGTTCTTGGGGAGGCAAGATTTACTCGTGATTCAAGTTCGTAGCTTGTAATTGAAGATGGTTTGTGACTGCCAATTGAGCCTGCTCTATTTGTCCTTGATGTTTAATTATTTCTTTTAGGTACCTGTTGATCATGTTGACCAAATTGTCTTGGAGAAGGCCTTATTGGCCCCAGTTGTTGCTGTTGCTTCACCATCAGCAGTTCGGTATATAGTTGATTCTTTTCTCTGCATTGTAATTAGTTTGCCCCAGTGAAGACTTTAAAGCAACTTAAAAGTTTTTTCTCTGTTAATGGAGACATTCTTGCTTTGAGCTTACCTTCTTCCAGCTCATTAACCATCCAGTAAATTTGATACTTCATATAATTTGGATTATCATGGTAGTTGGACCTTACTTCACAACTTTTGATGTGGATGGCACAATGTTTATCCTTGCTCCTTCTTGGACAGCCTGCATTTGCCAAGCCTTTTGTTGGGGCAGTTTTTTTGGGTATACTTAGTTTGTGCACCTCTATTGCAACAGAGCCTGGGTCAATCTTATTTCAGAACCTGATTCTTGGGGCAATGCAGTTGCCTGTATTGGGGAGACAACTGCCTCAGCTGCAAAAAGATTAGGATTGAGAAATGTGTATTTTCCAATGCAGCCTGGACTTGATGGGTAATCCTCTTTCTTTTTTCTAAATTTTCTGCATTATGTTTCAGTATTAGAATTTACTGCTGCTAAATTTGTATTCTCCAACCTTAAGTAACATGATGTTGCATTTGAATTCCATTGACTGTTGAAGCAACCATAAGGTTAAACTACAGTCAAGGTCCAGCAATTGTATTTTGCTTCAATAGCCAAGGCTCTGCCACCAAAATCAATACTCTATTGAGTATTGAGCTAAGTTTTGTTTAGCTGAGCTTCCTTGAATTGGCAAACAACTTTTTTCTCTCCTTAAACCTCTATAATCATGATTGGTTATCAAATTGCAAGTTGTTTTTTACTAAATTAAAAATTCCGACTCCTTTCATTTTTGTGGATTGGCAGCTGGGTTGGTAGCATCCTTGAAGCCTTAAGAGCTCATGACAGTTTTTAGGAGCGAAAGTTATTGAGGTAACCCTTTTTGCCCCTTTTCTCTAGTTACTCCAGGAAGTGATCTCATATTTTCTCATTGAATAAATGAGTTGTTATGCTAGGTTTCTTTGGAAGCCTGGACATAGAGTGAAGCAGATTTGGAACCACAAGCATTTCAAATTCCGTGTGAACCACAGACCATATTTAGTAAAGAAAGTTTTGCCAAGTCAAAGGTTTGGAATTTGTTAAAAAATGGGCATTTTGAACCTACATATCCTATTGGCAGTAGCAGCACTGTAATTCGAGGTTAGTCAGGCTATTCATTTCACTTTATCAAAACTTGTACATGCATTTTTCACTGTAAGCCCGTTCATTTGACTCAATGGTAGTTGTGTTTAAATTGAATTGGGGGAACTGCCATTCCATGAAATCTGATAAGCAGTAGGTGACATTATCAATTGAAGTTGTAATCGTAGTTACTGTCCTTTTATTTTGTGTTGTGATATTTTTGTATATTTTAAGCTGTCAATAAAAATCGCTGTAATGTAAAAACCTTGTCTAAAATTGCACTAAAATGATTTTCTCTTCGTAGAAATTTGTTAAAAATAGAAACAAAATGATACATTGTCCATGCATTTCTTTAACTTTTAAAAATAATTCCATCTGCAGAGAAGTGGTTCAATATCTTTAGAGCCCATTCCAATGATGTGTCTTCTCCTTCCCTTTATCTTTTATGCAAATTGTATAGAGAAAGCATGTCAGCTTGGCAATAAAGTTCTGGAATTTCAGAATAAGATGATTACCATGCTTCAAGTACTATGACGATTCTCAATGGATTTGTTAAGAGGGAGGAGAAGGATGGGCTGGAGGCAGTTTCCCCTGAAGGAAAGATGTGATCATGGTGAGTGCTCGCTCTGGCTGGAAGCTTGGAACTGTGTGTCCAGCTCCCCGAACTGTGGTAAAAGTCACTCCCTTGTAGCCAACGACATATCCTCCAACCTACAACCATCAGCATATGGAGACTGGAGTAGTATGCATAAAAGTTTATGGCTTTGTATTTTATCAAATGGCAGGAAAGACCATGTTACCTCACTATTAGAGTACCATGGCCGCCAGGCAGTCTCTACCGGAAGTTCCAGGGTCTTGATGGCGTACCTAGAGGATGTCACTGGAACCCGACCATCCGTGTCACCACTGAGAGCAGGTTTTATTTTAGAAAAATAACCAGTATATATCTTATCAGACGATATCTAAATCTTTCCTTGCTGTAATACAGTATTCATTGAGAAATCTATACCTGTATATCCACACCCTAATCTCTCTTGCTAAGTGCCGCAATTCTGGAAGAATCGATGTTGGGGAGTCTGTCCATCCAACATCACTGAACATAGAACAGAAGCGGCTGGTCAGGAATTTTTGTTTCACCCTCTCAACGTTTTCGACACAGTATAAAAAATTTCTATCAATTTGCATGCTTATCTTGTTATTGTTGATCACAGGTAATATAGAATGCTAAAAGAAAACAAATTCTAAAAAGCGCATTGGCGGTTTATTTTGTGCTTGTCTTGAAAGCAAGAACCTGTGGTCGTGCCTACCTGCAACCTGACCAATTTGTAGCTTTGGCATGAAGAGCTGCTTGTACCTCGTCAAGATTTAGGTAGGAATCAACGTGAACATCAGAGCAGGGATCAAAGCTCATGACCTAACAATTCAAGATCATCACAGAATTAGGTGATTCGCCTTACAACAGGTGATTTTATTTAACAGTATATTTGAAACGAATATTTGTTAACATGTAAATAAATATATAAAGGACTTAAATATATTAAGTGATTTAACTTTCATCGTTCCATCTTAAAATCAAGAGCTAGCTACCTTCTCTTTAAAAAAAAATAAAATTACTATAAGTTTGTACATTATATATAGGTTAAAATACTAAAAATGTCTTTGAACTATTTTACTTTTCTTAAATAAATTTTTTATATTTTTGTTATACTCACATAAATTTTTATTCTTTTTATTTGTTTCTAAATAATCTTTTATTTCAAACATTAGATTGATCTGTATTAAAAGTTTATTTAGATATAAATTAAAAGATAAAAGTTTATTTGGATATAAATTAAAATTTAGGGATTTATTTGGGTGTAAATTAAAGGTAATGATTTATTTAGATGTAATAAAATTTTAAAGATTTATTTAAATGAAGCATTAAAATTCAGAGGTTTTTTTTATTATCTTAGTCTTATTTATATAATATCATGCTATTACATTCAATAATTTAATTTTAAGATTAATAAATAATATAAATAAAATTTAATGCTATATAATATCATGCTATTACATTTAACCGGGCTTGTCTCGGCCGCCGAACACATTTAATCCTCACATTTTTTCAGTGTTTTTTTAATAAAATATTTCTATCTTATCTCGGAAAGATTTAAAAAGAAAAAAAATGAAATTCTAGAGTATACACTTATAACTGCGGTGTTTAAGTTATTTGATATTATTTTTTACTATCAACTTAATTCACAATTTATAAAATATCAATACATGATATGATGTCATTTTTTTAAATGACAAAACTTCTAAATCTTACCGAAGACATCTCCATTTAAAAAAAGAAAAAGAACTAAACCATTATTTAGTATTCACAACTCTTTTTTTTTTACTTAAATCTCCTCAACTAAAATTTGATGACAATAATAATTTTATTTAGATTTTGTTTATATATATATATATAATATATATATATTATATATATATATATATATATATATATATATATATACTATATTTACTCCACTCGATGAAAATCCTAGATCTTTGTTCGCATGTTGGCTTGTCTAATCTCTTATTCTTTCATGGTTATTAATCCCTTTTATATTGCTTTTGAGATATAAGAACAGGTTTAAATCTAAAGGACAAATGGATGGTAACTTTTAATGGTTGAGAACCAAAATTTCTTTCCTACTAATTTCTTAGTTGTCTTAATCAATAAAAGAATTGTTATGATCATTTTAGGAGTATGATACTTACATTACCATTTGAGCCAGGTTTTAGTGCCGAGAAATTGCATAAAGGGGCATAAATACCGTACAAGTCAATGCCTCCGAACTCTATTAGTCCCTGACTTAGATACTTTCTACATTGGACCGTATTGTTGTCTACATCTGCCTTCTTGGTGACTGAGTCTTCACTAGCAAAGTTGCAGTACTTGTTAATTCCTTCATTGGTTTCATCAGAGTTGAGAGCGTGTGTCCATAAGTAATCAAACAATCCCTTCGTACAAATGTCATCATCTATCCAAGCATTTCCGATCTACAATATCCATAACATTAATTTCTCAGCTTTAAGAAGAGGTTCATAGTGTTAGAAGGGTTGATTTTGTCAGTAAACTCACAGCAATTCCTTTGAGATTGATGACGGTTTGATTTGTGTTGTTGTTTCTTGAGAGAATATAATAAGCAAGCTGAGGAACATAATGGCCAGCATAGCTCTCACCAGCTATAAAAAAATCGCGTGTTTTATACTGTGGAAATCTTTCAAGCCAGTTGAGGAGAAAAATGTAGGAGTCCTGTGCTGTTCTCTTGTCACCTACTTTGGTGTAATCAGAGGAATTATTTGAATAAGAAAACCCAACTCCTGCTGGTGATTCCAGAAAGAGCACGTTTGCAACTGCAAAATTTTGTACGATGTGTTAGCAGAAATTAAGAGAATCAAATTTGGTGTTGTCAAAATGAAAAAGAGAGTTCATGTACCATTGTTCCATGCATATTCATTTCGGTAAAGCGTTTTCCCATCACTGTTTACTCTGAAAGGTCCAAGTTCTTGCATGGCTCCATATCCGAAAGACGAGCATCCTGGACCTGTACATCATAGTCAATCAACCCTTCTGTTTTTTTTTTTTTTTTCCTTTTTCATTAATGTCTATATTCTAGACACTAGATTTTGCCTGGGCAGAGTGATCGATTTCAAGACTCAATGGCACCATTAGATGTTGATTTTTCTTCGACGACAAGGTAGGAAAAGGGAGGTTTCCTTATAAAGCAAAGTAATAGCTGGACCAATTGAAGATTCCATCAAGGAAGTTCAATTGTTTGCTCTTATTTATTGGGAGTATATATTTGTTACTCTGGTGAGAAGCTGGAAACTCCCAAGTCCTTACACATCTATGAGAAAAAACAAATCCGGATCACTGCTACAAAGAAAGTGATTTGGAGATAATCCAAGTGTTTATAGCTGTTTCAACAATTTCAAAGAAAGATGTAACTGATGTTGTTAGATTCTTCCCTAAACTTACAACAAATCCTATCCAGCTACCTTAGCCGATGAATGACGCATCTCAGCACATGCTATTCTTTGAATCTTTTCTTTTACTGTTTGAAATGGATATATTGAATGAACTGTCTAGGTACAAATACAAACAAAACAAGGGAAGAAAAAATGAATAAAAAACAATGTTTGTACAGGTTCAAAAAGAAGTCAGCATCAAATTGCAAGAAATATCCAAACAATGGCAATTCCTGCCATAAAATCCTCTCAATTAGTTCAATTAGTGGCGGGACCCTACTAAATTATGTCTCTGGATGATATGTGGTTCATGATTAAGCTTCGGGATAACAACATTTGTTAGTTGGTTTTGCCTGTGGGAAAGCATTTGTTAATTGTTTGAAAATAAGAGTCGAATGGGATATTCTTAGAGAAGTGGACCATCCCCATTTTGGACTCTTTCCTAGCCGGACTCGGTTACCAAGCTTATCAAACGACTTGATGATCCCTGTCGGGTCCCTTGTTTCTACCATGCGTGAGGAACACTCAGGCTCAATTAGTTCAATTAGTGGCGGGACCCTACTAAATTATGTCTCTGGATGATATGTGGTTCATGATTAAGCTTCGGGATAACAACATTTGTTAGTTGGTTTTGCCTGTGGGAAAGCATTTGTTAATTGTTTGAAAATAAGAGTCGAATGGGATATTCTTAGAGAAGTGGACCATCCCCATTTTGGACTCTTTCCTAGCCGGACTCGGTTACCAAGCTTATCAAACGACTTGATGATCCCTGTCGGGTCCCTTGTTTCTACCATGCGTGAGGAACACTCAGGAGTAAACTAGTTTTGTCAAGTCTTCACCCAATTTGCTTTTCTGGTTGGCATGAGTATGATCTTTTTGACGCCGAAAGTGCTTTGTTTCTATAGCATGTTGAAGCATGATGTTGATTTCAGATGGCAAACGCATTTTTCTAGTGCTGTTACTTTTTCAGAGTGAATATTTCAATTGTGAAATTATCTATGAAGGACTGATTTATAGATAGTTTAAACGTGGGAGCTCTGCATCGGTGTTTCTGCAAAAACTCCCTTCAAGTTGTTTTATGCAAATCCTATTTTCCAAAGGTTTGTTATGCAAATACCTCTCTTTTTTGCATATACTTTTATTTTTTTTTGTATCTCATGTGTGTATATGTAATAAATATGCAGGCCATGTGATGCAGTAAACAAAAGAAGCTGCAGCATATTCATGTATGATTAATATAACATTTCTATACCCATGCAAAATTAACATTAAAAGCTATATCTGTTGATGTAGAATTGTAGGTGAATTTTGAGTAGTGAAATTACCTCCATTTAACCATAAAACGAGAGGCTTTTTGGGAGAATTTACTGGTGATTCCACAAAATAATAGAACAAAGCTCGATCAGCCACTGGGTCTACTGTTACATAGCCTGCATACTGGTCAAAATCCACTCCTTCAGGCTGACCCGGCAGCGTGTTGATCTTGTCAGCTTGCATCAACCCTTTTTGGGATCCTACATACACTGGAGAGTTATGACTATCTCCTTGATCATCTAGTTGAGCCCATGCCTCTGGGCGAGGAGGGTTAGAGGATTTGCGAGATTCGATCAACTTGTTGAGATTGTCAATCTGGTTTCCCTTGCATGATGAAATGGGAAAACCTGAAAAGTAGCAAGGCAATAGCAGCAGCAACCATCCGACAGTAACTTTCATTGCTGCTAATGTAACTCAGTGCAGAGCTTTTGGCCTCAGGACTCCAGAACATATGCTAATTTATAGTTGTCCATAAGTACCATACATGGAACCCATTGTTAATGCTATCATATATTTGTCCAATGAAGACAAAAAAAAAAAAAAAAGGTGGGGTATACTTTTATTTTTGATGTTCCGCTTTTCCATTTTGTAGGCAAGTTCAGCTTGCAGCACTAGCTTAGGAACGTGCTGGGGCCTGCTTGATACTCCCATTTAGGGATGAGATTTAGCCAACTTTGGATATCCTTCATCTTTCTTACCTCCTAACTGCTGTTAATATTTATTTGGTATTGGAGGTTTTCGGAGATTGAATTTTGGTCACTGAAACTAAAGAGTTAAGCACTCTGTTCATAAATTAAGAGTTCCACACTCTATAGATAACAAACCACACGGCTAATGGCTGTATTACAGTTGACTTTACCTCTTAGAGTGGCTGCAACTGGAGCAGGAGATGAGCGCGTTTTCAACTCCAATAGCGGCCCCTACAAAGGCTGAATGAATAATTGGTCTCTAGAATTCTTCTATCCCATCATTTCCCAAAAGAATGAGTGCGTTCTAATGCTATATGAATATGACTGCTTCCCACGCTCCTTTTTCTTGACTTTGGTAACTTTCACATAGGATCCAGTTGTCATCTTTATCTGTAATTTTCGTTATTATAGATCTACATCTTTTTCTGCATCTGATCCTTCCTCAGCAAATGACAATTTTTTATTATGCTATTCCTCTTTTTTTTTTTTTCAAATACAAAATTATCCATCATGGCTCCTCATTACAGAATTGCAACAACGAAACAGCTAGAATTTCGAGAATCAACCCAACTATAGTTATAAATTAAATAAAAAATCATAACAACAAATGGCTTGGCAATACACGCTACTGAGCCGATGTGATTCCAGACATATAGCAAAAAAAAAAAACATACGGCAATGGAGATGCTTGAATTTGACTCAAGATTTTGGTTCAAAATTATCTTTTCCTTTGTTACAAAGTTAAACAGGTACCTTTCCGTCTAACATGATGTAGTAATTAGAAAAATACTTACTACATTTATCATTCTCTCAGTGGTCAAACCCTTTAAGCTGATGGTGGAAGCTTCCCGTCGAAGAAGGAAGATAAGAGCACCAAGGCCCGAGCTGGCTGGTAACTGGGAACAAAATGTCCAGCTCCTCTTACAGTTACAAATGTCAGGTTTTCATATCCAACTGTATACCCTCCAACCTTGACAAACAATAAGTAAATTAGCTTGATTAACATAGATTCATGGTCTAACTTTAACACCAATAACTAGATTAGTGAAATTCTATCCAAATTTTTACCTCCCCTCGGGTGTACCAAGGGTACCAGGCAGTCTTGATCGGTGTCCCCAATTTGTTTATGACATATCTACTACATGTTACAGGCAAGGCACCATCCGTGTCACCACTACAATAATGTCATTAAACATGATTATAAAGCATTCTAAAACTATGAAATTGGCCTTAATGTATGAAAGGTTGATCGAGAGATTGAGCTTTATTTCAAATTACTAAACTGTAGATCCAAACGCGACTTTCCATTAGTTCCTTAATGATTCGCAACACTGTTAATGGCTTATCTTTCCAGTGTCGATTTATTTCTCCACTGTTTCAGAATTATATATGATCAGGAAACCACCAACATTAATAATCAACAGAAAATGACACAGGGTTTAGTTAAATACTACAGAGAGAAACACAGACTCCTCAAAAAGGAAAAATTGACAGGGATGTTGGTCAGTGCCTGCAGGATTACCATGGGTAAGGAAGAGCAGTAACATTTGAATGAAGTGCTTTTTGAACTTCTGGATTGTTCAAGTAGGAATGGATATAATTTTCTGAGCCGCGATCAAGAGCAGAAACCTGTCATGTAATTTTCCGTAGCAAAAGTCTAAATACTAGGAACATTGTATTCAAATTGAACTGTACTTTACTCACAGAATAGGAAGTTGAGGAGGAATTGCACATGGGAGCATAGATGTCATAGGCATGTATGTTGCCAGCAGCATCGTTTGCTTTATCCACAAATCCCTGGCAAACTTGGGATGATGAATTTAGTGTATAAAAACCACAGTTTGATGCAAGTCCGTTGTATATTTAATCGGACATAAGTGCATACGTCCAAAAGAAATCCACTGCTCCTTTCATAGTTGTTTCAAAATCAATATAAGCATTACCTATCTAATACATCCAAAATGCCTCCTGTTAAAGTTCATAAAATTAAAAACATATTGCTAAAATGCATACAAACATTCTAAAAACTTACTACAATTCCTTTTAGATTGATTATAGTTTGATTGGTGCTCTTGTTGTTTTGAAGGATAGTATGAGCAAGCTGGGGTACATAGTGCCCTGCATAGCTCTCTTCTGTGATGAAAAATTCTCTGGTCTTGTACTCGGGAAATCTTTCTAGTCATTTAACAAGAAAGGTGTCGGAATCTTGGGCAGTTCTTCCATCTCCACTTAACTTTATAGTCTGAGGTTCTATTTGAGTAAGAGAATCCAACCGGAGATTCTAAAAAGATGAAGTTGGCATCTGAAATAACTCAAAAAAATTACCCCATTCAATGATTATATCGGAATAATTTACAAGGAAACGGTGATCATTTGACTCGGAAGCAAAAGAAGTTTGGAACAACTCACCCTTATTCCACGCGTATTTATTTCGATGCAAGGTTTTACCATCTTTTTTAACTCTAAATGGGCCAAGTTCCATCATAGCTCCATTTCCAATTGAAGATCAACCAGGCCCTGCCCATCAAAATCAGCCTACTATAAATGATACAATTTGGAATCATGCGAGAAACAAAAATCCAATTTATTTAATCCCAAAATCTTATCTACCTTATTATATTAAAAAAACTTACCTACTTAATTTACATGAAAAAATATTACATATCTAAATTCTTTCAAATTCATAATTTTTAAAATTCTAATCAGTAAAACATCTGTTTATTATTATATATACCTAATATATTATTGTCAAGCCCAATAATTAAGTTGTCGAAGAAAAGCCCATTCAGATGAACAATAGAAGAAACCCAATTCTTAGCATAGCTAGCCTAATTGCTTAGCGCGGTAACGAGCCTATAGTGCGGTTCGGTGTGTGGTAAAGAGATCAATCATTCCCACAAACAGAAGACATCTCTGAGGCGTTCCTGAGGGCCTATATATAAACAGGTGACTGCCCTGCAGCATGTATTTTCAAGTTGAACGTAGTTGCCCATGTTGATACATAAGATGACATCTGCTCTGATAATTCCCGCCTAAAGAGTTTAATTGGGTTGAAGTCTCTACCTCCATAGCATTGACTGAATCCTACCAGGCACACGAGAGACACCCAAATGATAAACGCAGCATTTCCCATTGTTAGCTGACTTGATTTACTTGAATAACTGGGTCCTGATAACATAGTGTTAATTTTTAGGTGATAGGTAATCTGATAAATATTAATGGACTCTAAAGTCTCTAGAAAAAGAAGGCGGTAAGATTGCTTTATTATGGTATTTTTTTTCATCTTTCTCTGTAATCATATTATAATCTTGTTTAATCAAATTGTGACACCAATGTATCTACATTGTGATCTGTATCACTCAATTTGAAGCTAAGTCCGGCTGTAGAACACTTCTACTCAAGGCAAAAAGTTTGTTTAAAAATATAGAACACTTAAACTCATTTGGGCCTTTATGAATTGTGGTAAATGGGGTCTCAAATGTTAACATACATATAGAAATTTGACTTTATGTTAAAAATGTTTTCATTAAAAGCATGCGGGGATAGCTCAGTTGGGAGAGCGTCAGACTGAAGATCTGAAGGTCGCGTGTTCGATCCACGCTCACCGCATTTTAATTTTTGAGTCTAATTGTATCGATTTCTGATTCCTAGAGCAATGCAGCAGAAAAATTTCTGGCTACATTGAGCTCTCATGCCTTTTGCCTGCTGTAGCCATTTCTGGCAACAGGTTCCTACAAAATTTTTGTTTTATTTTTTTGGTTTAAGAAATTTCGCAGTGTTAACTTTTGGTGCAAAAAGTTGGTGGTTATCATACCCGATGATCTCTAGAACTAGAGACGAGCCAAATTTGACTTGGCTTTGTTTTACTGGGAAAAAAAAAAAAAGAAAAGAAATGGCCTTAGAACTTCCACTTCTTTCTGCCATATTGATAGGCAATGTTATCTGTACTTGATGATAACATTGAACATAGGCGCAGAGAAGAAACAGAAAATTTTGCTGTCAAATTCATGGCCTTTGTGGTTTAACTTTAACGTTTATTCCAACTAAATTAATAGGGAGTTGGGGACTATATGATGTGGTTGTTTGAATTGTTTCTTAAGGAAGGTTAGAAAGGCTGTCGATGGGCTGCCGCCCATTCTCAAATCTTTGTCGTAATCCTTACAGATTAAAGGTAAACATATTTCAACATCATCTGCCACTGAAAGAGAGACTACATGGGCTGGAATTTTCACAAGCCACAAAAATGAAAAGTTTTTGCACTTCTTGACTTAACCAAGCTGCTTTAGCTTTCTTATTTCAACCTTTGCCCTCGATAAACATACATTTTATGTTAGAAATTAGAACTTGGACATTGTTTTATTTTACTGTCTTAATGGAGATAGCAATGTCTTTTGTATTTCAATAGAATGATTAGATCCAACTTTTCTCTCATTGGATATAAAGGGGTAAAACCAGGCTGATTCAAGGGGAAAAAGGACATGTTTCTTGTGAATTGTAATGTCTAAGAGTGGAAAATGAATCTGGATGTTATGTAAGAGTGAAGAGGAAAGCAAATATCTACAATGAAACTAAAGTCAAATAGATATGGGGGCCGGTTCCATGGAAAAACTGGCAAAACTAAAACGAGATATAAGCTGACGACGACTGGTTTTTGTACGTTATAGCCAGATTTCTAATTGTTTAGTCTGAGCATTGTCCTTTTTCTTGGCTTCTTGAGACTCACCTGGTGGGAAACTGGTTTAACCAGAACTAGCAAAATTGTCCAAGGTAGATCTCTTTAAGAAGTGGGAAATGTTAATCGATCTTTATCAAATGGTAGTGGGTTCACCTCAGTTTCTTGATCTCTTCTGTGGTTAACTTTTTGCTATAATTTTTGCGTTTCCTGTTCTCTCCTTTTTCCTTGGACCACATTTATCGAGCAAAAAGAGCATGAGGCTCACCTTTCCTTCAGATCTAAAGTGGATTCTGATGCAATATGTGTTTGTTTAAACAAATGCGCATGTAGCATGGATTTTTGGGAATAGATTTCTTGTCCTTTGATCAGAAGACAAGCCCTCTACGGAAGATAGTGTTCAGATTGGCCAGCTGGCAACCTAATTTCCCATCCTTGCTTTAGGCCAAGGGTAGCCTGATGGGACACAAGTGATTCTTTTACCAGAGTGAAAACTTGTTCCTGCTCGTTCCTTTGTTCTGACAGCTCAATGAATTACTTTTACATCAAAGGATTATGATTAAGCTCCATCATTCAATAATAGAGATTTGTGAATGTCTCTTCAAATGATGATATTATTGAAGTCCAAAGCAGGGCTGTATAAAAGTAATCATACTTGTAAACTGACTCGAAGCCCCAAGCCGAAGTGGCTTTTGAGTCATACCACTTATTGAAGAGATAACTTTTAGCATGTAGCTGCTTTTGCCCCTTTATTAGGATCAGGACTACTGTATAAAATCCACTGCTTTTGTCTGTCCATTTTCTATTTTGGCCTGACTCTCCTACTTAAAAGCTATACTCCTGAAACCCATGAATGAAGATGAACTGATCTTCACAGCTTCCAGAGATAGTAGGCTGTAGGACCAGTGGACCACTGCCTTTGTTGGCTTTGACGTTTATCTTGGATTTCTTCAACCATTAACACATTGGAGATTATGGTCCATTGCCATTCACAGTAACTCTAATTCCTACACTTAAGGATCAATTAATGTTTACTTCAATCATCAATCATTCGTTTAGGTATTTAATTTATTATAGTCTCAAGCAATGTTAAAATTTCTGATCTGGAGGGCTTGTCAGTGCAATAATAGTTGTCTTACTGGAGTTAGTGATGTTGTTTGATAAAAAAAACCCTATAAATTCTCAGTCTGATGATGCAAATTGTGAACATAAGATGAAGGATATTAAGAGGGAAGAAAAAAGATGTTAAAGAAAAGGAAGATGACAGCTATAGTGAAAGTGGTACAATGATTTTAGAGACATTACAATGGTTGCCATTTCATCATTACAAAAAAAAAAAAGTGTCCACACTGATAAATTAAGCGTTAGTGCCATATAAATTGTGGATTTTTTTAGGAGAAGACATCCTATATGTAGGCAGATGTCTTCGTGGGGTATAGTCCTTGTGGATTCCGGACCACCATTTCATCCCTCTCGTCTGTAACTTACCAAAGCCCTACTAATCCATGACTAGACCAATGGAAAATCTAAGAGGTGGAAACTGATGGAATTCTGGTGGAGAGTCACATTATTCATTACATATTAATGATTCCCCTTGTCACTCAATAGACCTACCTGTATTTATCTTTTAGGGGCTCAACAGGGACCTACCTACACTTTCATTTCACACATTTTACAAAGTTGTTCAGGCTTTTACTCCAATCCTTTCCTTTTTACCAAACCAACTATTCATGAGCAGAAATGATTATTAACACAGTTCATAAAATCATTTTATGCCTAGTCAAGTCTCTATTATCATTGTGTAAAATGGAAATCTATTATCATTATTTAACTCACAATTGAATAAAAAAAAAGGCCATAATAATTGGCTCAAAACAGTTGTCCTGATTTTAACATAATTGTTATTTTTGAAGCAAAAAAAACTTTACTCATTATTACATTTTTTAATATCAAAAACATTACAATTTAGAGCTTAATTAATAACTACGTACTAAAATCATAATCCTAAGATTAAGCCATAACCACCAGCATGAATAGCAAAAAAAATAACCAACACAAAAAAACAAGAACAACATGAAACATTCAACTAAGTAACATTCATGAATCCATATTAACAGTCCTAAACACTTCTTTTAACACTTCTTCTTGCTTTAGGAGTTGCAAACACCAAGTTTTGTCCTCAAAAATTCAAACTTGCTAACTGGCAGTGGCTTGGTGAAAATAACTGTAACTTGATCTTCTGTTTTACAGTAGACAAGAACAACAGCTCCATTTTTTTGTACTTACCTTAAGAAGAATAATTTAATATTAAAATGTTTAGTTTTCCCGTGAAACATAGGATTTTGAGAGATAGTAACGGCAGCTTGGTTGTTAACAAGAATCTTCGTGCTTCCTCCTGCTCTAAGTTAAGATCGATTAAAATCTTCCTTAGCCACAAAGCTTGATTAACAGCAGCTGTTGCAGCAATAAACTCTGCTTCAACTGTGATTTGAGCTACAATTTCTTATTTTTTCGAGCTCTATGAGAAAACACCAGAACCAAGTGTGAAACAATAGCCTGAAGTGCTCTTCATATCATCAATGAAACCTCTCCAATCACTGTCTGAGAAACTAACCAACTTGAACTCTTTGCTCTTTGTGTATTTAATGCCAAAATCACTTGTGCCTTTCACATATCTAAGCACCATCTTTGCAGCCTTGAGATGCCATTCACTTGCACAATGCATAAATCGAGACAAAATGCTTACAACATTCAAAATGTCAGGTCGAGTTACTGTGAGAAACATTAAGCAACCAATCGGGCTTATGAAA